TGTGTATCAGTGTACCATAGGTGGCTGCCAAGGATATAGGTATCGAGGTCCACTTTCATCTCAAACTAGATCAACCAGAGAACCCAGAAATGTGTTTGTAATGGGGGATACAGAAATGCAGTTGAAGTATCTCCTGGAAAAGAAAGATGTATGGGATGCAATTGAAAGCGTTAAGTCAAGTAACTCTGCTGATTTGACTGATGTAGTTGATGGAGAAAGCTACAGGGCACTTTGTGAAGAAGGCATGTTCCTTGCACATCCACACAATATAAGCACAGTATTTAATACTGATGGAATTCCCCTCTACAACTCATCTAAGGTGAAGCTATGGCCAATATTTTTGGCTGTCAATGAATTGCCACCATCTCAGAGATTTGCAAGGGAAAATATCCTGATAGCAGGAATTTGGCAAGGCAAAGGTAATCCACCATTTGAACAATACATGTATGCATTTGGCGAAGAAATGTGTAACTTGTATGAGAATGGCATATCAATCCAGCTTTCAGCTGCTCGTGATCCCTTTGTTGTGAAAATGGCAGTTTTACTTGCAACAATGGATCTTCAAGCCAAAGCATACGTTTTAAATATGACAATGCACAATGGAAGCTTTGGATGCAGTACGTGTGAGGAAGAAGGGGAAACTGTGACTCAAGGAAGAGGGTATGCTCGTCATTATCCCTACAAACCTTATTCTGAAAGACCTGACAGTAGAAACTCTGATGATATCAAATATCACAAGGGACCACAAGCAACAAAGACCAATCGTCTCAAAGGTATTTGTGGCATGACAGGCCTGTCATCTATGCCGTGGTTTGATGTTGTCCTTGGAGTAGTACCCGATTACATGCATGGAGTCCTCTTGGGAGTTACCAAGAAGATGTTGTACATGTGGCTGTCACCAACCAGCAATGGTAAACCATATTTTGTAGGAAAAGACATTAGAACTATTGCCAACAGATTGAAAAATATTTGCCCACCAGATTATGTGGAGCGCTTGCCAAGAGACCTGGAAAAGAATTATAACCATCTGAAAGCAACGGAACTCCAGGCATGGTTGCTTTTTTATTCAATTCCATGCTTTAATGGTATATTGGATACTGTTTACTTGGAACACTTTGCTCATCTGTCTGAGGGAATACACATTCTCCTTGGAGATAGGATTAGCGAGGTCGATCTTGACAGGGCTGAGACATTGCTTGACCATTTTTATTCCAAGTTTGGAGAGCTCTATGGAGAAGGTAGCTGTGGCTTGAATGTTCACAATGTTGGTGTTCATCTTGTGACCTTTGTAAGGAAATGGGGACCGTTGTGGGGATGGAGTTGTTTCCCATTTGAGGACATGAATGCTGACATTTTGAAAGCTGTCCATGGCACAGGAGATGTTACCTGTCAATATCTCCGCCTGAAAGAACTAAGAATGAAAATGTCTAACATCAATCTGGAGGGAGTTGATGAAAAGACGTCAGATTTCATTCACAGTATGAAATCAGGAAACAACAAGTGTTGGAGAGGATTGAAGAAAATGAAGAACTGCCATATAGCAGGACAGCCAAAACCTGTGACCAGCGTACCATGCACAGATAGAGAGATTTTGTGTGTCACAAATGCCCCAGACTTTTCAAGTTTGAGGAAATTACAGCGAGTTATGGCAAACCAAGAAAAGCTTTACTCACAAGAGTATACACGAATGAAGAAAAGAGTATGCTATGCTGTTCGGTGTAACAATGGCAACATTGTTAAAGTAATGTTCTTTATTCTCAATGTTACAAGCCAAATGGTGTTTGCTGTTATCAAGAAAATGGCATTGGCACCAAATTGCTATTTGTTTGATTCATGTGGTTTCCATTTGATTCAAGTTGAAGACACTGATGTGATTCAAGTTGTTCCTGTTGATGACATCATGGAGAAGGTATTCCTGATAAACATTGAACATGTATCTTATGTGGCATTGATGCCAAATATTATTGGTCATGGAGTTTTCAAATGAAAAACAAAATTGTTGCAATAGGAATTATTAATGATTTTTGAAGACAGAAGTAAGCATTGTTGGCCTTTGTAACTGTATATATATATATATACTTATATATTTGGTTTTGTAGCAGGATTAAAAGCCCTGAGCAGAAGTTGCACTATTCAGTAGAGTTATTACCCAGAGTTAGAAATAACAGAGTTCATAGAACTCTTAGAGCCCTAGTGCAAAATATCACTTCATGAGCATCAGTGTATTGTTTACATCATTGGACGGCATTGTTGACGGCTTTCAAATTTTTTCTTGTGAAATATATAGAATGATGTCAACAATCTTCAGCTATGATGTTTTTTCTAGAGTGACATCATTTCCCAATGGTGGTTTTCTTAGACACTCGCATTTGAAACGGATTTTACGTAACTTGTGTAAGAACTCATGTATCTCGCTCTTGAAATATAGGAATTATGACAATCATTTCATAAAATCAGTGTGACACACATTCTCTTATAATAATGCAGAGCTCCAGATAAGCTTTTGGTGTTGTGGGTATTTTACCCATGCATTTTAAAATCATTGATTATCAGTAATTCTATCTGCGTATTCAAATTTCTGTTACCCACTAGTTTTTACACATGTGGGTATTTAAGTTAAATATTTAAAAACACTATTCCTCTAGTCCCTGCAAACTGGTGTCGTGTGGGTTCGAGAGCTTTATAGGACTCAAAAATACCACGATACTTCCACAAGAAAGTGTGATGGCAAATGATCATGATGTAACTGTCATCGTGGAGTTTGGCAAGGTTGACGGAATGCCCGTTTATAATTTAAAAATAAGTTGCTGATTTGCTAATCGAATACGCAGGGTTACTTCACAATATTCTGATGATACGTACAAGTTTTATTTTTGTAGCGTATCTGTAATGTTGTTGCGTATTTGATACGCTTTGATTATATTTTACTGTGTATTTCTGCATTTCTGATGCGTATTTCACGCAGATACGCAGCTTATCTGGAGCTCTGAATAATGTCTGTACATATATCTTCAGTTTAGGCTAATATTATTTACTAAACAGTGATTTGATATTACCAGTTAGTGTTTTGTTGCCTATTAATGTATGACTCCATATTGGATATAGATTTTGTGGCTCATTAAAACAATATAACAAAGTGAACCCTGTATCATTATATTTCATCTAAATCTGGACCTATTTGTATTATTAAATATTAATAACACATGCTATGAATCAGGAGTTCATAGAAAGGAAGGCTATATGTTTGAATTGAGATTACTTGCTTCAAAAGTTGGAAGCATTATTTTATCCATCCACTGAGTTTCTGTCGAAATGGTTTCCCCAACAAAAAACATTTAGTAGAACACATTTAATTTTCACATGTCTGTGATTGTGAGTGAGGTAGTCAACTCTAAATTTGCACAAAGAATACAAGTATCAAGGACAAAGACCATGTAAAATATGTGTAAATGAATTTTCATTAAGGCCAACATATTAATTTCTGGTGAAAATAACTTTCATCTGCCACTGACTTACATGTTCTTACCAATGTTATTTGAGACAATAGTCCTGCACCATGACTGTTGAATAGATTTCTTTTATGAAAAGAAAAACAATCTAGATATGTATAGAAAAGCAAGTCTAAGCCAGCTCTTTTTTTAGCCTGCTCTATTCCACATGAAATCATCATCGGGAAAATTATTTGTTTAATTCTAGAGTCGAAAGGGGTTGTGTAATATAAGATTTCATAGACTAAATGTAAGTCTTTTGATACAATTATGCATTGCCATTCATATAATGTTCCCATTATATGTTATTCATACATGAAGTGCACAATTATGAAACAGTCACTTGCAATTTTTATCACAGTTTGAAATAAGCACAAGCTTGCTGAACATGCCTATGTAAAAAATGACCATGGTCCACCTCCAGGCTTTGTGTGAGATGAGCATGGTCAACCATGGTCAAGTTTTCAATGACCATGGTCTATCTTGGTAAAGTCTTCAATGACCATGGTCTACCATGGTTAGTTTCTATATGACCATGGTCATCCATGGCTCTGTCTTATATGACCATGGTCATATCTTTAATGACCATGGTCTACCATGGTATAGTCTTCAATGACCATGGTTTACCATGGTTTATGGTGACCATGGTCTTAAATGACCATGGTGTACCATGGTAAGAAAAAAAAGTGACCACAGTTTAGCATGGTTTAGCATGGAATACCATGGTAATACCATGGTATTCGATGGTAAACCGTGGAGACCATGGTTTACCATGGGCTCATTTCAGCTGGGTAACATTAATATTACTTTATACACAACGTTTGACTATAATGGTGTACTTTTGACCTTCATATCAACTGATGAATTTTTTGACTACATTATCACCCATAACAGTCTCTTGAAGCATAAGGACACACACATCCCCACCCCCCATCTTTAAACTCTTCATGCACAGAAGTACAATTTTTGCAGCTAAACAATTATTCAAAACACTCTTCTGAAACGAATATATATATCGAGTGCTTGTTCAGAAGATGATGCTATTTTGAATATAGACCTATCCCTACATAGATAAGAATCCTTTTGATTGGTTGTTGATTTCAACTATTGCGTGAGATGTCACTTCCTATATGAAGTGGTTCATGGTATTTCTTGGAATAGGAGAGCTATGTAATGTACTGCAGTACGTCCTGATGTGATGCTGTCTGTGTTCCGGGGGCACGGGTGGCCCAGTCGTCTAAGGCGCCGCAATTGCTGTGCAGAGTTTGTGTCCCTTGGGCACGCCAGAAACCTATGATAGTGGGTTCGATTCCCGGTTCGCCCCGATTATGTTTCTAGGTTTGTCAGTACCATACCTGTGCTCGTGGGTTTCACCGAAGTGGTAAACGTCTGAGACCTGCATCACTTCGGGCTTTCTTCCCACATCAAGCTGATAAGCCGTGATATAACTGGAATACTGTTAAAAGTGGCGTTAAACCAAACTCTCTCACTCACTCACTGTCTGTGTTCCAGGTGAGATGCAGGAGACATGGTCGGTGGACAACCTGTTCATTGGCACAATGCCCATGAACCCAGGCTCCCTGTATGAGGACTTCGACAGTGGCCAAGCTGACCAAGAGGGCTGGATGTTTATAAACAATGGACGTGTTGGGGAATATTGTCAGTTCAATAAGGGGTAAGTGTGAGAACTTTGGAAAGAAGATTTCTAGCTTTAGAATATTTAGTGTTTCTAATATAAAATTAATTACAGTGTAACACAGTGATGTACTACAGTGTTCAGAATACCGGTCCCAGCCCGATCTGGTATTGATATCTAGAGACAACTCATCATTAACTTTAACAGCAGGGTTATGACAATACTTTCTTTCTTCATTCAAACACTTTAGATACTACGTCAATAAGGTGATGGTTGCAGTAAACATATACCATTGTCAGTAAGGTGATGCTAGCAGCAAACATATACCATTGTCAGTAAGGTGATGGTAGCAGTAAACATATACCATTGTCAGTAAGGTGATGGTAGCAGTAAAGATATACCATTGTCAGTAAGGTGATGGTAGCAGTAAACATATACCATTGTCAGTAAGGTGATGCTAGCAGTAAAGATATACCATTGTCAGTAAGGTGATGGTAGCAGTAAACATATTCCATTGTCAGTAAGGTGATGGTAGCAGTAAAGATATACCATTGTCAGTAAGGTGATGGTAGCAGTAAAGATATACCATTGTCAGTAAGGTGATGGTAGCAGTAACGATATACCATTGTCAGTAAGGTGATGGTAGCAGTAAAGATATACCATTGTCAGTAAGGTGATGGTAGCAGTAAAGATATACCATTGTCAGTAAGGTGATGATAGCAGTAAACATATACCATTGTCAGTAAGGTGATGGTAGCAGTAAACATATACCATTGTCAGTAAGGTGATGGTAGCAGTAAAGATATACCATTGTCAGTAAGGTGATGGTAGCAGTATATATATACCATTGTCAGTAAGGTGATGCTAGCAGTAAACATATACCATTGACAGTAAGGTGATGCTAGCAGTAAAGATATACCATTGTCAGTAAGGTGATGGTAGCAGTAACGATATACCATTGTCAGTAAGGTGATGGTAGCAGTATAAATATACCATTGTCAGTAAGGTGATGCTAGCAGTAAACATATACCATTGACAGTAAGGTGATGCTAGCAGTAAACATATATTCCATTGACAGTAAGGTGATGGTAGCAGTAAACATATACCATTGTCAGTAAGGTGATGGTAGCAGTAAACATATACCATTGTCAGTAAGGTGATGGTAGCAGTATATATATATACCATTGTCAGTAAGGTGATGCTAGCAGTAAACATATACCATTGACAGTAAGGTGATGGTAGCAGTAAACATATACCATTGTCAGTAAGGTGATGATAGCAGTAAACATATACCATTGTCAGTAAGGTGATGGTAGCAGTAAACATATACCATTGTCAGTAAGGTGAAGATAGGAGTAAAAGATATACCATTGTCATAAAATGATGATACTAGTAAAAGATACCATTGTCAATAAGCTGATGACAGAAGACGGTAGGAAAGTAGGACATGCCCGATTGGCCGGACCCGTGGATCTGCTTGTGCAGTCTTGTCAGTCATCTCTCATTACAGCTCTACACCAGTAGGTGTTCGTCATTTGGGTCACATGTACTACAATTATTTCCCAATAATGTACTCTGTACAAAACACGTTACAACAGTGCCACTTGAGCTGCATATATCTGTAGATTTACTCATACACCTTGGCCCTGGGCTTGTGGGTCTTGAATGTTAAGTGTAAAAAGTGTTACCTCTATGGGTCCCTGAGGTTAGCTGCTATAGTATTTGACATAGTGACCACTTAAATCAAGACCCCTTGACTTCCTACTTAGTTTGGAAGACTATGTATGAACTAAATACTGTACATATGTACTTACATTGATTTATGATTGACTATTCCCATGGTTGATATGTTGAATCTCCCCAGGACAGATACATCAACATCGGGTGACTCCGCCCTTGTGTTCCGGAGGTCGACTGGGGGAGAGTTATCTGCTGTTACCCGTGACCTTGACGTTGGACCTATGTCAGTTCTACAGTTTGATGTAAGTAACGTTCATTTTGTGCATTATTGCTTACTTCTAGAGGTAATTTTGCAATAGTGTAATACTGTTGCAAATGTTCTACCACTATTGTGATACTATTGCAAAAGCTCTACCACTACCATAATACTTTTGCAAAAGTTTTACCACTATTGTCATACTGTTGCAAAAGGGTTACCACTATTGCAATACTGTTGCAAATGTTTTACCACTATAGTAATACTGTTGCAAAAGGGTTACCACTATAGTAATACTGTTGCAAAAGGGTTACCACTATAGTAATACTGTTGTAAAAGGGTTACCACTATTGTAATACTGTTGCAAAAGGGTTACCACTATAGTAATACCGTTGCAAAAGGGTTACCACTATAGTAATACTGTTGAAAAGGGGTTACCACTATTGTAATACTGTTGCAAATGTTTTAACACTATTGTAATACTGTTGCAAAAGGGTTACCACTATTGTAATACTGTTGCAAATGTTTTAACACTATTGTAATACTGTTGCAAATGTTTTACCACTATTGTAATACTGTTGCAAAAGGGTTACCACTATTGTAATACTCTGCAAAAGGGTTACCAGTATTGTAATACTCTGCAAAAGGGTTACCAGTATTGTAATACTCTTGCAAAAGGGTTACCACTATTGTAATACTGTTGCAAAGAATTGCAATTATTTGAATGTATGTTTCCATGGTACAGATTTCCTGGCATTATTTGACATTATGTAAAACCATACTATAAATTATATTTCAGTTATATCATGACTAGTCAAATTGTGGTGATGCCTACAAGCATGGGTTGATGTTGACAAACCTTGACACAGAATCACAGTGATTTGTGGTGCCTTGGACCCATGCCCACTCGCAGTAATGAAACATGTTTTTTTTCTCCAAAATACTGAATCACCTAGAGGTGGGTTTGCGTTATGCTTGGGTGCGCACTACACTCAAGAAAATGTGGTAGTGTGTTGCAGTGACAGTGTGTTCTGTGTGTCTCCAGATTAATGTCGGCTGTGGTTCTGAGGCCACCAACAAGTACCCAGTCAGGCTGCAGTACTCTGCCGATCGAGGCAAAACGTGGGCCCCTGTTGTACCCAACTGTGCCGAGGTGTCAAGTGTCCGATGTTTCGACAGCACATTACCACAGACGGTTTACTATGGCGGTACATCACCAAACTGGCGGCGAATTGTGGTGCCGCTCGATAACCTTCTTGTGTGTGGGTAAGTGTAGTAGCTTCCATTTGAAATGCTAGTCATAAGAGTGAGTGAGTGAGCTGGATTTAACGTCGCTTTGAACAGTATTTGAGTTATATCACGGCGTGTCAGGTTAGTGTGGGAGGAAAGCCTGACGTGATGCAGGTCTCAGATGTTTACAACTTAATGCTGAAAAACATAGAAATAAAAGTGGGAGAACCAGGATTCAAACTAGCCATAGTAGGTTTCGTGCGTGCCTTTTGTCATAAGGGCCAACTAATATGAATCATGACTAAGTTTTTGTTTGTTGTTAAACGCTGCACACAGCAATATTCCAGCTATATGACGGTGGTCAATCCAGTGATTGACATCATGAGCATCTATCCACGCAAGTGGGATCGATATGGATCAACCAACTCAGCGAGCCTGGCCACCCGATCCTGTTAGTTGCCTCTTACGACAAGCATAGTCGCCTCTTACAGTTAGTATGGGTTGCTGAAGACCTATTCTATCCCGGATCTTCTAAGTGTGGCCAGACTGGTTGATAGCAACGGAACATGGAGAACTTCACTATAAATATTATCAAGAATTGCGATACATCTAGGTGTTGACGTAGACATATCGTGACTCCCCTACTGTAATGCAATCTGTGTGGAACTGATGTGTATATATGACCATGTTTCAGGGCAATGAGATTCCGCTGGTACCAGGGGGCAGTGCCCGAATACGACTTTGCGCCCGAGTGGGCGATAGACAACGTTTACATCGGCATGGCCTGCATCGACCACTGTAACGGGCATGGGTTCTGCGTGAACGGCATGGTGTGCATGTGTGACGAGGGCTACTCGGGGGAGAGGTGTGTGGTGGACGGACACAAACCCACGTATCTGAAGGAGGACTTCAACCCGCCCAGTGTCTTCTCCCTGCTGCCCCTGAGAGGGGACGTGTCTCAGTCCACTGTCCTGGATGGTAGGCATCATATTTCTACCCTGAATTTGCAAGTAATTTATTCAGAGCCAGCTATACTTCTTCTCCAATGGTGTTTGGTATATGCCCCAACAATGTACTCCAACCATTATACAGTACTGCTGCTCTTGCTGCTAGTACTCTGGACATTGAATGGAAGGTGGAAAGTGCCGTTTGCCTGAATGGTTTATTTTATACACCTATGCTATTTATGGGACCCAAATACTTGACTGTGAACATTGTATAAAGTTAAATGAAATTATTTTGGGGATCTGATGTATGGAACCAATGAGCTGACGAATCTAGAAACATAATTGGGCGAACCAGGATTCGAACACACAATCATCGGTTTCTGGCGTATCCAAGGGGTGCAACTCTGCATAGTGAATTATGGCACCTTAAATGACTTGGCCACCCATTTCCCCTTAATGGATTAAAGGCAGTGGCAGTACTATATGTTTACTGGTATAGCATGATTATTCTGGAAACATAAGATGTCTGCACAAAACGCTGACTTCAAGTTATGAGATTTTGTAACGTGATGTTGTGGAGTAAATGCAACAACTCACTTTGTGAGAGTGTAACTGTTTGTGTCCACCTCTAGCCAGCCAACAACTGGACAGGGAGAGGTGGTCAGCGTGGAGCGGAGGCAGACCCTCAGACCAGTGTGGGAGTCTCTTCACAGAACCCAGTCTGCACTATGGTAACACCGGTGACAGGGTGCTTGTTACCACGGAGATGGATCTCTCCCGAGTTAGGTCAGTACACTGTTATTGTTGGATTGTAACTATGGTAACACTGGCAACCTGTTGCTTGTTACTACGGAGATGGATCTCTCCCGAGTTAGGTCAGTACACTGGGATTGTTGGATTGTAACTATGGTAACACTGGCAACCTGTTGCTTGTTACTACGGAGATGGATCTCTCCCGAGTTAGGTCAGTACACTGGGATTGTTGGATTGTAACTATGGTAACACTGGCGACCTGTTGCTTGTTACTGTGGTGGTCCATCACAGAGAGAAATGGAGGTTGATCATGAACATCTGTTTGTCTGTGTTTCCTAGCACCATGCAGTTCTACCTGAAGCTGGGCTGCTACCAAGGGGTCCAGCCCACCTTACCAGTCTTCCTCCAGTATTCCGTCAACGGCGGCATCAACTGGGTCACCATCGAACAGTTTGACTTCAACGACCAAAGCAACAGTCCACAGTATGTTGCCCTACCCCTTCCCAACACAGCACGCTCCAACTCCACCTTGCTGCGATGGTGGCAGCCATCACTAGATGGGACATATGCTGAAGATTGGGCCATTGACCAGGTAACATGATTTACAGACTGCTCTTTAACCCTTGTCCAGGATCACCATGAAGATTTCAGGTTAGAGCTGATCTTCAGCAACCCATGCTTGTCGAGGGACGACTAACAGGATTGGGTGTTGGTTGATGCATGTCATCAAATCACAATTTGCGTAGATTGATGCTCATGATATCAATCACTGGATTGTCTGGTCCAGAGTCAAATTATTTACAGAATGCCGTCATATAACTGTCATATTGCTGAGTGTGGCGTTAAATAACAAACAACAAACCTCATCCAGGATGATTGGTGAAACATCTTAATCATTCTGATTCTAGACTCATGTAATGAATACACATGTACAAGGTAGATGTAAAGTTGTTGAATATCTGTCATTATGATCAGGAAGGAGAATTTTTCCCTGCTGTTGGTCTACATTGTATAACACTTCTCCTGGTGTAGGTCTACATTGTATAACACTTCTCCTGGTGTAGGTCTACATTGTATAACACTTCTCCTGGTGTAGGTCTACATTGTATAACACTTCTCCCAGCTGATGGTCTACATTGTATAACACTTCTCCTGGTGTAGGTCTACATTGTATAACACTTCTCCTGGTGTAGGTCTACATTGTATAACACTTCTCCTGGTGTAGGTCTACATTGTATAACACTTCATCTGGTTGTAGGTATACATTGTATAACACTTTTCCTGGTGTAGGTCTACATTGTATAACACTTCTTCTGGTGTAGGTCTACATTGTATAACACTTCTCCAAGCTATAGGTCTACATTGTATAACACTTTTCCTGGTATAGGTCTACATTGTATAACACTTCTCCTGGTGTAGGTCTACATTGTATAACACTTCTCCTGGTGTAGGTCTACATCGGTGGTGACATCTATGGGGAGGATGTTCTGCAGGATGAGCCTGGTGCCCCTCGGGACTCCACGTGGCTGATGTATCCTGGTGGGGATGTGGAGAAGGTGTGCGGCTCTTTGGCTGAAGCCATGCACTTCAATGGTGAGATATGACCATGACCGTTGAGACATGACCGTTGAGACTTGACCAGTGAGACATGGCTGGTGAGATATGACCCATGATACATGGCTGGTGAGACATGACCCATGATACATGGCTGGTGAGATGTGACCAATAATACATGGCTGGTGAGACATGACCAATAATACATGGCTGGTGAGACATGACCTATGATACATGGCTGGTGAGACATGACCTATGATACATGGCTGGTGATACATGACCCATGATACATGGTTAGTGATACATGACCCAAGATACATGGCTGGTGAGACATGACCAATGATACATGGCTGGTGAGACATGACCCATGATACATGGTTAGTGATACATGACCCATGATACATGGCTGGTGATACATGACCCATGATACATGGTTAGTGAGACATGACCTATGATACATGGCTGGTGAGACATGACCAATGATACATGGCTGGTGAGACATGACCAATAATACATGGCTGGTGAGACATGACCAATAATACATGGCTGGTGAGACATGACCTATGATACATGGCTGGTGAGACATGACCAATGATACATGGCTGGTGAGACATGACCTATGATACATGGCTGGTGAGACATGACCTATGATACATGGCTGGTGAGACATGACCAATGATACATGGCTGGTGAGACATGACCTATGATACATGACTGGTGAGACATGACCCATGATACATGGTTAGTGAGACATGACCTATGATACATGGCTGGTGAGACATGACCAATAATACATGGCTGGTGAGATGTGACCAATAATACATGGCTGGTGAGACATGACCAATGATACATGGCTGGTGAGACATGACCTATGATACATGACCAATGAGATGTGACCTATGATACATGGCTGGTGAGACATGACCAATAATACATGGCTGGTGAGACAAGACCTATGATACATGGCTGGTGAGACATGACCTATGATACATGGTTAGTGAGACATGACCCATGATACATGGCTGGTGAGACATGACCAATAATACATGGCTGGTGAGACATGACCAATAATACATGGCTGGTGAGACATGACCAATGATACATGGCTGGTGAGACATGACCTATGATACATGACTGGTGAGACATGACCCATGATACATGGTTAGTGAGACATGACCTATGATACATGGCTGGTGAGACATGACCCATGATACATGGCTGGTGAGATGTGACCAATAATACATGGCTGGTGAGACATGACCAATGATACATGGCTGGTGAGACATGACCTATGATACATGACCAATGAGATGTGACCTATGATACATGGCTGGTGAGACATGACCAATAATACATGGCTGGTGAGACAAGACCTATGATACATGGCTGGTGAGACATGACCTATGATACATGGTTAGTGAGACATGACCCATGATACATGGCTGGTGAGACATGACCAATAATACATGGCTGGTGAGACATGACCAATAATACATGGCTGGTGAGACATGACCAATGATACATGGCTGGTGAGACATGACCTATGATACATGACTGGTGAGACATGACCCATGATACATGGTTAGTGAGACATGACCTATGATACATGGCTGGTGAGACATGACCAATAATACATGGCTGGTGAGATGTGACCAATAATACATGGCTGGTGAGACATGACCAATGATACATGGCTGGTGAGACATGACCTATGATACATGACCAATGAGATGTGACCTATGATACATGGCTGGTGAGACATGACCAATAATACATGGCTGGTGAGACAAGACCTATGATACATGGCTGGTGAGACATGACCTATGATACATGGTTAGTGAGACATGACCAATGATACATGGCTGGTGAGACATGACCAATAATACATGACTGGTGAGACATGACCCATGATACATGACCCGCGAGATGTGACCCATGATACTTGACCCGTGAGATGTGACCTATGATACATGACCCATGAGACGTGACCTATGATACATGACCAGTGAGATGTGACCTATGATACATGACCCGTGAGATGTGACCTATGATACATGACCCATGAGATGTGACCCATGATACATGGCTGGTGAGATGTGACCTATGAGACCAGTTGGACATGACCAGTGAGATGTGACCTATGATACATGACCCGTGAGATGTGACCCATGATACATGACCCGTGAGATGTGACCCATGATACATGGCTGGTGAGATGTGACCTATGATACATGACCCGTGAGATGTGACCCATGATACATGACCCATGAGATGTGACCCATGATACATGGCTGGTGAGATGTGACCTATGAGACCAGTGGGACATGACCAGTGAGACACGACCAGTGGGACTTGAACATTGAGACATAACCTATGAGACATGACAGTTCAAATATAACTGGTTTCACTTGACCAGTGAGACATGACCAGTGAAACTTGACTATTGAGACATCGCCTGTGATACTTGCAGACACTACCAGGGAAAGGACTGGGAAAGGCACAAGATCTGCATAATTGAAGAATTGAACAAAACACTTAGACATTGTTATGAAAGTCATCAGATGTGTTCATATGAATGAGAACTAAACTTTCTTCATTCCAACAATTGCATGTTTGAGAATTTTGACAACACTAAATGCATAGGTAAGGATAAAGTGTGTCAAAAGGCTGATTTTAGAGGCGATATTAAACGTTATTTCTAATATTTGAACTTGAGCAAGTCTTAGACCCAAACTGATTTTCACAGGAGATGAATATAAAAACATTACAAATATATAGTAATAAATTCATCTTGGATCACAGACTTCGTACTTAGATTTTCATTTGAAGTTGTACGAAGTTGTCTCTTTCACTCATTTTCACCATATTTGTGCATTTGTTCATGTCCGAAATCCAAAACATGCAAGTGTTAGAAAGGAAAAAAGAGACAAGTTGTCAGTCATTTGACGTGTCTGATAATTTTCATATCAATATTTCCAAGTTTTCTGCAACTTATCATTTGACATTTCCACTGGGCCAAAGGTCCTTATCCTGCCTCCTCCTCTGACATAGAAGAGAGAGACAAAAGTATAACCTGTCTGTGGTCTTCTTTAATTATGTTACTCTCTTCAACATTTACATATAGCAGACCCGTGAAGATCCGGGGTAGAATGGGTCTTCAGCAACCCATGCTTGCCGTAAAAGATGACAATGCTGGTCAAAAGAGGCGACTAATGGGATCAGGTGGTCAGGCTCGCTGACTTGGTTGATGCATGTCATCGTATCCCAATTATGTGGATCAATGCTCATGATATCAATCACGGGATTGTATGGTCAAGACTCGAATATTTATAGATCGCCGTCATATAGCTGGAATATTGCTGAGTGCGACATTAAACAACAAACAAACAAAACAAACAAACAAACAAACAAACAAAACAAACAAACATAGCAGGCTAAATGTTCATGCTCTTATTCTGTTGATTTGTAGTACATATTTTTGATCAAATATATGTTAGGCATTTACTGTAAAACGTGAAATTAATGCGTCTCCAAAAGAATGCGACAGCTGGCCCCTAGCCAAAAATGAGACTCAATATGAATGCGACACCCCCTCCTCTCAAGCATCAGTGGATTTATATCTAAACAAAATGTCCTCTGTCCAGTTTACAGGAGAATCCTCACCTCAATCCAACCTTACATTAATCCAATCACACACCAAATAGCACCGCTTATTAGCGCTGAGTAGAGTACTTCAGCTAAAACAATACGTGCGTGCTGGCTCTTGTCGGCCTTTGATGCAGTCGCAAAGAGCAAAGACACCGTGTTGGGTGGCGTCTGTCTGTTGAACGCTTGTCTTGAACCCAGCAGTGACAATTCACAGGATGTAATTAGTGTTTGAATGACATTGTTTATACACTTGTTACAAGTGCTGCTCAATAAACATTGATGTGGAATACATAGTTGTTTGTTTTCAGCGTATCTCTAAGTTGGTATTTCTGCTATCCAAAATGTCTTATTGTTGATATAAATGCGATGTTTAATAATGTGAGCAAAGACCACTCTCATTAATTTAATTTAATTCATGCTCGCGTTAATTTCACGTTTTACAGTAGTTTGTATGCAAACATTTATTGAAAGAACACTATATTTGAAACGGTGAGTCAGGTTAGGAGCAGACATACACATGTTCAAGGATGACTCTGTATCGCTTTCCTGATTCTGTGTCAGGACTTGAGAACATGCGGTACGCCATCTCTGCCGACGTTGATGTCAGAGAGGGGAGCTTCGTGCAGTTTGATGTTGCCATGGGGTGTGAGCCAACGGAAGAGAACTGTTATCGTAAGTAGAATTGTTACACTTCATTAAATGTTGGCCTACAAAATGATTGAAAGGGGGCGGTCGGGTAGCCTAGAGGTTAAAGCATTCGTTCGTCATGCCGAAGACCCAGGTTCGATTCCTGACATGGGTACAATGTGTGAAGCCCATTTCTGGTGTCCTTCGCTGTAATATTGCTGGAATATTGCTAAAAGCGGCGTAAAGCCATACTCACTCACTCACTCACTCACTGATTGAACCCTTGCTTCATGCATGGGCTGTCAACCTGAAGGTTCAGACTTTGCAAGGCACCGTGCAGTGGCGGATCTAGAGGGGGGGTCCTTGGGGTGTCCACCCCTCCTTTTTCACATCTGATGACATTTTGTATGCACATTTCCTAATTATATGTTGATTTAGTTGTTAAAGTAAAATTATTAATAATAGTTTACATGTAGTGTTTGTCACTCACTCACTCACTCACTCACTCACTCACTCACTCACTCACTCACTCACTCACTCACTCACTCACTAATTTACTAATTTACTCACTCACTCACTCTGGCGTGTTCAGACATGGACCTGGAGTTCTCTCTGGACATGGGCAAGACGTGGAGTCTCCTGCAGCGAGCATGTGTTCCCTCCGACGTCGACTGCAGCTCCTACTTCATCAGCTCCCAGTACCAGTCGGACATGTACGCCGGCTGGAACAGAGTCACCATACCTCTGCCGTACTACACCAGGTACGTGTTAGTCTTACTTCACCAGGTACGTGTTAGTCTTACTACACCAGGTACGTGTTAGTCTTACTACACCAGGTATGTATAAGTCTTACTACACCAGATAGATGTTAGTCTTACTACGCCAGGTATGTGTTAGTCTTACTACACCAGATAGATGTTAGTCTTACTACACCAGGTACGTGTTAGTCTTACTACACCAGGTATGTATAAGTCTTACTACACCAGATAGATGTTAGTCTTACTACGCCAGGTATGTGTTAGTCTTACTACACCAGGTACGTGTTAGTCTTACTACACCAGACAGATGTTAGTCTTACTACGCCAGGTATGTGTTAGTCTTACTACACCAGGTATGTGTTAGTCTTACTACACCAGATAGATGTTAGTCTTACTACACCAGGTACATGTTAGCCTTACTACACCAGGTACGTGTTAGTCTTACTACACCAGGTACATGTCAGTCTTACTACACCAGATAGATGTTAGTCTTACTACACCAGGTACGTGTTAGTCTTACTTCACCAGGTACATGTTAGTCTTACTACACCAGGTACGTGTTAGTCTTACTACACCAGGTATGTATAAGTCTTACTACACCAGATAGATGTTAGTCTTACTACACCAGGTATGTGTTAGTCTTACTACACCAGGTACATGTCAGTCTTACTACACCAGGTATGTGTTAGTCTTACTACACCAGGTACATGTCAGTCTTACTACACCAGGTACATGTCAGTCTTACTACACCAGGTACGTGTTAGTCTTACTACACCAGGTACATGTTAGTCTTACTACACCAGGTACATGTCAGTCTTACTACACCAGGTACGTGTTAGTCTTACTACACCAGGTACGTGTTAGTCTTACTACACCAGGTACATGTCAGTCTTACTACACCAGGTACATGTCAGTCTTACTACACCAGGTACATGTCAGTCTTACTTCACCAGGTACATGTTAGTCTTACTACACCAGGTACGTGTTAGTCTTACTACACCAGGTATGTATAAGTCTTACTACACCAGGTACATGTCAGTCTTACTACACCAGGTATGTGTTAGTCTTACTACACCAGGTACATGTCAGTCTTACTACACCAGGTACATGTCAGTCTTACTTCACCAGGTACATGTTAGTCTTACTACACCAGGTACATGTCAGTCTTACTACACCAGGTACATGTCAGTCTTACTACACCAGGTATGTGTTAGTCTTACTACACCAGGTACATGTCAGTCTTACTACACCAGGTACATGTCAGTCTTACTACACCAGGTACGTGTTAGTCTTACTACACCAGGTACATGTCAGTCTTACTACACCAGGTACGTGTTAGTCTTACTACACCAGGTACATGTCAGTCTTACTACACCAGGTACGTGTTAGTCTTACTACACCAGGTACGTGTTAGTCTTACTACACCAGGTACATGTCAGTCTTACTACACCAGGTACGTGTTAGTCTTACTACACCAGGTACATGTCAGTCTTACTACACCAGGTACATGTCAGTCTTACTACACCAGGTATGTGTTAGTCTTACTACACCAGGTACATGTCAGTCTTACTACACCAGGTACATGTCAGTCTTACTACACCAGGTACGTGTTAGTCTTACTACACCAGGTACATGTCAGTCTTACTACACCAGGTACGTGTTAGTCTTACTACACCAGGTACATGTCAGTCTTACTACACCAGGTACGTGTTAGTCTTACTACACCAGGTACGTGTTAGTCTTACTACACCAGGTACATGTCAGTCTTACTACACCAGGTACGTGTTAGTCTTACTACACCAGGTACATGTCAGTCTTACTACACCAGGTACGTGTTAGTCTTACTACACCAGGTACATGTCAGTCTTACTACACCAGGTACGTGTTAGTCTTACTACACCAGGTACGTGTACGTGTACGTGTACGTGTTAGTCTCCTTGTTCATACAGCAGAAACATTTAAACGGTTTATAAAAATATATTTTCCAGGTCTAAATCAACACGATTTCGATGGCAGCAGCCAAGGGGTTTCATTCCAAGTCAGTCCTGGGCGCTGGCCCACTTGTACATTGGTGGGGAGTGCAGGTCCATGTGTAGCGGTCACGGTCGGTGCTTTGAAGGCAGCTGTGTGTAAGTATAGTCAGTCTTGAACTCTGTATATCAGTGTTTCCCTGTTTAATGCCACTCTTAGCAATATTCCAGCTATGTGACAGTGGTCATTAAAAAATAAAATCTGGACCAGACAATCCAGTGAGTGACATCATGAGCAATTGGGATACAATTGCAAACATCAACCAAGTCAGCGACCCCGACCACCTTCTTCTGTTTGTCGACACTTATGACAAGCATGGGTTGCTGAAGACCAGTTCTAACCCGAATCTTCACGGGGGCTAAATTGGTGGGGAGTGTATGTTCTTATGAAGGGGTCCGTGGTTAAAGCATAAAGGGATATCTGTATGGGTATGAGAGGTCTCTCCAGGATATATAGCTCTGTACCACTCCGTCCACCCAGAGAGCGGAAAGTTACGGGTTTGATCCCCAGCCACGTCATACCAAAAGTTAAAAGATGATACTTGTTGTTACCCTGTCTGGCGCTCGGTATTAAGAGGGTAAAACAAGGACTGGTCGGCTCGGGTCAGTATACTGTATAAATCGGCATCAGTCCGGACTAGTACAAGCAGCCACACACACACACGTGATGCACATCGCTATATAAGTGCAATAATCTTGGACGTGTCGTTAAACCCTATTTCACCATCACATAGCTCTGTAATGTCATCTGTATAGGAGGATGTACACGATTCACAGCTAGTCCCAGCAGTCCCACAGAACCACATTCTAGTATTCATGGGATAGAGGAGAGAGGCACAAAAAAAGCAGCAGCTGTGTGTAAATCAAACAGTTATCTCCTTCTCATAAGTCTGAGGCAAAAAAATCTTGATGATCTCCCAAGTCATTCCACAGTCATTCTCTCTGAGGAATCCAATGAAAGATGGAACTACTTTTCCAACAGATCACTAAAAGTATCCTCAATGATAACTTGATATTTCTAGCCTTAAAATAAAAACTTATATTACATGCTTCCTTATATTTGGTGCAGGGTCTCGAATGGCCAGGAATTCTTAGCTGTTGCAGCTTGTTATGCAGAGTTGCTTCCCTTATCAGTGTCAGGATTTGAATATCGTGGTTCTGAAACCTGGATTTGACCAAACTATTGATATGTACTTAGTCAGCATCATTCATACCCATGGTTGTGTTTGTGACTTCAGTTATAAACTTTACAATTTTCAAAAATCTTGGTGGTAAGAAAGCTCAAACCAAACTCAAGCCAAAATGAACAGAAATTACTGTTCAGAACTATGGTAAACTAAATATGCTTACTCAATATTTGAATCAGGTGGTAAGTAGTATTTTGTAGAGAATGGCACCAAAATTAGTACTAAACAGACATTGTAATGGATCTGAATTTCTATTAAATTTATCGGATCCTGGACAAGAATTGGCCTTGGTTAGGTAAGTAGAACATTCAGTAAGCCATATATTGTTCCCTGAAAGCCATGCCTTGGTTCCTACCCACAGTTGTGATGAGGGATGGACTGACGCAGATTGCCGAACTCCGATCACTCCCCTCCCTGGTGGACTGGTGGACGACTTCACTGTTGCAGCAGACGACACTAACTGGGTTAAACTGGTTGGAGGGGAAGTGGCACGTCCTTGTAAGACTCTAGCCAATGGGAAGGCTCTTCACTTCACTGGGGTGAGTTGCGTGAGATACCAGTTATTATATCCATTTTCAGTCATGAAATAATTTGGAAGAATTTGTTCTTTTGATCATTATAGTTTATTTTGTAATTGGCTGAGATATGCAGTAAATACATTTTTCTGTCATTATTCGAACAGAAAGAGTCTTATAACACAACAATGTGACAGCTATTGCTCTGCTGTGAGATGCTACTTCTTGCTAAGATGTTTACAACAGTTTCCTGCAATTCCTAGAGTTTGTTTTAAATTAAGTTACAGATATAGAGAAATCCTGTTAATCCAGACAGGTCCATTCTCATTAAAATTGTCAAGATTGACAAATTTCTGTATTTATGAATCAATGGTAGATGTTCCTATAAGGGTAACACTATTTTTCAGGGCATTATCATTTGCAGAAGCCCGAGGCCTTCCATTAACTGAAAAGACCGAGGGCTTCTGCAAATGATAATGCCCTGAAAAATAGCGTTACCCTTATTATAGCTCAAAAGGATGGAATTTGTTATCAAATAAAAAGAAACAACAATATCGGTTTTGAAACATTTACTGCAATTAACGCAAATGTCACTGACCCACTTTTACAAATATGGAAACGTCATAAAACAAACCAGACAACGTCACTATTGAACGTGACGTCACCTATCCCTAACCTATGACGTTGCCTAACAACGGGCGTGATAATGGCCGGTCGTCAAGCAATATGAGGGCATTATCAAGTTACAGTGGCCCGCTTATTTTTTATAACATGCTGGCGGTTTAATGATAATTCAATCTATTTTAGCTATAACAACAATTATTGCTGCTACAGAAGGCTTCAGAACGGATGAGGGCCAATCTAATAGGGTTTCACTTAAATATCTGAATTTTACAAGATGGACAGCTTATGCTCTATACACGTTTTATAGTTTATAGTTTATAGTTTATAGTGATGGTTAAGTGTACAACACATCTTCAGGATGTTAAAGTAAACTATCTCCTTCTTTCAGAGTTGCAGCCGAGCTCTCATCACTCGTGACCTTGACCTCTCTGATGCAAAATTCATCCAGTTCTACTTCCTGTTTGGCTGTAACTCTCTGCCTGTGAACCGTGACCAGAGCGTTCTGGTCGACTTCTCTGCTGACGGTGGCATTAGCTGGATCCCAGTCACGGAGCTATACTACAACCTGTACAGACAACCAACGTAAGTAGCAGGGGACAAACACAGTGTCTCTCGCACATGTCTGATGTCACACTTTCGTAAAGACAAATGCCTCTGTTAAAGATGAACATTGATGCCTCTGTGGCGCTGAAGGTACCGCACTGGTACTACAGATACCTACCCCAGGTACATTTCTGTTTACAGAAAAATACCCCAGCTAAAATCAAAATACAGAAAGGTAACCCCTGTAAGGTGCCAAAATCTACCCCCCTTCAGAGTATACCCGGGTATACTTTGAAGGGGGGGTGTATACTTTCAGACTTTACACCGGTACCCCAAACGGTGGACGAATCTATATTCATCAACCCGAAACCGAAACGTGTTCATATCATAGCTCTAATTTGCCTGATGACGAGTCTATGCTGGATTATGTGGAATATTAGAGTAATGTACATACTTCAATATGTTTGCTCGTTTTTATATAGCACACTGGAATGCATGTCATACAACAGTATGACAGTCCCGATCAATTTATGGAAAGGAAATACTGAGAGAAACACATACTGCCATGTTGAATTTTACCCTGGTTTGGCATCCAGGACATGTCGTGTAAGCGTTCAAGGAAACCGGTTTAGTACATTGCGCAATACGACCGAATGGACTCATCCTAGGATGCCTTTCTGTATTCTGATATTGGCAAGGGTACATTTCTGTATCCACAAATGTGTCCTGGGGAACATATCACATACCTGTGCCGACAGCAACCCCTTCAGCATCTGTGGCAGATGGACACATCTTCTAGTGGCACTACAAATTTGATATGCATAGTTGTTGTAGTGTTTACAATAGTATTGATGTCATTTCATAGGTCGCAGGTCATAGGTCTATGTGCGATCGTGTCATACGTCCTCAATATTGCTGTAAGAATATGATGTCATAATATGACGTCATACACGAGATGGGTGGCCGCCATGTTGTAACGCCAAAGCACTGTACCAAAAGAACACCGAGAAAAAGAGTGTTACAGGCAACACAGATGTCTTTATTCCATATCAACAGTACAGTCTTGAAATCTTGAAATTGACACCTTCTCCGCATACTAATCAGTGAACTGTTGTTGGTTAAATTATTTTATTGCCTTTGAACTTCCTTTATGCCAGTCAACAGAGTAAACATATAAACTATGTGTTGTTTTTAGGAAAAAACACTGTTATTGTTTTTATGGAAGTGCTCTACTCAGCGCTAATAAGCAGTGCTATTTGCTGTTTAATTGGATTAAGGTAAGGATAGTATCATTCCACTGGGGGTGGGAGGGGGAGTCACATTTTTTAAATGGGGTCAGAAGTTGTATTAATTTGGAGACCCATTAATTTCCAGATTTACAGTAACTGAAATACTGTTCAATGCAGCATTTTACCCAACTCACTCACTCATTCACTGATGCCCACACATATCTGGAATCACTTGTGATGAAAGCTTTTCTGCTATGCTGTTTTTATTTGAATGGTAGCCATATTGGAAAAGCTATTTAGGGCCACTAGTCAGCCATTTATCATCAAAATGTACTGTAATGCTCAGAAATTCTCTTACATTCTGACTGAGAAAGCTGAGCTTTGGCAAGTATGTTTTTCCTCAGTTTGACCAGTCAGATTTGAGTATTTTCCAAATCCATGGTAGAATGATGCTTTGAATTCATCAAGTTGACCAGTACCTGTAGTCAGCATCTCTAAGGAATCCCATTTTAGATGTACTGTGGTACTTATGTTGTTTGACCTCATCTTGTACAGATTCATCAGCGTTCGCCTCCCCCCTGGGTCAAAGAAGCCGGGCGTGAGAGTCAGATGGTGGCAGCCCCAGCATGGTGGCCATATGCTGGGAGACTGGGTCATTGACAGCATCCGCATCAACGGCCAGGAAGACAACCCCACCATCCTCCACATCAACACCACAGACATCCTCGACCCCAAAAACTTCCCAACTACAGATAACCTTGAACTTGAAGATTTTTGTGGGTCGGATGATGTTGTGGTAGGGAGGACAAAGGATGGCGAAGCGTCAACACTGACCAGTCGAGAAGTGAAGCTGGTCAATGGTGCCATGCTACAGTTCTATATAAATGTTGGATGTGGTGTTTTGAGCAATGCATCTACACCCCCAGTCGAACTTAAATATTCCACAGATCATGGAATGACTTGGGATTTCCTTAATCCTCAGTGTCTACCAAATGACCCCCAATGTCGCAGCGGAGCGCAGATGCCTACCATGTTCTATGGAGATCCTTCAGCACAGTGGCAGAGGGTGGTGATCCCTCTCAACGGATTGCCCGTTTCCAAGTACGTCTCTATAACTGGTCCAGGTTCATGGCATACATTGGATACAAAAGTTATTTACTTAAGGTGTTTTCATCTGAATCTAAATCTGTTGATAATATCAATAGTCTAGCATTGTATTGATATAGTATGTATCAACTATTGATATTCCAACTTTTGATAAATGTCGTATATCATCATCTGGCCTCACTCCAGTGACCTCTTCATCCTTCATTGTGACCATCCAGTCCCTGTTTTAGTTGCTCTCACAACATCATTTCTAGGGGCCTAATCTCCCTATACTGATGTTCCTAAAGGGTTACTGGGGAAAATAGTAGCATCAGATTATTCAGCTGGGGGTAGTCAAATGTTTTAAGGCCTGAAAACTTCAATGTCCAGGTCAATGCAGTTCAATCTCATTAAAATCAGATCTTAGTTCTTGCTATCGCTGAACAAAGATCTGAGGACATCCCATTACGGGTCACGTCAGAACGACCTTTCATCTGACCAATCAAATCGTCGCTTACCAGATCATGAAAGTGACAGTTGGAATGTGTTTTCTCATCATGCAACTTTGAAAACGTTAACACGGGGTATTCAGAACGACAGTTATGGTCCGTACGACTGATTCTGTCAAAATTATTGTCTATCTCTCGCTTCTGTGGTTCAAACATTTGAATGGAAGAGGTGTTGCACAGTACATTGGAAGTACCGGTACTGTCATACAATCTCAACCATATATTAGACATTCCGGAATGTTCATTTGTTCAGTTTTCAAAATTTTAATCGAGAACTATGCCAACATATTTTTCAAGCATAGTCTGAAATGGAAGTCGCCAGGTTGAAACGAGTACTGTAAAGCTCGAGAAAGCTGCTTTCTAACTGGCTGATGTTTGTCATTTCAGTGGTTGGTCAAAGTTCGCGAAAGGTCGTTCTGACATGACCCATAATGGGATGTCCTCAGATCTTTGTTCAGAGGCAGCGAGAACTTAGATCTGATTTTAATGAGATTGAATGCAGTTAAAATAAGACTATAGATATTTCCAAATAAGCTGGGATTGAAGGAAGTTAACTGAAAAAGGAGAGTCTCATGACACTGCTGAATAATGACAGTTTGCATGCAACATGTTTTAGGGATACAGTGAAATCCTGTTTATCTGGACATTGCTGTTCTCAGTGAAATCGTCTGATTAACAATATTTTGGATTATCATATTGGATCTTTTGTTGTAAAGAATCATGGATGGTAATGATCCACACTGTGGGCTTTCTGGAGTAACAGGGTTACGAGGTGTCACTATTTATACATGGCTTCTGTCTGGCAGTGGCACTCGGTTCCAGTGGGTTCAGAGACCCGATGGCTCCCCCACCCCCTACCACTGGGGCATCAAGGACATCTACATCGGACCTGCCTGCCCTGACCTTTGTAGCGGTCATGGTCACTGTGATTACCCACAATGCATCTGTGATACGGGCTATGGTGGAGAAGACTGCAAGACTGTGGATATCAATAGACCGGTGAGAACTATCTCAGTTCAATTTCTTGTTTTGCAGTCAATGTGGGGGGCACGGGTGGCCCAGTTGTCTTAGGCGTTGCGATTCGCTGTGCAGAGTTGCGTCCCTTGGGCACGCCAGAAACCTATGATTGTGGGTTCGAATCCCGGCTATTGATTGATCATGTGTTCATACATACCTCTAAATTAACAAACCTGATTTAAATCCCCATATTGACCAGTCAGAATAAGAAATTCTTCAATGTCATGGTAGAATTAATGTCATACTATTAACGTCAACCCTTTCATGGGGTGGCCTAGTGGTTATTGCAATTGCCTGTCATGCTGAAGGCCCTGGTTAGATTCCCCACATGAGAGCAATATGTGAGGGCCATTTCTGGCGTCCCAACAATGAGGATAATGGTGAAGGATATTATTGCTAAAATGGATAGACTTATCATCAAACCGTCCGCATGCTATCAGAAATGAGCAGGCCACTGTAACTTGATAATGCCCTCATATTGCTTGACGACAGGACATTATCACGCCCGTTGGTAGGTGACGTCATAGGTTAGGGATAGGTGATGTCATGTTCAATAGTGATGTTATCTGGTTTGTTCTATAACGTTTCCATATTTGTAAAAGTTGATCAGTGACATTCGTTGTGTGTTGATTACAGTAATTTTTTTCAAACAGATGTTGTTTATTTTTATTTGATAACAAATTCTATCCATTTTAGCTATAATAACGGTAACGCTCTTTTTCAGGGCATTATCATTTGCAGAAGCCTCCTTCGTCGGGCAGTTAATGGAAAACCTCGGGCTTCTGCCAATGATAATGCCCTGAAAAATAGCGTTACCCTTATAGTAGATAGCTCAGAGGCAGATCCAAGTTTTTGAATAAGGAGGGTGCACATAATGCTGACTTGACCAGTGCATCTGCCAGTGCATCTGCCAGTGCAACTCTGCTCTTCAGTTGGACCAGTTACATGTTGGACCTATTTTGTTTTGACTGTGACACCTCTTTCACATGGTGTTTGTTGCAAAGTTTTAATGATGTCTCACTCAGACGCAGCTGAAGGACACGTTTGACAAGCCGGGAGTGAACCACAGTAAGTGGACCGTGGTCCAGTCCGGGGACATCCAAGATGGCTGCTCTCCCCTGGTGGAGGGGACGTCCCTAGTGTTTGACGGGCCGGGAATGAGACAGGCTGTCACTGTGGACCTGGATCTGAGGAATGCTAAGTAAGGAACCTACTGCTTGTTAATGATGGTTGATGAAGTAGATATGTTTAATCTTGTGGAAAGATTCTTCTTAGCATCTCCCCGAGGCAGGGGAGTTAACCTACTAAAAAAGTTCAGTTTCCACCCTTGCCGAGCTAGATGGGAATTATGGAGTTATATTTTAGCCGGACTAATGAGTCTATACATAGTCCAGTCAAAATCGTGTAACGAAATTGACATCTGGTTCGTAAACTGACGTGCAGATGTCAGTCAATTGCAGGATATGCAAAGCATGTGTACAATCAACATCGACAGATATTTTCCAAATCTTTTCATGTCTTAATCAAGATGCTCAAATAATATTATACGCTTCACGAGGTAAGACACGTTTTATTACAGTATAGATCTTGATTATTGATCAGATCGTTTTGACTGGGTACGGCCATTTTGTTTGAAGCCAATGCAAGTAATATGGTAAGCTGAATATGATCAATAGGAAGGACATACAAGGCACATAACTCATTTTCACCATTGGTGGCACTATGACCGAGACACAATATGTCAGTCAAGTTCGGCAAGGGTGGAGACTGGACTTTTATAGTCCACTCCCTTTCTTCGGGAAGATGTCTTCAGAGATATTAACAGTTGAAAGAAAACTTATAAAGACATGAATAACTTGATTGCAATCAATTGACAGTTTGAGATAAAAGTATACCTGACGTCATGTCTGTTGTAGTGAGAAAAGAGAAAATGACTGAAAAGTTTTGTATTAAACAACGTCGATAAACATGGGTTTTCAGATTTTCAAGTTTTATTGAGTATAACACTGTCAGTTCCAAATGAAGTTTCTGGGCATTGAATACCCAATACAACCCACAAATCTGATGCACATAACATTTATCACCTCAGTAGGATGCTGTGGTAAACCTAATACTGCTCACTGGGCAAAACACAACACTACTTCCCACCTGGATACAACAAGTGTGATAACTTCCTGATGCTTGCACATGGCCATTTTAGTGATTCTCCATGCATTGGCCAGTTGAAGTGATATGACATCACATCATGCTTTATTGGAGATATGATGTCATCTATAAATATGTTCATGACATCACAATTCGATAACATCCTGTCATCTGAACAACAGACTGACGTCAGTGGAGTTTCTTGGGGATGACATTCAATATGTCTTTCTACATTTTCCTTTTGAACCCCAAAAATATAGATTATCTGTCCCCAACAAACAAACACTAATTGCCTCATGAAATGCTTGAGGCTTACGCCATCCACTTGGGTCAGATAATCTACACCGACTCCCATGTTTGACAGGTTCATGCAGTACACGGCGATGATCGGCGGCCAGAGTATCCGCCCCGGGTGCTACCTGCCCAGTTCCCGTGACCAGAGCGTCCTGCTTCAGTTCTCAGTGGATGGAGGTACTGTAGGCTAAGTTTCACACATGTAATCCGAAGCTGAAGACTATAACACTGTAATTAAACAAAATTAGGTGTTCTTTAACTTTCTTTGAATAGTATATATTATAAATTGTAAATTGAAAAACTATCTGCTTCAATTTGATTTGTTTGAAGGATTTATCAAATGACGTTTTAACCTCTGAAATTTGTAATACCGTCAATAGCAGTAATCTGACCATGGTTGCTGTAAATAACGGTGAGTTGTGTGATCGTTCGATCGCTTCACATACGATTTCGCCGAAATGAATGTAAACAATATTGAATGAAACTTTGGAGAAAATTAATAAGATAGATTACAAACATAAGTCCAGATTTACAATGAACACTATTTATAACCAGACAGTGTAATTACATGATTAGTTTATGTACTACAGTATGGATTTGTTGACATGGTATTTCCGGTGTTACGTTCTCACAGTAATGTCTTTGTGTTGGGAAATAAAACATCAAAACTCTTCCACCCTTGAAGCCCCCTAATTCTAGGTACAAAAACTCGCCTTATACACAGCAATATACGGTACTTACAGACCGCCGTCATATATCTGGAATATTGCTGAGTGCAGTGTTAAACTACAAACAAACAAACAAAACAAATCATAAATACAATAATATGATAAACAATGTTTCAGTACTTTGTTCACTACCGTAATGGCAATAGACACCCCACCCACTGCATAGTATGAAATACAAATGTTTCACATGTAGGATATTACAGAAATGTTTTATGATAAAATGGATCATGAACCGATGGAAGAACTGATGAGCGAAGTCTATTAAACTGATAAAGAGCTGTCATACATGAAGTCATGTGTGTTATTTTTGAGTGGTCCGGAATCTGAAATAATCATAAGCATACACAAACCATTGGTAGATTGGTCTGTTGTCTGTAATGGAGAAAACGTGAGCATCTGTTGATTCTACTTTTGGAACCAACAGATTGGAGTGATTTCTCCGACTTGAACCATGTTGTAGTTGAAGTATAATTTCCGTATAATTTTCCATAATGACCTATAGTTGCATCAGTTTTACTTAAATAATATGCCCGCTCAGACACAACAGCAAGAACAACAGTCATGATAATGAGTCTTTGAAAGGCATTTAGAAGTGATACCCATAAGGAATTTGACCTGATGAAGGAGTAAGTATAAACTCCGAAACGTTGTGTTCCTCATAATAAAGATGTTGACATCCATAAATACTCTTGTTATGTCATCATAATCGTTTAACTTTTGGCAACTTGAGATTATGTGGACATCAGCTGGTTACTGATTTGAACCAAAATGTGCAGAAATTGTGAAACAATATGTATTTGTTTTTGTTGTCTATTGTGGTGGGTAGCCTAATGAGTTAAATGTGCTTGACACTTGGTTGTTGATCATGACTGCAATCAGGGAAAGCTGGTGTTGTATGTAGTTCTACCTCGTTCCTACAGGCATCTCCTGGACCTCACTGCACACACTGGATTATGCCACATACCTCACACCACGTCAGGATTACCTCCCCTTGCCAGAGGCCGCGAGGACAGAGAGCACGCGGTTTCGGTGGTGGCAGCCGCTGCCCTCCGACCCTCAGATGGAGCTCCCCCTGTGGGCACTGGACAATGTCCTGGTGGGCGGGACCGAGATCAACCCCAGTCAGTTCCTCCACACCTTCAACCTCTCCATGCCGGTATAGTACTACTTTACTACCTTACATGCGTGTCTTGGATTGTTCCTGTGTCTATTGGATTGTTGCTGTGTGTCTTGGATTGTTGTTGCTGTGTGTCTTGGATTGTAGCTGTGTGTCTTGGATTGTTGCTGTGTATATTACATTGTAGGTGTGTGTATTGGATTGTTGCTGCTGTGTCTATTGGATTGTTGCTGTGTGTCTTGGATTGTTGCTGTGTATTTTACATTGTAGGTGTGTGTATTGGATTGTAGCTGTGTGTCTTGGATTGTTGCTGTGTGTCTTGGATTGTAGCTGTGTGTCTTGGATTGTAGCTGTGTGTCTTGGATTGTTGCTGGGTGTCTTGGATTGTTGCTGTGTGTCTTGGATTGTAGGTGTGTGTCTTGGATTGTAGGTGTGTGTATTGGATTGTAGCTGTGTGTCTTGGATTGTTTGTGTGTGTATTGGATTGTTGCTGTGTGTATTGGATTGCTTGTGTTGGTATTGGATTGTTTGTGTGTGTATTGGATTGTTTGTGTGTGTATTGGATTGTTTGTGTTTGTGTGTATTGGATTGTTGCTGTGTGTGTATTGGATTGTTTGTGTGTGTATTGGTTTGTTTGTGTGTGTATTGGATTGTTGCTGTGTATTGGATTGTTTGTGTGAGTGTGTATTGGAGTGTTTGTGTGTGTAATGGTTTGTTTGTGTGTGTATTGGATTGTTGCTGTGTATTGGATTGTTTGTGTGAGTGTGTATTGGAGTGTTTGTGTGTGTATTGGTTTGTTTGTGTGTGTATTGGATTGTTGCTGTGTATTGGATTGTTTGTGTGAGTGTGTATTGGAGTGTTTGTGTGTGTAATGGATTGTTTGTGTGTGTATTGGATTGTTGCTGTGTGTATTGGATTGTTGCTGTGTGTATTTGATTGTTGCTTTGTGTATTGGAGTGTTTGTGTGTGTATTGGATTGTGTGTGTGTGTATTGGATTGTCGCTGTGTGTATTGGATTGTTGCTTTGTGTATTGGATTGTTGCTGTGTGTATTGGATTGTTGCTTTGTGTATTTGATTGTTGCTGTGTGTATTGGATTGTTGCTGTGTGTATTGGATTGTTGCTTTGTGTATTTGATTGTTGCTGTGTGTATTGGATTGTTGCTGTGTGTATTGGATTGTTGCTGTGTGTATTGGATTGTTGCTTTGTGTATTGGATTGTTGCTGTGTGTATATGATATTTGCTGTGTGTATTGGATTGTTGCTGTGTGTATTGGATTGTTGCTTTGTGTATTGGATTGTCGCTGTGTGTATTGGATTGTTGCTGTGTGTATTGGATTGTTGCTTTGTGTATTGGATTGTTGCTGTGTGTATTGGATTGTTGCTTTGTGTATTGGATTGTTGCTGTGTGTATTGGATTGTTGCTATGTGTATTGTATTGTTGCTTTGTGTATTGGATTGTTGCTGTGTGTATTGGATTGTTGCTTTGTGTATTGGATTGTTGCTGTGTGTATTGGATTGTTGCTGTGTGTATTGGATTGTTGTGTGTATTGGATTGTTGCTGTGTGTATTGGATTGTTGCTGTGTGTATTGGATTGTTGCTGTGTATATTGGATTGTTGTGTGTATTGGATTGTTGCTGTGTGTATTCAATTGTGGCTTTGTGTATTGTATTTTCCTCATCTCCTGACAGCAAGATGACTCCTCAGACTATGAGTTCAGTCCGCACGGCAAAGTAGAGAGTGGCGTCTGCTCCAAGACCGATGGCGCTCTGTCGTACCAGGAGGGGTCGGGAGTCCGGGCTTTTACCACCAACCAGCTCATCGTGCAGACCGGATACATGCTGCAGTTCAAGGTGACACATGAACATTTGAAACTTATTCAATTATTTGTGACGACAGCAGTAGATATGTCCCCTTTTGGGATTCAGGGTTAGAATAGGTCTCCAGCAACCTATGCTGGTTGTAAGATGAGACTTGGTTGATCATGGATCAGTGGATTGGTTGATCAGACTCAGTGACTTGGTTGTCATCGTACCTCAGTGTGATTGCTGGTTATGATATCAATAAATTGGTTGTCTCGACAAGATTGTTAAAAGGCTAGCCACATAGCTGTTATATTGCCAAGTGCAGTCTTAAACAACAAACAAACAATCTAGATGACTCGATATTGATGGTGATGGTGGTGCCGATATTGATGGTGATGTTGGTGCCGATATTGATGGTGATGTTGGTGCCGATATTGATGGTGATGTTGGTGCCGATATTGATGGTGATGTTGGCTTCTGCAAACTTTATCTATGCTGGCAGTAGGTGAAATAGTTACTCTTTGTTTACATTCATCTGGTGCAATGACTTGATCTACCAATGGCCTAGTCATCTAAGGTCCCACAGTTTCCTGTGCAGAGTTGTGCCCCTTAGACATATGCCAGAATCTATGATTGGGGGTTCGAATCTTAGATTCAATCTATACTTGAGCCAATGGATTTCCCCAATCTTATGAACATCCAGTATTACTGATAATACTGTAAAGTAAAGTGGTGTTAAATCCAATCACTCACTCGTGGTAAGAATCACCTGCTGTTGAAAATAGATTTACATCTCTCTTTATGGCCCTTGATGATCATCATTGATTGGTTTGTGTGTGTGGCCGGTACAGCTGCTATCAGGTCTTTCAGGACCTCTGATCAATCTGTGTGTGGAGTTTGATTGCTTCATGCATATGTTACAATGTCTGATATCTGCAGATCGTGGTCGGTTGCAACCAGCACTACAATGTCTGCGAGGAGCACGCCCCGATCCGCCTGGAGTACAATAAGAATCCCCAGTCAGGGCGCTGGCATCTGGTGCGGCAGCTGTGTCTCCCAGACAACAACCAGATGGAGTGTCGCCCCCAGGTCCACCACCAGGCCAGCGTCTTCACCCTGTCGGACTTCCCTGCCTGGACCAGAGTAACCATCAGTCTCCCAGACAGGGCCTTCTCGGGGTGAGTAGGGGTCAGATAGGGCCTTCTCGGGGTGAGAAGGGGTGAGACAGGGTCTTCTCGGGGTGAGTAGGGGTGAGACAGGGTCTTCTTGGGGTGAGTAGGGGTCAGACAGGGTCTTCTCAGGGTGAGTAGGGGTCAGACAGGGTCTTCTTGGGGTGAGTTGGGGTCAGACAGGGTCTTCTCAATGTGAGAAGGGGTCAGACAGAGTCTTCTTGGGGTGAGTAGGGGTCAGACAGGGTCTTCTCAGGGTGAGTAGGGGTCAGACAAGGTCTTCTCAGGGTGAGAAGGGGTCAGACAGGGTCTTCTCAAGGTGAGAAGGGGTCAGACAGGGTCTTCATGGGGTAAGTCGGGGTCAGACAGGGTCTTCTCAAGGTGAGTAGGGGTCAGACAGGGTCTTCTTGGGGTGAGTAGGGTCAGACAGGGTCTTCATGGGGTGAGTCAGGGTCAGACAAGGTCTTCTCAAGGTGAGTAGGGGTCAGACAGGTCTTCTTGGGGTGAGTAGGGTCAGACAGGGTCTTCTTGGGGTGAGTAGGGGTTAGACAGGGTCTTCTTGGGGTGAGTAGGGTGAGACAGGGTCTTCTCTGGGTGAGTAGGGGTCATACAGGGTCTTCAGAGTAGGGGTTAGACAGGGTCTTCTCGGAGTGAGTAGGCGTGAGACAGGGTCTTCTTTGGGTGAGTAGGGGTCATACAGGGTCTTCAGAGTAGGGGTCAGACAGGGTCTTCTTGTGATGAGTAGGGGTCAGACAGGGTCTTCTTGGGGTCAGTAGGGGTCAGACAGGGTCTTCAGAGTAGGGGTCAGACAGGGTCTTCTTGGAGTGAGTAGGGGTCAGACAGGGTCTCCTTGGGGTGAGTAGGGCTCAGACAGGGTCTTCTCAGGGTGAGAAGGGGTCAGACAGGGTCTTCTCAGGGTGAGAAGGGGTCAGACAGGGTCTTCATGGGGTGAGTCTGGGTCAGACAGGGTCTTCTCAGGGTGAGTCTGGGTCAGACAGGGTCTTCTTGGGGTGAGTAGGGGTCAGACAGGGTCTTCTTGGGGTGAGTAGGGGTCAGACAGGGTCTTCTTGGGGTGAGTAGGGTCAGACAGGGTCTTCTTGGGGTGAGTAGGGGTCAGACAGGGTCTTCTTGGGGTGAGTAGGGGTCAGACAGGGTCTTCTTGGGGTGAGTAGGGCTAAGACAGGGTCTTCAGAGTAGGGTTCAGACAGGGTCTTCAGAGTAGGGGTCAGACATGGTCTTGAGAGTAGGGGTCATGCAGGGTCTTCTCAGAGTGAGTAGGGGTCAGACAGGGTCTTCTCAAGGTGAGTAGGGCTCATACAGGGTCTTCAGAGTAGGGGTCAGACAGGGACTTCTCAGGGTGAGTAGGGGTCAGACAGGGTCTTCTTGGGGTGAGTAGGGGTCAGACAAGGTCTTCTCAGGGTGAGTAGGGCTCAGACAGGGTCTTCAGAGTAGGGGTCAGACAGGGTCTTCTCAGGGTGAGTAGGGCTGAGACAGGGTCTTCTCAAGGTGAGTAGGGCTCAGACAGGGTCTTCAGAGTAGGGGTCAGACAGGGTCTTCTTGGGGTGAGTAGGGGTCAGACAGGGTCTTCTTGGGGTGAGTAGGGTCAGACAGGGTCTTCTTGGGGTGAGTAGGGGTCAGACAGGGTCTTCTTGGGGTGAGTAGGGGCCAGACAGGGTCTTCTTGGGGTGAGTAGGGCTCAGACAGGGTCTTCAGAGTAGGGTTCAGACAGGGTCTTCAGAGTAGGGGTCAGACATGGTCTTGAGAGTAGGGGTCATGCAGGGTCTTCTCAGAGTGAGTAGGGGTCAGACAGGGTCTTCTCAAGGTGAGTAGGACTCATACAGGGTCTTCAGAGTAGGGGTCAGACAGGGACTTCTCAGGGTGAGTAGGGGTCAGACAGGGTCTTCTTGGGGTGAGTAGGGGTCAGACAAGGTCTTCTCAGGGTGAGTAGGGCTCAGACAGGGTCTTCAGAGTAGGGGTCAGACAGGGTCTTCTCAGGGTGAGTAGGGCTGAGACAGGGTCTTCTCAAGGTGAGTAGGGCTCAGACAGGGTCTTCAGAGTAGGGGTCAGACAGGGTCTTCTCAGGGTGAGTAGGGGTCAGACAGGGTCTTCCTCGTGTGAGTAGAAAGCAGACAGGGTCTTCTCGGGGTGAGTACTCTGTATGTCTGTGTACTTATTTAGCTTCTACATATAAATGACGTCACGATCTCCATCTATGTGAGTAATTTGATTGCGTCGTGTTATTTGATTCGCCTGGTGGCAATTTTGGCAAGGGTATTTATCATAATAGAATGGAGTAAATATACTGGATAATAGAGGAAGAGCTGTCGGTAGAATTTCAACAAATCCCAATTCTGCATTCCAGCTCGACTCGATTCCGGTGGATTCAGTCAACACGAGACTCGGATTCTACGGGTTGGGCACTGGACGACATCTATGTGGGGGAGAAGTGTCAGAACCTGTGTAGTGGGCGTGGAGACTGCCAACATGGCCGCTGCCTCTGTGATGAGGGATATCATGGTTTGTTCATCTTCCGTCTCTAAAGTAAATCAAGGCCACGGTTACATGTGGGTCTGTTCTACTTGATACAGAAATAAAAGCTTTCCAAAATATGACACGATACCCTGTACTGTGCAAGGATTTTGGATATCCCAGGTATTGACCATATATAGTGTCGTCAGAATTGATAGTCCAGACTTATTACACTCCGTCCAAGTGAAACCCTGGTTGGATTTTTTCCTCATGAAATCATCCTGTTCAGCAAATGTCTGGATTAACGAGCCATGGCTTCAGAGTAATAACGTCCTGTGCAAAATGTAATTTACCGGATGAGCTTCCAGACTAACTTAGATCTTATGTGGTTGCATGTGGGATATTGCTGTATGTGGCGTAAACCTACTTCACTCACTCACTGACTGAAGTTCATTTCATGAATAGGCACAATCAGAGGAGTACTGACCAATGTTTGTCATGTACCTGTCAATAATATGAGACATTTTGCATGTGCGATAAAGCCAGTGTACAGAGAGTCATATGACACCCCAAGTCAGTTTTCAAGTCAGTTTTCAGCACTGAATTTTTTTATTTTGTCACGTGATATGGATCAACCAATATAAAGCTATTACAGAGTAATACACAATACAGACTGAAAAATGTGTTGTTTACCTCCTCAGTATAGACTGTTATATACTACTCAAAAGAAGTTATAGAACACCCGATTCATCGCATGACATATTAACTATAGTAATATGAAAGAATCGAGTGTTCTTAACTTCTTTTGAGTAGTATATAATGCAGGGAGTCCTGGGAGGGTTCTAAACAGCTTAACCAGCAGGCTGTTCACTGTAGACAGGCACCATCCTCAGGGTTCTTACTACGTGGGTGTTTCAGGTCCGACCTGTCGGCCGAGCAGACGTGAGCTCCCCAGCCGAATGTTTGAATCGTTTGAAGGCGGGATATTCTCCGCACACTGGGCTGCAGTGACAGGAGGGGGCATAGGGTTTGGATGCGGGGCACTGCTGCCATATGCTCATGGAAAGACGCTGTATTTCAATGACTGTGGCACACGACAGGCGGTGACTGCAGAGATGGATATGACATCAGCTGTGTGAGTTTCCTGGATTATATTTGCTTGTTTTGTTTGTTTGTTGTTTTATCGCTGCACTATTCTGGCTATATGACGGTGGTCTGTAAATAATCGAGACTGGATCAGACAGTCCAGTGATTGACATCATGAGCATCGATCCACAAATTTGGGATATGATGACGTGCATCAACCAAGTCAGCGAGCCTGACCAGTTGATCCTGTGAGTTGCCTATTACAACAAGCATTGGTTGCTGAAGCCCTATTCTCTATCCAGATCTTCACTGGTCCTGGATTAGAGGACCCGTGAATATCCGGGGTAGAATAGGTCTTCAGCAACCATGCTTGCAGTAAAAGGCGACTATGCTTGTTGTAAAAGGTTAGCAACGGGATCTGGTTGTCAGGCTCACTGACTTGGTTGATGCATGTCATTGATTCCAATTGCGTGGATCAATGCTCATGATATATATGACTGGATTGTCTTGTCCAGACTCGATTATTTACAGACCGCCATCATATAGCTGGAATATTGCTGAGTGCGTCCTTAAACAACAAACCGACCGACCGACAGACCTGGATTAGAGTTAGCAAGTTGCAGTGTTCATTCCAGCCTATAGGTCCTTTGACTGCTACTATTAATGTGATTTTGATGCTGATGAGGTGTCAATGTAGAGATTGATACCTGTAGATGTAACCATGTTAATGTGAATTTGGAACCAAACGCGTGGCACAAGGTTTCAGGTGTTAAATTTAGCACAGTTAAATCTACAGGTAACCTAGCTCTACATTGAAAACACGATATGTTTATCTCCATGCTACCATGACTAAATAAAACGAGAGCTATTTGGTGTTAGCAAATGTATTGAGTGAAATGGCATGGGTTGAGTCCAGTGTTTTGAGAAGGTTGAGGATCAGAATTTATGGAAACATCGACAACAGCCTTTAAACAATATATGGTGCTCTATATGCTCAAGCAGTTTGTTTTCATCGTAAAACTTCACTTGTACTTACGAAAGGCATTGAAAGCATGAGCAACATTGTAAGCTAACATGAAGTTGGCACCCCTTAAGAAAACTAAAAAAGCCTTGCTAAGGTTTCTTTCAACTTTACGACATCATATCGGTCATTGTGACGCAAAACATATGATGTCACAGTCATATATAGAAAAACATAAGCCCGGTGTCCTCAAAATGTGAAATACGTTTTATGTAGATTTCTTTTGTATTTTCTGCACGAAATGTATTGCCACACATCCTTTGAATATGGTAGTAACTTTGCATTTTGTAGCCTATAATTGTACAAAATAATTATTTAAATATGCCTACCAACAGTGACTGTAAAATAAGTACCATTCAAAAATAATTAGCTTCCGCGGTGATGTGGCCGCAAATTGGCTGTTTCAATCAGAGGGGGTCTATTTTGATTTTGTACCTCTGATTGACCAGTCAAAATCGAGTATTTTCCAAGTTCATGGTAGAATATGCTGTAAACCAATGAAAATATGGGAACAACTCAATATATATATATATATATACCCAGGGCACATATCAAAGGTAAACTGATCAAGAGTGACCCTATCAGCTCTACTGCTTTTGCAGATTTGTTTTTTGTCTGTACATTTATGAAACTTAAAGTAGCATTTCAGCAGCATCAACTAATCTGGGTTTGCTATCTGTATCCTTCTGGCTTCACAAGACTACAGATATTAGACATTAACCTTTCACAAGTCTTCTCAAAGTATCAAATGAATAAAAAATTACTTGAAATGCCATCACAATAATTTCACATATACTAAAACTTTTTTTTGTTCCAGGAAAATAATATTTGTGATGCAAATAGGTTGTCAAGCTCAGACAGAGAATTGTAACGTTCGTCTGGGCAGCGGTCCTGACTATAGAGGGGTACTGCTGCAGTACTCCACCAACAAGGTGAGATACACTACGTCACTGTTGCAGTCATCTCGATCTTGATCATCATCTCATGAGTATTATTATGTATTAGGGTGGCCCAGTTGTCTAGGGCGCCGCGATTCGCTGTGCAGAGTTGCGTCCTTTGGATATGCCAGAAACCTATGATTGTAGGTTCGAATCCCAGTTCGCCCTGAATATGTTTCTAGGTTTGTCAGCACCACACCCGTGCTCGTGGGTTCCACTGAAGTGGTAAACGTCTAGGACCTGCACCGCTTCAGGCTTTCCTCCCACGCCGTGATAGAACTGGAATACTGTTAAAAGTGGCGTTAAACATAACTCACTATTAATGTAGAAATTCCTTTAGTCATGTTATGGATGAAATACTGCCGATGTGATCTCTAAATTTTCACTTGCACGCCCATCTTCATCTCAGAACATGTCATACCAAAAGATGGTACTTGTTGTTACCCTGCCTAGAGCTCAGCATTAAGGGAATAAACCAAGGACTGGATGGCTCAGAGTCAGTATAATCAATACTGTGTCTGAGTGGGGTGTCTATGATAAACTGTATTGTATTTCAGTGGGCTAGAACTATAAAACCAGACTTAATTCGGGACTAATACAAGCATGTCTCAAACATCACTTTAACTGTAACTAGAAACAAACTTGTGTCATAAAAAGATCTACAGAATACAATCTAATAAAAAAAAGCCACAAAGTCAGGTGAGATAAAAATGTGTATTATATTTGGAAATATATAAGCAATGCTTACTTTTCTCCAGGTGTACATTTCTCCAAGTCATCCTGAAAGCATGGTCCCCGATTAACGGGGTCTAAACGAACATTTTATTGTAAATGGTTAAATTAATTTTCATGACACTTACATTCTGATGAAAGCAGTATATAGGAGTTATGAGGAGTTCAATCTGAACGTGTTGTGATAACTGCATTGACAAACTAACAAAGTCTTGGCTCCGACTTCAGGGTTCTGATTGGAAGTTACTAGCCCGCCATGATCCTGAAGACTTCATGAGGCCACGGCGTATGGCGTATGACGTCCCCTCCGCTGCCCGCGCCGTGGGCACTCAGTTCCGGTGGTGGCAGCCAATACATGATGGAGCTGGCGCAGACCAATGGGCAATCGATAAAGTAGAAATTATTTCGTGAGTATCATCTGCTGGAGCTTGTAGAAGTATTATTGATGAGCCTTGTCTAGCTGTAGACAAATGGAATCACTGTGTTGTTTGTTGGTTTGTTGTTTTACGCTGCACTGAGCAATATTCTCAGCTATATGTAGCAGTCTGTAATTAATCGAGTCTGGACAAGACAATCCAGTGATTGAGATCATGAGCATCGATCAATGACATGCTTCAACCAAGTCAGCGAGTCTGACCACCCGATCCCGTTTTGTCACCTCTTACGACCGTCATAGTCGCCTTTTACGGCAAGCATGGGTTCCTGAAGACCTATTCTACCCCAGATCTTCACGGGTCGGAATCACTGTGTGTCCCCTTATTTCTTTACATGATGAAACATGACACATACACAGTCCTACCAACATTCCCACTTTAAGTCTGTGTACCATGTGTGAAACAACCCATGTAAAACCTCCCACCCTACATATTTAAGAGATTTGAATGGAAATCCTATGTTTCATTCAACGCGACCTTACTAGTATCTTGTCTTCTGTTTCAGTGGCCCATCTCATCAAGTCAGGAACAGATGGACAAGACAGTAGTTAAAGAGAAACATCAAACTGGATATCTACCAAGACCTGTTGTCACAATATTTGAGGAACCACAATATGTGCAGAAATGTACCTAGAAACTGACACGAAGGCCCGATCTAGGCTCCATGGCCTCTCCCTGCATGTGACGTGTGAAGGATTGTGTACATACACCGCTGTGTAGATACATGTAAATATTTCTACTGCTGACTGGACAACGCAGGCCAGCTATTACAGGTCATTCCTACTTATTCTGCAACAGTGCTATGAACTACATTCAGATGTACAAAATCAGTTATGTAAGTTTATATAGTCCTTGTATACAGATTGGCAAGAGTTTACAGGTTACCAATTAGAAAATTTAAAGTCCTTTAATATCCAGCCTCTGGTCAATATTGTTCAGGTACATAGGTGGAGAAATTTGTCTTTTCTTTCATTACCCAACTTGTGCAAAATATGTTTCTTATTAAAAATACTTATACCTTATATTTTTCATATTTTAACAAAAAAATGACTGTTTTACACGTCCCCCCCGAACCTATTTTATTTTTGTGTGACCCCTCGCAAGTTCCTCCCAACGACCCATCTTCAATAGTTTAGTGACCAGTCTTTAATTCAGTATTCTTGTGATGCATGTTTTGATTATTACGACAAAACAAACCCTGTTGCCAAACTACGGAAGTAGAATTGTATATACTATTAGAAACATGTTAAGTCATTAAATGTTCATTCTTTTAGTCTTGATAACACTTTGTTGTATGTTCTTGTCATTGCTAATGAGGGGACAACCCTGGGAAGATCTGGGTTAGAACTGGTCTTCAGTAGCCCATGCTTGAGGCGACTAACAGGATCGGTGGTCAAGCTCAGCGACTTGGTTGATGCATGTCATTGTATCCCAATTGCTCAGATCAATGCTTGTGATATCAGTCACGAGACTGTCTCTTCCAGATTAGATTATTTACTGACGTCATCTGGCTGGAATATTGCAGAGTGCTGTTTTAAACAACAAAAAAACAAACATTAAGGGGGCAGGAGGGACTAAGTGGCCTTAAATCCCTCAATTTGTTGACCAGTTACGTGCCTTAGCCATGTTAGGATCGAATTAAAAAATGGCCTAACCCTTGGTTTCTCAGCACGAGGGCTGTGAATTGGCAAAATATTGTACTGCAACATCCTGCAACACAGGCATCTATATATACTGAACTGCAAAAGAAACATCACCCCACGTAACATTGCATGAAAAGTTATGTGGAAAAATGAAATTTGATGATATAAAAACAAAGCAGATGACAATGAAACCGATCACCCAAACGCATCACGGCAACGGCCATGGGAACGCGATGCACGTGAGTTCCGTGCAAATTGAAATGCGCATGCGTTCCCCCATTTCTTGCCACATAAAAATCCACCCAGATTGGATTACATGCATTCGTTATTGAATTGCTACCACATGCCAAGATCGACAAGAAATCAGCGACACCAAGCCCTTGGACGATTGAAACTGCCCAGCAAGTAGCCAATGCATTTTAAGTCCACCTGAGGACCATATACAGGCTCAAGCAACGGTACCAGACCACCAACACTACAGATGACCGACCACGTAGTGGAAGGCCAAGGGATTGTGCGACAGATCTTCAAGATCGCTTTGTTACTGCTGCGGAAACTGCTCGGCAGACCATGGGGATACACCAGCGACACATTAGTGCGGACACCGTGCGTCGACGATTTACGAGCACACTCATCCATTCCATGTATCGACGTTGCATGGCAGTTATCGATGCACATGGCGGACACACGAGATACTGACTTGTGATGCCATTTTCACAGAGACTAGTGTTGTGTTTCACATTTGACATTTTAATTTCAACCTTGATGATCAGTTTTGCCAAGTTTCATCTTTTTAATATGTCTCAAAGTATGTTTACAGTGTTTGGACAAATAAGGTTTCTCATAATCTATCCATGGTGACGTTTCTTTTGCAGTTCAGTATATTTTTGACCGATTGACACTTATTGCTCATGCAGTTCCTATTTTCTACATTGATGCATGTCATTGTATCCCAATTGTGTAGATCGATGCTCATGATGTCAATCGCTGGATTGTCTGGTCTAGACTCGATTATTTACAGACCACCATCACATAGCTGGAATATTGCTGAGTGCGGCGTTAAACAACAAACTTTGGGAACAACAAAACAAAGAACATCAGTCAATCTCCATTTTATATGTACAATTTACATAATTACAAAAATAACTGATCAAAGAAGGTATCTTAATTCATAACCCTGACACTCAAATCCCTGTAAGATGTCATTACATAGATATCTGTATACAATATTAAACAAAATAAATATGTTTGCTGTACAAATAGCGTGTCCACTTGGTGGGTACAAAAACATCACGAAGGATTATTCTGATAACAGGAAATATCTTGAATGTACAAGTCATGGAATAAATATCACAGTAACATAGTCAGGGTATCTACATCTCGGAGGGAAATCTGTCTAATAATTCCATGTATTAAGTGCACAGTCTACCTGCTCCACTTTATTGTAATTTAACTAGGCTTCTGATTACTTCATGGAATATAATTATAAACCAGACAGGATGTCTTAAAGAGGTACATGTAGCTTACTAAAGGCAGCTGGAAATGTTTGTTTTCAAAAGTAGGTGTGCTTAACAGAGTACAGAGCTGAATATGTTCTATTCTATTGAATAGTCAACAATCCTGGGTTGCATTCCAAATAAACAACCACTTGTCTCTGCAAATGGATGCAACTGAATGTCGAAAAAATATGCATGGCATCTTTCTGGTTGCATACTCCCCAGGGCGCTGAGAATGCATTTGGAATTCACACTGATCTGTTGTGGGCTTTGAATAGTCCTCTGTGGTGTGGAATTCTCCACTATATAAGTGGACTATTAGCATTATTGTAACTGAAGACACTGGAATGCTAGGGGATGTCTCAGCCGATCCCCGGTGTGCCCTTCAGTTCATAATACTTCCGTGTGACCGGGTCGTAGTAACAGTTGAGACTGGGGTCAAACAGGAGGTTGACCTTATCATCGTCCGTGTCCTCGCCTGTTGACTGGGGGCCACATGAATCTGGAAGAGTGAGTGAGTGGGTGAGTGAGTATGGTTTTACGCCACTTTTAGCAATATTCCAGCAATATCACGGCAGGGGACACCAGAAATGGGCTTCACACATTGTACCCATGTGGGGAATCAAACCCGGGTCTTCGGTGTGACGAGCGAACGCTTTAACCACTTGGCTACCCGCCGCCCCTGAATCTGGAAGTCTGATATGATCCCCATAGCTTCTACAGTGAGTCATGGTCAGGAAGATTGGAGTCTGGTTTTCAAGCAAAACAACAAAAAATATTGTTTCAATTGCTAATGATTAAAACCAATAACCTGTAACTTTGAAAGTGATTATGTTTTTTCTGCTGTTTCTAGCTTATTCCAGCTTATCACATTGGTGGTCATCAAGCAAGGCTTCACCAACAATCATCAAGACATTGCAGTTATTTTGGTTACTGAAGCCAAGTAACAAATGTTATATTTGGGATAACACTTCTCAGTAAAGTACAGATTCTCATACTTTTTTTAGTCCCATCCGGGTTTCGAACCCACACTCCCAGAGTGAGGCTCCTAATTGCCAGCACACAAAGTCAAGGATCTAACCCACTCAGCCACTGAGGCTTCCGCAAAATGAACATCTGACAACTGGTAGTCTAGATCACGTACTTTGTGTACCCCTCTGACAAGTGTGAAGGCAAGTGTTCATTGTGACAACTAACACTAACCCATTACAATACGCTACTGCACCGTCCATACTTAAAAAGGTTTGAAAGATCACTGGTCAATATTAGTGCCAGGTGTCCCCCTCACCTATGTTGTGAGATTCGGGAATCTCCTCCACCATGTGGCCGGTGTGGTTCAGGTCGCCAGGCAGGACAATCGGGGGGCTGTATACTCCACTCCAGTCTCTACAACACAATATGCAGCAACTGTAGTGTCTACAACACAACACCCACTCTGTACTGTCTACAACACAACACCCACTCTGTAGTGTCTACAACACCCACTCTGTACTGTCTACAACACAACACCCACTCTGTACTGTCTACAACACAACACCCACTCTGTACTGTCTACAACACAACACCCACTCTGTACTGTCTACAACACAACACCCACTCTGTACTGTCTACAACACCCACTCTGTACTGTCTACAACACCCCCTCTGTACTGTCTACAACAGCCACTCTGTACTGTCTACAACATCCACTCTGTACTGTCTACAACACAACATCCACTCTGTACTGTCTACAACACCCACTCTGTACTGTCTACAACACCCCCTCTGTACTGTCTACAACACAACACCCACTCTGTACTGTCTACAACACCCACTCTGTACTGTCTACAACACAACACCCACTCTGTACTGTCTACAACACAACATCCACTCTGTACTGTCTACAACACCCACTCTGTACTGTCTACAACATCCACTATGTACTGTCTACAACACAACATCCACTCTGTACTGTCTACAACATCCACTCTGTACTGTCTACAACACAACACCCACTCTGTACTGTCTACAACACAACACCCACTCTGTACTGTCTACAACACCCACTCTGTACTGTCTACAACACCCACTCTGTACTGTCTACAACACCCACTCTGTACTGTCTACAACACAACACCCACTCTGTACTGTCTACAACACAACACCCAATCTGTACTGTCTACAACACAACACCCACTCTGTACTGTCTACAACACCCACTCTGTACTGTCTACAACACCCACTCGGTTCTGTCTACAACACAACACCCACTCGGTTCTGTCTACAACACCCACTCTGTACTGTCTACAACACCCACTCTGTACTGTCTACAACACCCACTCTGTACTGTCTACAACACAACAGCCACTCTGTACTGTCTACAACACAACACCCACTCTGTTCTGTCTACAACACAACACCCACTCTGTTCTGTCTACAACACCCACTCTGTTCTGTCTACAACACCCATTCTGTACTGTCTACAACACCCACTCTGTACTGTCTACAACACAACACCCACTCTGTACTGTCTACAACACAACACCCACTCTGTACTGTCTACAACACAACACCCACTCTGTACTGTCTACAACACAACACCCACTCTGTACTGTCTACAACACCCACTCTGTACTGTCTACAACACCCGCTCTGTACTGTTTACAACAGCCACTCTGTACTGTCTACAACATCCACTCTGTACTGTCTACAACACAACACCCACTCTGTACTGTCTACAACACCCACTCTGTACTGTCTACAACACCCACTCTGTACTGTCTACAACACCCACTCTGTACTGTCTACAACACAACACCCACTCTGTACTGTCTACAACACAACACCCAATCTGTACTGTCTACAAGACAACACCCACTCTGTACTGTCTACAACACCCACTCTGTACTGTCTACAACACCCACTCGGTTCTGTCTACAACACAACACCCACTCGGTTCTGTCTACAACACCCACTCTGTACTGTCTACAACACCCACTCTGTACTGTCTACAACACCCACTCTGTACTGTCTACAACACAACAGCCACTCTGTACTGTCTACAACACAACACCCACTCTGTTCTGTCTACAACACAACACCCACTCTGTTCTGTCTACAACACCCACTCTGTTCTGTCTACAACACCCATTCTGTACTGTCTACAACACCCACTCTGTACTGTCTACAACACAACACCCACTCTGTACTGTCTACAACACAACACCCACTCTGTACTGTCTACAACACAACACCCACTCTGTTCTGCCTACAACACAACACCCACTCTGTACTGTCTACAACGCCCGCTCTGTACTGTCTACAACACCCGCTCTGTACTGTCTACAACACCCACACTGTACTGTCTACAACACAACACCCAATCTGTACTGTCTACAACACCCATTCTGTACTGTCTACAACACCCACTCTGTACTGTCTACAACACAACACCCACTCTGTACTGTCTACAACACAACACCCACTCTGTACTGTCTACAACACAACACCCACTCTGTACTGTCTACAACGCCCGCTCTGTACTGTCTACAACACCCGCTCTGTACTGTCTACAACACCCACTCTGTACTGTCTACAACACCCACTTGGTTCTGTCTACAACACAACACCCACTCGGTTCTGTCTACAACACCCACTCTGTACTGTCTACAACACCCACTCTGTACTGTCTACAACACCCACTCTGTACTGTCTACAACACAACAGCCACTCTGTACTGTCTACAACACAACACCCACTCTGTACTGTCTACAACACAACACCCACTCTGTACTGTCTACAACACAACACCCACTCTGTTCTGTCTACAACACAACACCCACTCTGTTCTGTCTACAACACCCACTCTGTTCTGTCTACAACACCCATTCTGTACTGTCTACAACACCCACTCTGTACTGTCTACAACACAACACCCACTCTGTACTGTCTACAACACAACACCCACTCTGTACTGTCTACAACACAACACCCACTCTGTTCTGTCTACAACACAACACCCACTCTGTACTGTCTACAACGCCCGCTCTGTACTGTCTACAACACCCGCTCTGTACTGTCTACAACACCAACACTGTACTGTCTACAACACAACACCCAATCTGTACTGTCTACAGCACCCGCTCTGTACTGTCTACAACATCCACTCTGTACTGTCTACAACACAACATCCACTCTGTACTATCAACAACACAACACCCAATCTGTACTGTCTACAACATCCACTCTGTACTGTCTACAACACCCGCTCTGTACTGTTTACAACACCCGCTCTGTACTGTCTACAACATCCACTCTGTACTGTCTACAACATCCACTCTGTACTGTCTACAACACCCGCTCTGTACTGTCTACAACATCCACTCTGTACTGTCTACAACACCCACTCTGTACTGTCTACAACATCCACTCTGTACTGTCTACAACACCCGCTCTGTATTGTCTACAACATCCACTCTGTACTGTCTACAACACCCACTCTGTACTGTCTACAACACCTGCTCTGTACTGTCTACAACACCCACTCTGTACTGTCTACAACATCCACTCTGTACTGTCTACAACACCCGCTCTGTACTGTCTACAACATCCACTCTGTACTGTCTACAACATCCACTCTGTACTGTCTACAACACCCGCTCTGTACTGTCTACAACACCCACTCTGTACTGTCTACAACATCCACTCTGTACTGTCTACAACACCCGTTCTGTACTGTCTACAACACAACACCCACTCTGTACTGTCTACAACACCCACTCTGTACTGTCTACAACACCCGCTCTGTACTGTCTACAACACCCGCTCTGTACTGTCTACAACACAACATCCACTCTGTACTGTCTACAACATCCACTCTGTACTGTCTACAACATCCCCTCTGTACTGTCTACAACATCCACTCTGTACTGTCTACAACATCCACTCTGTACTGTCTACAACATCCACTCTGTACTGTCTACAACATCCACTCTGTACTGTCTACAACATCCACTCTGTACTGTCTACAACATCCCCTCTGTACTGTCTACAACATCCACTCTGTACTGTCTACAACATCCACTCTGTACTGTCTACAACACAACACCCGCTCTGTACTGTCTACAACACCCGCTCTGTACTGTCTACAACACCCGCTCTGTACTGTCTACAACACAACATCCACTCTGTACTGTCTACAACATCCACTCTGTACTGTCTACAACATCCCCTCTGTACTGTCTACAACATCCACTCTGTACTGTCTACAACATCCACTCTGTACTGTCTACAACATCCACTCTGTACTGTCTACAACATCCACTCTGTACTGTCTACAACACAACACCCACTCTGTACTGTCTACAACACAACACCCACGCTGTACTGTCTACAACACAACACCCTCTCTGTACTGTCTACAACACAACACCCACTCTGTACTGTCTACAACACAACACCCGCTCTGTACTGTCTACAACACAACACCCGCTCTGTACTGTCTACAACACAACATCCACCCTGTACTGTCTACAACATCCACTCTGTACTGTCTACAACATCCCCTCTGTACTGTCTACAACATCCACTCTGTACTGTCTACAACATCCACTCTGTACTGTCTACAACATCCACTCTGTACTGTCTACAACACAACACCCACTCTGTACTGTCTACAACACAACACCCACGCTGTACTGTCTACAACACAACACCCTCTCTGTACTGTCTACAACACAACACCCACTCTGTACTGTCTACAACACAACACCCGCTCTGTACTGTCTACAACACAACACCCACTCTGTACTGTCTACAACACAACACCCACTCTGTACTGTCTACAACACAACACCCTCTCTGTACTGTCTACAACACAACACCCACTCTGTACTGTCTACAACACAACACCCGCTCTGTACTGTCTACAACACAACACCCACTCTGTACTGTCTACAAAACACCCACTCTGTAGTGTCTACAACACAACACCCGCTCTGTACTGTCTACAACACAACACAACACAACACCCACTGTGTACTGTCTACAACACAACACAACACAACACCCACTCTGTACTGTCTACAAGACAACACCCGCTCTGTACTGTCTACAACACAACACCCACTCTGTACTGTCTACAACACAACACAACACAACACCCACTGTGTACTGTCTACAACACAACACAACACAACACCCACTCTGTACTGTCTACAACACAACACCCACTCTGTTCTGTCTACAACACAACACCCGCTCTGTACTGTCTACAACACAACACCCACTCTGTACTGTCTACAAAACACCCACTCTGTAGTGTCTACAACACAACACCCACTCTGTACTGTCTACAACACCCACTCTGTACTGTCTACAACACAACACCCACTCTGTTCTGTCTACAACACAACATCCACTCTGTACTGTCTACAACACCCACTCTGTAGTGTCTACAACACAACACCCACTCTGTTTTGTCTACAACATCCACTCTGTACTGTCTACAACATCCAGTCTGTACTGTCTACAACATCCACTCTGTACTGTCTACAACACAACACCCACTCTGTACTGTCTACAACACAACACCCGCTCTGTACTGTCTACAACACAACACCCACTCTGTACTGTCTACAACACAACACCCACTCTGTACTGTCTACAACACAACACCCACGCTGTACTGTCTACAACACCCACTCTGTACTGTCTACAACACAACACCCACTCTGTACTGTCTACAACACAACACCCACTCAAGTGCCTGTCTACACCATCAGTGTCCAAGGAGTTCATAGACATATCAGATCCTGAATCACAGATTGGTCCACACATATTTAATGAAATGCTTTACACACACTGTACCATTTCCCCCATATTACATGAGACATCAGTATCATATTATAAAACTTTGTGAAAAATTAAACAATAAGTCCTGGATATTGCATCACATTATTTTCACGTTTTAAGGAGCTAAGCAACATTTCGATCTGACAATTACCAGGATAGGGTGGATGCAAAGTAGGACTTTGTTGATCACTGTTCATGAGTTAGTCTAATCGAAACTAAACAAGCAGTTTGAAGATACAGCTTTTATGTTTCTTTCCATGGTGTAAAATAACACTCACTCACTCGAACAGACCCTGTGCTCTTGACATAACAATTCAACAGTCAGAAGGCTACCTAACTGGTTCTTAAATCAGGAACAGTTTAGAGTTCCTACACGGAAAGGTAAGAGTTACATACCTTGGATTTGATGATGTTAGCGTGTCACTGCTCAGTCGTGATTTCATTTCATCTTGGTAGTTGTGCGGCATCTGGTGGATCTGCATCAAGACATCATTCACTTAGCTTCAAAATAAACACTACAAGCATGTGTCAGATAGGCTGTGAAGCTAATGAGAACACCACGCTGACAGTGCATGACGTGTGAGAGCAGTTACCGACACTGTGTACATGAATAATGATACACTAAGATGCTTCATTGCTTTGGGCTAAAAAACACTGCCATACACGATATACAATGATATATGCCGGTCTTCACTACCTTGAACAGCTCTAGAAGCAAGATATGAAACAATAATTATCATTGTGTATAATTCTAAGAATACTACCTCTACTTCACCATAGCTAGGTTTATGCTGACAATCACACTATAATATTTATAAATTTTCAACAGATGTCCTCTTCCGAGCCAAACATATCTAACAGTTGTGATGAAATCCCTATCCTTTGCAGGAAATGGAAATGCGCATGTGTAAGGTGTGAAAACATTGCTTCTTTCCTGTGTGTCTGCCTACTCACTGGTGCCTTCCAAGTGCTGAAGCTGGTGTCGTCGTCACTGGTGGTCGTTGGCGACTCGGAGTACATCTGTGGAGCAAGATGATCATGGTGGGAGCGACGGGGGCTCCGGTTGAAGGTGTTCGGGTCTTTCCTGGGGGAGTCTGGTGCTTCCTCCTCTTCCTGCTGTCTCTTCATACTCAGGAACATCTGGGCCTCGAAAGAGTCAGTCACATCAGCCATTTGGTACTTGGTGAAGTCGTACTGGCGCTGGAACACAGGGAATATCACTGTACACATTATAGGAAAGAATCTGAACACATAAGACTAACTACATGAGGTTGATACAGTCGGCACCATTAGCCTGTCAAACTAGTTTTGTTTGTTTGTTTGTTGTTTAACACTGCACTCAGAAATATTCCAGCTATATGACAGCGGTCTGTAAATAATTGAGTCTGGACCAGACCAATCTAGCGATTTACATCATGAGCATCGATCCACGCAACTGGGATAGGATGACATGCATCAACCAAGTCGCAATCCACACAAACCCATTAGTCGCCTCTTACAACAAGCAGAGTTGCCTTTCATGGGTTGCTGAAGACCTATTCTATCCCGGATCTTCACGGGTTGAGCATCCTTTGTGGTACCCCCATAGGTCTAGTAATGTTTGTCTCGCATAAATCTGTCGTCAAGCAGTTGAAACATATACAATGAACAGACAAAACACATTCTTGGCAACATTCAACCATGCATTAAGCTCCTCATGGAGTGAGTGAGTATGGTTTTACGCCGCTTTTAGCAATATTCCTGCAATATCACGGCGGGGGACACCAGAAATGGGCTTCACACATTGTACCCATGTGGGGAATCGAACCCGGGTCTTCGGCGTGACGAGCCAACGCTTTAACCACTAGGCTACCCGACCGCCCAGCTCCTCATGGAAGCTGAATCCCTGTAAATTGATGCAGACCTATTCTATGTGTGTAAACATGTCACAGAACATTGCAATGGTTCTGTATATCCATATTAATGTAAAATATTTGCAACATGTGTTAACCTTGTCTCCTTAATCGTCCTTTGCATGAAATAAGTGAAGAATGAACTCAAAGGTGAAATACAAATCAAAGTCTCTGAATGATACATAGAAAGAAAGAAACCCCGGTCAATGTATCAGTGTGCTATTTAATGGATCATATAACTATCTGATTGTTAATCAGACCATGGGTAATGGACTAAAGTTTGATACAACATTGCCTTCAATAACTATTAACTGTCATAATTTCTTTAGTTAAAAGCATCTAGCTTTTCATCATGATAAGTAGCCGTATGCCTGATAACTTTAGAACTTGCTTCCCTGACCTTACATGGTAATGAAACCTGACAACATCCTTACAATGAAACTGCAGACTTGTTTGTTATTTGGGATTTTCAAATGTCATGATATGTTTTCTCCACACATTGTAGTCACTTACCGACGAAGGGTTGGCATTTGAGATTCTGGCATCATTGCTGGGTATCTGCACAAGATTCTTCAGACTCATCCTGGATATCACATTGGCGTGCAGACCGCCATTCTGGTCAGCGTATAATGCAGGATTAAATTGCCCTCGCTGCTCAGGGCTAATGCTGGAAACTTTTGGCGTTGCATCAACTGTTCGTGTTCGTCCCCCACTGTCCCTGTGTTTCCCCCCGGACCCTCCTCTCTGATCCCGTGTTTTAGGACTCGATGTACTGGACGTTCCACTGTGAGGGCGTGAACTGCCACTGTGAGGTCGCGACCCTGGTTTCCGGTGTCTAGACGGAGTTGTCTCCTCGTCAGTGCTTGACATGTCATTCACAAAGTCGTCCTCCAGTCTTGCTCCACGAGAAGACAGGGAATCCAGGGTTGACCTTGGGTTGGATCTTTGGGGTCGGGCCTTCTTGGCCTGGAAAACGATTAGTAAATAAACCAAAGCAAAGTCTTTGGTAGGCATTTAGAAGTTGTGAGAATGTGAAGAAATGAAACTTTTATGTATAACAACTTCTTTATTGTTTGTAACAACGTTTCAGGGCTACTTCTTGCCACTTCATCAGGTTGATCCTGTCAGGTCCTGATGAAGAAGTAAGAAGTAGCCCTGAAACATCAGGTCCTGATGAAGGGGCAAGAAGTAGCCCTGAAACATCAGGTCCTGATGAAGGGGCAAGAAGTAGCCCTGAAACATCAGGTCCTGATGAAGGGGCCCGAAGTAGCCCTGAAACATCAGGTCCTGATGAAGGGGCAAGAAGTAGCTCTGAAACATCAGGTCCTGATGAAGGGGCCCGAAGTAGCCCTGAAACATCAGGTCCTGATGAAGTGGCAAGAAGTAGCCCTGAAACATCAGGTACTGATGAAGGGGCAAGAAGTAGCTCTGAAACATCAGGTCCTGATGAAGGGGCCCGAAGTAGCCCTGAAACATCAGGTCCTGATGAAGGGGCAAGAAGTAGCCCTGAAACATCAGGTCCTGATGAAGGGGCAAGAAGTAGCTCTGAAACATCAGGTCCTGATGAAGGGGCAAGAAGTAGCCCTGAAACATCAGGTCCTGATGAAGGGGCCCGAAGTAGCCCTGAAACATCAGGTCCTGATGAAGGGGCAAGAAGTAGCCCTGAAACATCAGGTCCTGATGAAGGGGCAAGAAGTAGCTCTGAAACATCAGGTCCTGATGAAGGGGCCCGAAGTAGCCCTGAAACATCAGGTCCTGATGAAGGGGCAAGAAGTAGCCCTGAAACATCAGGTCCTGATGAAGGGGCAAGAAGTAGCCCTGAAACATCAGGTCCTGATGAAGGGGCAAGAAGTAGCTCTGAAACATCAGGTCCTGATGAAGGAGCCCGAAGTAGCCCTGAAACATCAGGTCCTGATGAAGGGGCAAGAAGTAGCCCTGAAACATCAGGTCCTGATGAAGGGGCCCGAAGTAGCCCTGAAACATCAGGTCCTGATGAAGGGGCAAGAAGTAGCCCTGAAACATCAGGTCCTGACAAAGGGGCAAGAAGAAGCCCTGAAACATCAGGTCCTGATGAAGGGGCCCGAAGTAGCCCTGAAACATCAGGTCCTGATGAAGGGGCCCGAAGTAGCCCTGAAACATCAGGTCCTGATGAAGGGGCAAGAAGTAGCCCTGAAATGTTGTTACAAACAATAAAGAAGTTGTTATCCATAAAAGTTTCATGTCTTCAACAAAAGAATACATGTCAGCGTCCATGTCCCATCCTTCATATGTCTAGAAACTCCATGAAATATGTGACCTGTTTCGATATTTTTTAACAACTTAAAACTAATAACCGACATGATTTAATTGTGAAATAGATACTGAAGGTTTAAACATCTGAAAGAATGCAAGTAAGCATCTTAAATTAGCGAAATTGTAAACCTTACAGGGAATCCACTTATACTAACGAAAAGGTTAGGGATTATGAATATTTTGGGGATATTTGTATGAAATTGTGTGCTCAGTCTTCACGACAAAAACATATAAGTATATGTCGAAATGTATGCAATGGGTTTAAATCTTCTCACACAAAAAACTTAACAAAATGACATGAAATTAATACATTGACAATGATTGTCAGCTTTGTGAAATCACTCAGTCTAACAGTATCTTAACAGATCAGTGATGATATATACACAAACCATTCCTTTAACAATTCCTCCAGTCTCTGTCGCCCACCTACCTGTTTGGCATCAAGTTCTGCTGTGTTGGGAGACATGTTCCTGTGAGGTGCAGTTGTCGGGGCAACAGAAAATACATGGAGGTGGTTGTGGTCTGAGGAATCTCTGCAATATAAGAATCGATAGAACATTTACTTATATTAATCAGGAAAAATTTCTTTACCAGCATGTTTTTGTTTGTTTTTAATGTTGCACTAACAATTTCCTAGCTATATGACTGCAGCATGTCAGTAATCATATCTGGACCAGGCAGTCCATTCATCAATATTATGAGCAGCAATCCACACCGTCAGGGTACGATGACACACTTTCAGGGTTAGAAACTAACAGTTTTTGTCCACTAGTCCTTATAATGATAACATATAGCAAAACCCTTAAAATGGGCCAATTTCTACTAGTCCTTAGGATACCTTAACTATTGGGCAGTTTGGTAAGGACTACAGGACTAGTGCCAATTTCTAACGCTGGCTTTCAACCAAGTCACCGAGTCTGACCAATGCATTTGGTTGCCTCTTACGGCCAGCATAGCTTGCTGGAAACCAAACCTAACCCCAAATCCCCATGGGGAACCAATCAATGTCCAGAGGCGAATCAATGTGCCACTCACCTGACCCACGAATCAATGAAAACAGATGAAAATCACCATGTCAATTTCATTTGCATCAGTGTCTCTAGTTTTTTTTTGTTGTTGTTTAACGCCGTATTCGGAATATTTCAGCTATTTGATGGAGACCAGTAAATAATATGGACACTACTCACTCCTCACTGGACTCATAAGACTTGGCCTCAGACCCATGGGACCCGGAGTCGATACTGTCGTCATCCTCTGCCTGCTGCCCACGCAGGACGTCCGACTGCAGTAGACCGATCACCTCACTAATGGACTCGTCCGCATCCACTGCACTTGACCCTGTGGGACAGAAAGATGTAGAGCATCCTCAATTGAGTGCAATACTTCAGCACTCTTGGAATTAGTCTTAGGAGAAACACGTGTATTTTCAGATTTTTGTTCTCGAATATTTGTTGCCCTATGCTTTTAAGTTGAAACAGGCATTTTGCAAATGCATTAATTATTCAGATTTTGACACTTTTAAACTAAGTTTACATTTAATTTTACATTCCATTTATTTTAGTACCTGTGAAATTAATCAAAGTGAAAGAAATCTCTCAAATTACTGTAAATCTTGCAAGCTTAGTGAGCAAGAAAGTAGTGCGAAAACTGTGAGTGACATATACTCACAATAGTTTCATGACACAGTATCTTTGGAGTCCAACAAGAAACAAAAAGCGGAAGGAGACATATTTCTTTCAGTCTCTTCTCTACATTGTCAACCAGCCAGTGCATGATTAAATATATACTCCCTCACATCCTGTTTCCTTAAATACACATGGTCACGCAGTGTCAATAACCAAATCAGGAAAATTCATCAACCTGCCACATCTTGTCAAATTATTTACTCCTACATGTATTTAACACTGAGAAGCCATACACCAGCCGTATAAAACTACTGTTTGATAAACACGCTACTCTAACCTTCCTTGTCAACTACAGCATCTATACCAGTAGTTAACTTTCATCATGCTACTTCCTACCCATAATAAGTAGCATGTGCAAAGTATTGCTTTGGTCTTAGGTAATCTCATCAACAGGGTGACGCAGTTAAGGTTAGTGTTAGACACTCGCAAAAATTTCATGGCACATAACTTTCCAGATGTACAGTACTTTCACGATATATTGCATCCATAACATACAACCGTCATCTCTGACATCACCCGAATGTACACCTATGTCCAAATACATGAATGTCATAAACTGCCTCTATCATGTTTAAACATATTCTTCCATAAATAACGGACAGAAAATCAGCTATATGACAAAATGATGGCGATAATTCATAATAACATAAATTCTAGCATGGTTTCAATCAGCCATGGGGAGTGAGTGTGTGATTACAGTTTTACACCACCTTTAGAAATACTCCAGAAATATCATGGCCGGGACACTATAAATGGGCCTCACACACTGAACCCCTCAAGTAAGCAAATGCATTAACCACAAGGCTACACACACACAGAGCTCGCTGCAGTTTTAATCCACCTTTAGTGATACTTCAGCAATACAACAGCAGGGGACATCAGAAATGGACTTCACATATTGAACCTGACAAGTAGGCAAACACTCTAACCACTAAGCTACCCTACTACAGCTTGTTTGCAGTAGCCCACCTCTTGGTGTCTGGATCTCCGGCACGTCGGGACCAACACCTCTGTCCTGCGACGACCTCAGAGGGTTCCTCTTCACCATCCTAGATCCTTGTAAGCTCGGGAACTCCCGGCGACGATGGTCAGACTTGTCCACAGCCCCACTGTGGCTGACGGACTGACCGATCACTTCTCGCTTTGATATGCTGTTCCACACCGTGGCTGCCTCCCCTGATGAGAAGTCGGATGCGTCGCGGTCACCGCTGTGGGTGTAGAGGTCACTAGTGCTGGTCACTGTCTGGTAGTTGCTGTCCCCGCCATGAGACATTGAGTCACTCCCCAGAGAGGTAGGGTCCTCTGAGAACACAAACACAATTCCTTCTGCTCAACTGGCATTACACAAGTTACTATGGTTACAGGCCATCGTCATTGTCATAAGATGTGAGTTTCAGACAACATGGACAAGCAAGTGTTTTTTTCAATTACTTCAATCAAACTTGCCAATTGGTGATGTCTGAGTCCAAAATTATTCCAAATGAATTAAAATGTTGAAAATTAATAAATTCAGCTTTTGTTGAATCAACAAGTTGAGTGAAGTAAGGACAGTGGACGTCAATTCATGAGGCACTGAGTATCATGTTTTCCATTAACTTTAGCAGTAATATCAGTGAAGAGGACAACTGAGCTCAGGGCCCTGTTCCACAAAGTTATCTTAGCGCCAAGAAAATATGACAATTGTAGCCATAAGATCCCTCTGTGTAGCCCAAATCCCTTGGCTCTTCCACTGCCAAATATATAAGTTTCTTACCTTTGACGGAGCCAGCACTGGACTGCCTCTCCTTAGTGTCGACGTTCTTCACCCTCGGTCTCCGTCTCCGTCTGTCAGATGACGGCTCCCTGGGAGGGTGGGGTGTCACAATAGGGCTTTCTTTCACTCCTAAATGCAAATACAGTCTTCTATTTACCAACACTTTGCTAACATTACAATGGAAATTAATAATTCATTCCCATTTCACTTCCAAACATTGAACATATCTTGAAAAATGTTCAATTCCTTCATGACATGGTGAATACCAGTTATCATTCCAAGATTAATCGTTTGAAAGGCATTTAACTGTAATAGCAACATTTTGGTGTAGATCCTTAAGACTGAATAATGAACAAAGTTCAAGATAAAGTTTTGAATACAGAGTGATGAATCAATTTCCTAGTAGAGTGGGTATCCTGACGATCAGGATTTCAGTACAAATGTTTCTCAAAACAAATCTGTTCGTTAATAGATGCCACACCAATATCCTTTTCTTGTTTAATCTGCTCTAATTGTTTTGAGCACATTAAGCAATGTAATAAAAACATCCTGGAAAATAATATATACCTAAAACGAGTAGTAACACACCTTTCTGATTAAAATTTTGATTATCATTTTCATCCACCAGTGCTGGTTCGGACTTGGCCTTGTTGCCCCTCGGCTGACTGGTGTTACTCCCTGCAGAGGAATCCCTCTGGGGGTCTCGGGTGGATGGTAGACCATTCCGACTCGTGGAGCTCCCAGACAGGTCTAAGTAGGAGCCAGTGCCATAACCATCTATATAACATATACAACAGACAAACTATTTAACAGAGATCACTTTTATGCTACACTCATCAATATTCCAGCTACATCATGGCTACTGGTAAATAATCGAGTTTGTCCCAGACAATCCAGTGACTGATACAATAAGCAACGATCCATGCTGTGAGGGTACGATGACACACAAGCAACCAAGTCCATGAGTCTGACCACCCTATCCATTAAAATCCCCATATAACAAGCATAGGTTGCTGGAGACCTATTCTAACCTGACTAGTTGAATTACCAAGTATTTCTAGATAGGACCAAGTCCTACAACCATCTATAAACATGTACAGTGAACTACGTTAATAACAAACTGCTCATAATAATGATAATGAACTGGCGGATATAACAGACTGTTTTTTTTGTCCCAGCCATTTGCTGTATATATGTTGTATATATGTTTATAACGAACTCTGGTCATAACGAACTAAAATTAGTGGTCCCTTTGAGTTTGTAATAGCCGTAGTTTACTGTACATAGACAACAAAGTTATCACACTCCTCAGACATAAGGCTTATCAAAGACATAATCAACACACTGTTGAACACTTGATCAATGTTCTTGCAAATGACTGAACTTTTTTCAGAAGCAGATATATGACAATCAAAAAGGACTTATTTTACACAAACACATATTGTCCTACACATTAGTTCACAGATAAATCACTCATTTGTCAACATTTTCAAATAATTTAAACACTAATCCCTTGGAAACAACTATCAAAAACCCATTGTTCTAAAGAGGTGACACATTGAACATAGACCTCACCGTCCAGCCTAGAAGATGTTGACCTCATGCTCCTGTTTGTGAAGTTGCCCTGTAAGAAATAATCACCATCATCATAACATTTCAACATGATGAATGACAATAAATCCAAGGGAAGGCGTAAATGTTAATGTGTTAAGTACTCAATTTCTTTCCCACTGTACATATATAGGTAAGGTGAGGTGAAATTGGGTTTAACGTCGCGTCCAAAATCATTGCACTTATATAGCGACGTGCATGCACGTGTGTGTGTTTGTGTGGCTGCTTGTACTAGTCCGGACTGATGCCAATTTATAGTGCTAGCCCACTGAGATACCATGCCGCAGTTTAACATGAATACCCCACTCACACACAGTATACTGACTCCGAGCCAACCAGTCCTTGTTTTAGCCCCTTAATGCCGAGCGCCAGACAGGGTAACAACAAGTACCATCTTTTAACATCTTTTGGTATGACGCGGCTGGGGATCGTACCCCGGACCTTCCGTTCTCCGGGCAGACGCTCTACCACGAGGGTACATATATAGGATACATACTTTGCAATGTACCAATCATTTGTTTGTTTGTTTGTTGCTTAAAGCTGCACTCAGCAATATTCCAGCTATGATGGCGGTCTGTAACTAATCGAATCTGGACCAGACAATCCAGTGATTGACATCATGAACATCAATCTACGCAATTGGGATACAATGACATGCATTAACCAAGTCAGTGAGCCTGACCACCCCATCCCATTAGTCGCTTCTTATGATAAGAATAGTTGCCTTTTACGACAAACATTGGTTACTGAAGACCTATTCTAACCTGGTTGTCATGGGTAACCAATCATTTGTGAAATTGAGTGCAAGGTTGGATGAAGTGTATTTTGCACATGTGGAAGAATACACACAACTAGGTCTAATTGGTCCGTTCACAGGAAAAACTATGGAATATTTTTTAAATGAAAGCTATGTGAACACCCTGTGACGTAAGTGTCGTGTTAGCTCACCTGTCTGGCTGATTTCCTGCTTGTATCGGCCTCAGTCGGCACCTTGGAGCCAAATGCAATGTGGTAGGACCTCTGACTGTTGAGGCTGGAGTCTTAAACACAACAAGCACTTACGCTATTGACAATCAATCGCACAAATACTCACGCATAATGATCTGTATGGCCCATCTGGCAAAGAACCTATTTTACCAATAGCATAAACAATCAGAAATGCTCTACCACTATACGTCTTGCATGCTTAGTTGACTAACACAGATTTCAATATTTAAGTGGGTTCTTACGGTGGAATTTTAGTAATGAATTGTTACAGGTAATTTGAAGCAAGATATAAAGTCATATGAAACAAGTGTTTCTTTGTAGCATACAACTATAATCTTTCTGTCACCTCACAAGCAAGATATAGTCTCTTGTCCAAAATGAACAACAAGCGGTATCTACAGTTTTACATGCAACACAAGCCATTCGATTGCTTATGATTTGTCATGAAATAGGACAAGTTCTAATACAATAGATTTGATGACAGAATGTTGCTTGTGACTTACAAGTGGGGTCACTTTGTCGAAGAGAAGTAACCAGATCGAAGGTAGTACACAATTTTATATACATGTACTAGCACTTGAGTGAGTGAGTGAGTTTGGTTTTACGCCGCTTTTAGCAATATTCCAGCAATATCACGGCTGGGGACACCAGAAATGGGCTTCACACATTGTACCCATGTCGGGATTCGAACCCGGGTCTTCGGCGTGACGAGCGAACGCTTTAACCACTAGGCTACCCGACCGCCCTACTAGCACTTGAAGAGAGAACCATTAAAATTGTCCTTATCCTTCAAACAATGCCCCACCTAGGTTAAGTATAGACACAGGTCTGCTCAATGTCCCACTGCCCTCTCTCAATCTCTCGCCATGCTTGATCTTGTTGAGAGTTAACACCTATAGGAAAGTAGAGAAACATTGTTACAGACATATTACACAATAACTGAGATTTACCTAGGACTCCCAACTAAGTGCCCTTGGCAGGCAAATTGAGAAAAAATTGTTAGTTTGTTCAAAATGGGATGTTTAAATCTTACTTTCCTAATTTCAGTGCTATTTTAACACTGAATTTTAACATTGCATTCATCGCAATAATGTTAAACTTAGCATTAAAGCCTTTGGAATTTATTAATTCCGATTTGTTATATGTGACACTGAAAACAAGATCAATTTCAAAAGGCTGTCACTGCAGACTTTCTAAATGGCCTTTACATTTTATAAGAATACAATCTGTGAAGATATTTCACTTACAAACAGCAAAATGGAATATGTTTTGAGTGACTTTGAAATATAAGGTCAAGGTCAACATGTTCATACCTTGCCTGTGGACTTTTCCAAAGAACATTTCAACAAATTTGAACCAAGTCCATCAATAAGCTGATGATATTTTGCAAATTGGTCAAAAGCTTTCCTTGATCACTTATATCAACTGGGCCTGCACACATCTATAAGACACCAGATCATCAAATATGGACCAAATCAATGACGAGATACCAGATATAGCTCACTTACAAACGAAAAATTGGTCAAAATGCTTACTTTGACCTTGGAAATAAGGTCAAGGTCACTCCTATCTAATTGGGCCTCCAAACACCCAATCAATGCTAAGGCTCATGAGATAGGTTGATAACAAAAAGCAAACTGGTCAAGTGATTCCCATGACATTGAAAATAAGGTCAGGGTCATTAATGAGGTCTATAGGCACCCCCCCAGGCCATGACCAATCCAAACACAGTGGCCCACTGCATTTCAACCAGTGATTGCCTCTGAGCATGAGGGTGTGAGTAAATGTTGTCAATGTTCCACCCTCTTCACCTGTCTACATTCAGTGGCCAGGATAGCCTTTCAAACTTACATATTAATTTACATTTTAATTTGTGCTCCTTTTTAACACTTTTTAAACAAAATTATTCCCGTTATGGTCAGGAAATGGAGAACGGAGAACACCACTACGCCATTTTATGAACTGTATGAATAAATGAATTGTTAATACGTATCGAATAGGCCATCTCGGGCCTCTTTTCTAGTACTATTCCTCTTTAGAAATTGGCTCGTGTTTTTGGAGCCATAAATTGCAAAGTACGGGATAGTTTTACTCTAGAGTCAGCAATATTCTAGAGATATTAAGGCAGCTTCTATATAATCAAGTCTGGGTACACAAAACCAGTGGTTGATAGCATGGGCAATGGATTCACATCGATAAACAGTGGCATATATTGTTCGACAGCTCTTTTGGCAAGCACAGGACACTCAGGATTTTGCTTCAGAATCCCCACACATTCCAGTCACTATATAAAACCAGTGGTTGATAGCATGGCAATGGATTCACATCAATAAACAGTGGCACATATTGTTTGACAGCTCTCATGGCAAGCACAGGACACTCAGGATTTTGGCTCGGAATCCCCACACAGTCCAGTCACTATATACATTGTAACTTACAAACCTACCTGTGTACACTGCATGACATCGGTGGGCAGCTGACAGTGCTTGGGGATGGGATCCACCTCACCAGGGTTACTGTTGCTGCACCCATACAGTTCTGTCAAGGAAAACCTCATTAATGACTGAAATCTGTCCTGTCGTTGTTGACCTTTCTTATCTATTAATTATGCATTAATCTCATTGATTGACTAGTATTGTTGTATCCAAATAAGATTGCCAATCTGGGTTGCTAGCAAACTATTAGCCAATCAACTTGTGTAAAACAATCACAATACATTCTCGTGAAATTTGACACAGTTCAGTGTGTTGATATTACAATGCAGAAGAGTCCCAATGTCAGTCAAAAGGCAAATTAACATAAATTCTACTTAAACTTTGACTCTTTGATGTTAGCTTTGACTCTCGAAATAAAATATGAGAGTCGTTATGACTCCAAAAAGTGAAACCCTATGAGGAACCCTGTAAGGAGCAAGAATGTTCATCCTACCATCATCATCCGTTGTGTCCGGAGGCTGAACCTTCATTGTAAACACTCGCTTCAGTTTACAGTTGGCCGAGATTGCGACTGCCTCGATAGCACGGTACGTCTCCCCCTTCCACGTCTCGCCCACCAGTGACACAAGGTCCAGACACAGGTTCAACCACTGAAATTGGTGAGAGTAGCATTTTAACTATGTTTTCAAAATCAATATTTGCTTAACACTGCCAGTTTTACTGTATACAATTCATTCTCCAGGTAGTTCCTTATTACTTCCCATATGAATTGACAACATTCGTGAAAGGAAATCCTTTCTGAGATAACAAGAGAGAATTTGGATTAAGTTTTGGAATAAATCAATAAATTGCCAGATAATTAGAAGAGACGTACTCACAGAAAATACACCAGTTGTATTGGTGAATATCATTTTAGACTTGTTTGTTTTGTTTGTTTGTTGCTATACGCTGGATAGCATTATTCCAGCTTTGTGATGGCGGTCTGTAATAATTAAGCCAGGACCAGACAAAGCAGTGATTTAACATCATAAGCTCTGATGGGATATGATTGGTGTATGATAACATGCATCAACCAAGTCAGCGAGCCCGACCATGTTATTCGCCTCTTATGACAAGCAGACAGACAGGACTTATAGATTTCAACTTCTTGACTGATGTAATGCCAAGTCTTGCTGGTAAATATATCAAGTTGAAGACTTACCACAGCTTTCCGGACAACATTGAGTGGGATCCGTGCATGTAGTGGCGTGACTTGCGTCTCCTTCTGGGACGTGGACATCTGGATGCGGCGCTTGTTGTTGTGCATGTCAGTCACACTAAACAACAGAGCAAATCATGAAAATTACACAAGGTAATCGGCTGATTTCTCCTAACGTTTCATGTTACTCATTTAATCAGAATTGGCACATAGAAGAAAGTGTTTTAGAAAATATGCACATTTAAGAAATCTCACTGTGTGGTTATTATATATAATTATCTATAAGAAAAGGCACTTAAGCACTGATTAAAATATAAAAAAGAGAATATTTTTTGTACATATTGTTGTTTGAAAGGTTTATCCAAGCCATGACATCTAAAGTCTTGTTTATAGTCCATGACTGCAAGTTTATAATTCTATCACATAGTCCCATCTTCCTGTGGCAAGTGAGTTAACAGTCCAGTTTCCACCCTTGCCGAACTAGGCTGGAATTTCTGGACTCTATCGTAGCACCATCAGTGGCTAATACGAGTCCCTTCTATTGCCCTCCTATTGACCAATCAGATTCCACCTCTCATATCTCTTGCATTTGCTTCCAGTCAAGACGATCTTGTCAATAATCAAAATCTATGATGTGATAAATGGGTCTTACTTCATAAGGTGCATCAAATCAGGTGAGCACCTTGATTAAAAACAAGAGGCCCTAGATGTGCACAGCAGTTTACGAACCCGATGTCGATTTCGTTGATTGGGCTGTGCATAGACTCGTTAGTCCAGCCAAATTATAACTCCATAATTCCAGTCAAGTTTGGCAAGGGAGGAAATTGGACTTTTATAGTCAGTAAACCCTATTGCCTCAGGAAGATGCATAGTCCCAGCAGGTTCCATCAGTTTGGATCTCCTACTTGAGACATGGATAACCCAGATATAAGGGTCCCTTTTCACAAATTGATCATAGTGCTACAACTATCGTTATTCCTATACTTTAGTATAGACTTGCGATAGTCGTAGTGCTATGATTGCATTGTGAAACGAGCCCCAGGCCTACAACTGCAAGTACTATCAGCACAGCTAACACTGGGAAACCTACTTACCCCAGCTCTATGGAGAACTCTTGTCCCTTTACCAGGTACAGCTGTAACACAAGGTAGCGCTGAATCAGCGTCACTGAAACAAGGAACATCATGGTACATCAATACCTTGAGAAACAAACCTCTGTGTAGTCTTCCACACACGCTCAACATACTACATGAACATCAATAATTATACTAGGATTGTATAGATTGGCATGACTTCAACATGAGAATATGCTTGCTGTTTGTTCTCATTACAGAATAAATATATTGTAATAAAGTTATTCCGTGGCAATATTTTTGGGAAATGTTTTTAAAGTGATTTACGGAGTTGTGTTTCCTTATCATGCCTATTGGTTGATAATAGAATGAGCAGAGCTTGTGTCGCATTATTGCGCTGTTGTTTGTTTGTTTGTTGTTTAACGCCACATTCAGCAATATTCCAGCTATATGACTGCGGTCTGTAAACAATCGACTCTGGACCAGACAATCTAGTGATTGAAATCATGAGCATCGATCTACGCAATTGGGATACAATGACATGCATCAACCAAGTCAGCGAGCCTGACCATCCGATCCCATTAGTTGCCTCTTACGACAAGCATGGGTTGCTGAAGACCTATTCTCTACCTAAATCTTAAAAGGTCATTATTGTGCTGGATAATGTCACTGATAGGTGTCACGCATTGTTGTCTAGGTTTTGTGTGTTGGTGACTAAAAAAGCAGTCTGTGAAGCTATTGTTTTTAACATATTTCTTTAAAAGAAGTTATTTCAATATGTTTTTTTGCATTTATGGAATTTATGCAGATTTACACAGCAAGCACATCAGTTTTTGTGTTCATACCATACACACAAAAAATATTGAAGTCAAATATGAAATGAATCACATGATTATGGACCATACAGATCTTGGGAGACAAATTTCAAGAATCAAGAGACTGTCGATGGACTTTCAAACTCTTTACCCTCCAAGCCTCAACAAACACCTTTTAATCAAAGAACTTCAAATCTGTGCGAGTCTTTGTAATGAATGAGTATGGTTTTACGCCGCTTTTAACAATATTCCGTCAAAATCACAGCAGGGAACACCAGATATGTGCTTCACACACTGCACCCATGTGGGTAATTGAACCCTCTTCAGCATGGTGAGTGAACGCTTTAACCACTAGGCTACCCCACTGCCTGTGAGTCTTAGGAATTGTAAAACATGCTATCTGAATGAGAAGAGCTCAGGCCATATGTGGTCAAGTCATCTAAGGTGCCACAATTCACTGTGCAGAGTTGCATCCCTTAGGCATGACAGGATCCAACAATCATGGGTTGGAATCCCAGATGTGCACGAATAAAGACGATCCTTCAACGGTTAATCAGCAGTTACCGTATTCGACGTAATAAGCGCCCAGCTCTTATAAGCGCCCACGGTGATATTTGCTAATAAATTGGCACGTGAACAATCCCAATTAGCACCCCTTCCGATTGATCAATGTAAACAAGACTTATTCATTCGCGTATAATATGCACTCCTGTGTTGTATGCACCATTAATTATGGGCAATTAAATTCTGGAAAAATTTATCTGCCGAACATAAACATTTCAGGCTGTCAGCATAAACCACGAAATTTATTTTTCAACTCTGTTTTTTTCTCTCCAAAATAATATTTTAATAAGAGCCCCCTATTTCTAATTTTGAGAGCGCCCTGGGCGCTTATTACGTAGAATACGGTAGTTGTTAGTTGTGCCCTGGTAACAGCAGGTTTGGTGATGTCATGGCATACGAGACAGCATCAGATTCTGGGATGATGGCAGGTACAAATGTGACTTACATGAGTGTCTCGAGTCCCTCGGCAGTTGTATCCTAGTGGTGGCCGAGGTGCCTTCCAGCGTGTACACATAACCTTTAACCTCCTTCTCGTAAAGCTGTAACATAAACATCAATCATGAACAGACTGACATATAAAATTAAAACAAAGAATATTTTTGGAAAAGACTGAATGTATCCACCTCCAAAAGTTATATGAATGCATTAGTCTGACATTGAATCTAAATAACCTTGTCAGTGACTATATATCATGTATATTTTAAATCTAGACAGTGAATCGTGTCCAGTATATGTCTAGTCTATGGACAATATCCATTACACTTTACAGAGAAGGAGTAAGTGTTGGTTTACAAAAACAATATTGTAATTTATGAAAGAGTTATCTCCCCTTGTCCACAGCCTACACTGTGTCTCTAGACTATATCCTCCATTTAAGGGAGCACAGGCCCCCGTAACATGTTTAACTACCATAAATTAGTTATGAAGTACTAGATATGAAGTTCAAGTCATACTGATCCACCTTTATTTAATTAACCTTGGACACTTTTGATTCATTTGTTTTACATCCTTGTACAACTGTACGCTGCTTCAGAACAATGCAATACAATAGGGGAAAACAACAGACAAGGAAAGCCATTTAACCACAAAAAATGTAATTAAACTTATTCTATACTTGCGGGCCCTGTTACCGTGGTTACACAATGCCTTCTCACTTAAAAGCATTGGAGATCTGACATTCATAGCGCTAAGACTAGGAAATGAAAACAAGCCATGTACTCACCTTCTTGATTCCTGGGCCATTCTGCAGCTTCCAATGAGATGTGGAGTCTTTGCCCTGAGCACTGAAGATTTCAAAGTACGGTCCACCCTGAAAAAAGCAAGCAAGATTGATTTTTTACACTGCTTGGACATGATGAAAAGTATTTTGGTCCTGTCACATGATTGTAGGAAAACCTACAATGACATAGGTCACAGGCATCTATCACCTTGGTGAAATGCACAAGAACAGGTAGCATGCCCATAGACCAAGATTCGGGCAAGAATCATAATTAGGTCAAATCAGGGATTCAAACCCACAAATAGCAGAACCTGACATTGCTGAGACTAGAGGTGTAGCTCTACAAATGATATTACAGTCACACTGAACATTGGATCAATTATATCCCCTCACACTGAAAGAATGAACATATCAAATTCAAAATATGACACTATCACATAATTATTTGCTAATTTGTTATTATTTCAAATGCAGAATTATGTACATGATATATAACACGCTGCATACTGTATAAGTTCTACTTGTCTATGATCAGAGGATCTATCATTCCATTTCGATGTTAACCAAACCAACCAGACTTATGAATCAAGAGTCAAGGGGACCTCTTCAAAATGTGGATTCTTCCTTAGTATCTAAGGACCCTATATTTTGTATTTTAGCTCAGCAGTATTCCAGCTATATGACGGCAGTCTGTAAATAATCGAGTATGGACCAGACAATACAGTGATTGACATGAGCATTGAGCCACGCAATTGGGATACGATGACATGCATCAACCAAGCGAGCCTGACCACCCGATAGCGTTAGTCGCCGCTTACGACAAGCATAGTCGCCTTTTACGGCAAGCATGGGTTGCTGAAGACCTATTCTAAACCGGATCTTCACAGGCCTTTTAACATTATGGTTATGACCAGACCCTTCGACTTTCATGCTTAATTTCAAATACAGCTAACCATACCTGAAAGTCATTTCTGAACATGGTTCTTGTAAGAGGGCTTCAATTTCCTGTAGTGCTGCTTAAACAATTCAATAATTCCTTAGGAAACTGTTCACTTCCAGGTATCCAAATTGACTCACTTCCCATGGTCTGTCTTAAACCAAACTCATTTCATGAAGGTTTTATAAACTACAGTGTCTGTTTCTTGTATTGAAGTTTTATGGCAAGCAATGCATAGACTTCCAGTTATTGATCACATCTGGAACAAATGAAGAAATATTATAAATGCCAACTCATAATGGATTATTGACATGAGGCTAGTTGGTAGACAACAAAGATAAGATGAGACATTATGTAATGCGGTGGTTTTCTCTAAATGCAACAAGTGAAACTGTGTGTAAATAGAAGACTTGGTAATTTATAAATTTATATATGGGTTTAAAGATTTGGCTGAGTAACACAAGATCTGTAAACTTATACATGTTATATAAGCATGATAAGAGTGCTGACACGTACTGGAAAACAGGATTTGAATATTCAAGATCAAGGATACAGATTCATTGTCACAATAATGAGTACAGAAAACAATAAACAAAAGGCACAGCTGTTCACCTTCATTAGACTTTATACAACATGAGCGGGGATGTGCCATAACTTTTCATCCCTAGAACATGTAGAAGCTGGTGGTCTTTTAGCTGAACGATAATGCCTAATTTTTGGACACAAACATTCATTAATATCTTGTCAACACTTCACAGAACAATCTAAGACTATTTTCTAGAATGTTTACCTGTATCCCACAATCATATTCAATGTTTTCACAACGTTTTAAGTCAGAAAAGTTTAGTCATAGCGACCAGGGTGCTAAAATGCATTGTCTCAAGACATATCAATCTAGATGTGATGGTAATGTAACACCTGTTTGAGGAATGCATCTGTTTCAAAATGAACATATGAAAGGAATTAGTTATTATACTACAAACAATATTACCCCCAAGGGACAGTATGTCGACAGTTCTTCGGGTTTAAATCATGCATGAAATAATTCTCGAGTGTAACTTTACACCTGTAGTTAATGCACTGTTTATTAACAATCCTTCAGAACGGTCAACGGCCCTTTAAACATCTCATGTCAATAATCCTACAATCAATTAGGCTTAGAGGATTAGTTTGAATTATCTTATGACAATGCATAACATGAAAATTACCAAACAAATGGTAACAGTAATTTGTTTGTACAGGGTTAAAATAGGAAATCCTATACTATAGGAAGGTCTATACTAACTTACTCCTGGTTCTTCAGCATATAATTACTTATAACATGTATAAGTAGGCCTAGAATAGGCTAAGTCATACAAGGATAAATAACATGTCACTAGGCCTAGATGACTAATGTCTGGAAAGTTGTTTATTGTTGACAACGGATGACAAATTGGCTTAATTTGGTTTCTGACGGTAAACTCATGATAACGGTACTATTTCTGTAAATAGGAGCCTGGTCAGTACACCGCTAGACTGTCAACATTCCATAGTTCATTCAGCCGTCTGCTGTCCACTTGTCAACAAGACCGCACAAGGAGGGCGAGATGACTTCTAAGGTCTAACAATGTTAAACATCTTGGTAATTATAATGATTGGATGTTTTTTGCTTCTGCATGAATTGTCTAAATATTACTGCAATCGGAAAATATCGCTGACAAGATGAATGTCGTGACAATAAATGGAACACTGACCTTAAATCTTTGGAGTTGACTGATCTCTTGCGTCGTCCGCCATATTTGTTGCTACAGCCAAGCAGCGATTCCAACAGCCAATCAAAATTACTTTTACATTGCAAGCACCTGCGGCTGTTAGGAACTTTCTTTTGGAAAACGAAAAAAGATTTTGTGAGTTCAAATGTGTATTTAACTGATATATTTTGACAAAATTAGGTGAGTGTGTATATTTTTAATCGGTTATCAGGAAACTGTTCAAAGGTGTGTATGCAATACAAGATATAGACATAACAACAATTTTGTATAATGTTTTTGGTTCGTTTCCTTGCGATATTTCACGGGGATTTCAGGTTTTGGAGTCAACACTTGTCGGAAGATTGCGCCACATGTGTGTTGTTTTTGGAATTGTATGTCAGTTACACTTTTGATTGGACTGCAGATATGTCAGGCCGTGCAGGTATGTTTCCTTCGAATCGAAAGATGTGATCATGATAACCCATATATACGAAATTCTTTGTTATAGATCTTAATAAACAGCTCCAGTTAGACTGCGCATTTGCGTGAAATAACGTCCAGTTCCAGTTTCAGGGTTTTTTCTTTTATCAGAGACCATATAGATCTACCAATACATATGGTTTCTGCTTTCATTGACCGATGTTTTTCGTGTTCTAAAGAGAGGTTTGATGTCATCAAAACCCACCACACACCCATTTTTAAACATATTTTTCAAAGTTCCCAAAAAATCTTAGATACACCAGCGTTCAAGCAACCATGTTTACTTTTCACAATTCTGGCCATTCGTTATTGCATAACAAGCTGTAGTCATCTACCGTCAGTCAATCTCACTGAACATTTCCATTTCCTTAATAATAAAATCTTTATCTTATATATGAAACTGTAAGAACAAGTGTTATTAAACCATAATTAGATAGAGTTTATTCATCAGTAAATAGCTTCACTGAAACAAGTCATATTCATTTGAAATTTAATCAGGTCTTCTTGAACAACCTGAAACCAAGTTGTTCCATATAAAAGCACCAATGGATTGCTCAGCAAAGCCACATTGACATTGATTCATTATGAATTATGTTTGTAGTTAATATTGGCAACATAATATTTTATGGCATAGTTAATTGGACATATTTTATGTTTAAAGTGTCAAGTAAATATAAGTTGCAGGGATAATTCTGGGAAGGGCCCTTGGAGGTTTGGCCCATAAATCTAAAAGAAGGCCCACATCAAATGCAGTGACATTGTATCATCATGATTATATAGGCATTACATAGAAATTGTTGCAAATTTCACTGAACAGTGGGCCCAAGTCAGACAAATCCCTGAATGATCCCAGAGTTGTGGACTGCTTCCTTGTTTCCAGGAGTACATGTAGTAAAAACAATCTGGATTAAGCTAGGGGCCATGTTTACATCATGTACATTATTCTGAAAATCTTTAACCTGTTTTTACAGTGATGAAATACATTTGTGTTGAAATGGAAGACACCACAAAGTTAAACCTGTTGCAAAGGCTGCAATTTTGACTGTTAGAATAATGAATTGGGGTTAGTATATATCATTAGTAAAAAGAACAAATCTTAACCATTTGTTAACCTAGGTTAGTTTGTAATATGATCATCAAAAAGAAGCTGTCATTCAGTAAGTCACCACTTGGAAAGGAATCTCACCTCAACTTTCGGTATCTTCAACCAAGAAGTTCACCTTAGTTTCATTAGCCAAACTTGTGTGATTTCTAAGGCTGGGATGACACACCAACTGTGCGATCCGATACCTATCACGATACCTTGTTCACGATCTGATACATATCTCGATACTTGTATGTGCTCTTATGTGTGGTTCGTAGGCCATCTTGTTCATAGACATGATAGTCAAATACCTGGCACACCTACGATTTACAGTTGGCAGTGTCAAGTATGGGGCAATGGATGAAAATATTTACTTTTTCACTACTAATTAGTGTTTGGTGTAACACTAACAGGCATTAAAGTAAACATTTAAGGTATGAATCAATTTTTTTACTTAGTGTGCACCTGTGATCGAAAATTTTTCAGGAAGTAAAATATCGCATTGCATCTTGTGTATAGCCCCACCACTAGTGATTTCACTATTTGTTCTATGACTCTTTTTGCCATATTTAAATGCTCATTAACCCTCCATTGACTTTACAGGTGGTAAGAAGAAGCCTCTGAAGGCTCAAAAGAAAGAACAGAAGGAGATGAGTGAGGTAAGCAATAATTCTTGGATTTTTGTGATCGTTGCAGGGTAAGATCCATTTTTTAACAATATAGATATTGATTATTGATCAGACCATCTTGACCAGTCTTGTCTATTTGTGGTAAGCAAATGCTTTTGATATCATGGATATGAGAGGTGGAATCTGATTCATTGGTCAATAGAATTGGTAATGGCCACTGGTTGTGCTACGATTTGGGCATGAAATTCCAGCCTAGTTCGGCAAGGATGAAAACTTGACTCTAATAGTCAATTAACTCCCTTGTATGTAAGCCTGTTAAGAATGGTCACTGATTGGTTACGTTTTTGTGTGTAATTTCCCTCAAACTGATACAACCGTTCACTGACACTGTTTAAGATTTAGTTCTTTTCTTTCCTTGACCTGTTTAAATTACTGATTTACAATATGTTCAAAGACAGGACATGATTGTGAAGCTATGGGTTAGAATTGGTCTGTGGCAACCTATGCTTGGCCAACTTAATGGTCGGTTATCAGGTCGTGAGACTGGGGGTGAATTTGTTGATAGTGTGTCATCGTACCCCAGTGGTGTGGATCATTGCTCACAATATCTATCACTGGCTTGTCTGACCCAGACTCGATTATTATACCCCTGATCAAAAAGGGCGGGGGGTGTAGGTATACCAAGGAATTACATCCGTCTTTCTGAGGAAATTGTTTTGTGTGACAAATAACTTGAAAACATAGATTCTTTTCAAAGTGGGTGAACACTTTCCGTACCAAAAGGAGAGGTGCAGTGCGAAGTTTTATTTCAATATTCACATTTTGTTTTTTGTTTTGCTTCAACATTTGTGCGATCTATAACTTGAGAACTACTGCATGGATTCTTTTCCAATTGGGGGTAGTTTCTATACCAATAGGAGGGGTGCAGTGCAAAGTTTTATTTTGATAAGAGTATTTCCTCAGAAAACATTGCGTTTTTCATGTTTTGAACTTTAGAAATATATTGGAGTAGAAGTCAGGGTTATTAGTGAGCCCTGCTAACTTTTTGCCGTGTTTTGTTATAATACAGGCTGCTGTCGTATAACTGGAGTAATGGGGGATTGTGGAATTTAACAACAAACTATCAGGCAGAATGACCTCTGATCCATCTACCAGTAACTGTCACTAGGTTCCCAATTACTCGCACCATGGGAGAGGGGAAACTCGCTGTGTAGAGTTATGCCCCTTAGGCATGCCAGGATGCTATGATCATGAGGCGAATCCCCAGTATCAGATGCTTGTGATTCTGTACTTGGACATTAATTTTGTTTCTTGTCAACAGGAGGATCTTGATTTCAAACAAAAAAAGAAGGAAGAGCAAGCAGCCCTAAAGGCGATGCGGGAGAAGGCCGGCCAGAAAGGACCTTTAAGTGAGTAGAATATATCAGCTGACAAACAACATATTCACAACAATCCGTATGTTTTGAATTTGTTACAAATTTGTGACCCAAATAGTTTTTGTTTTAATAATAATTATAATAACAGGCGCTCAGGTGCTAATATAATGTAAATTAAAAACTTGTTAAAATTGATAGCACATTGTCAAATGGGTAGAACGGATGTGTTTTTTTAGTAGTGTCTTAAACTGGAATTTTGAAAGTGATGTCCTTAATTCCTACAGCTATGCCAATCAGATCATAACAAAATACTAATTGTAATTTGGGAAAGTTGGCAGCTATGTCATTGTTCCCCATCTTGCCTCCTCTACAGAGGGAATGGGCAGCTCCGTGCTGTTGCATCCTTACAGAGTTGTGTCCCTTAGCTGAAATCCGGATAGCAACAAACTTTTCCTTATTGGTTTCATCATTGGCAAACATGTTCGACCTGCTTCACTTTAAGGGGTGGCTATTTGGGCTATTTTCACTTTTGCAATTGTATTAGAACAGTAGCCCATAGATAGTTGTCATTGTGTGTCGTTTAGTAGGAAATCAACATTTTTTGGATTGATAATTATATTAATCAATGTACTCTAACAGTAAACTATGTTTACAACGAACACACTTTTAATGAACTGACAGATATAACAAACTGGTCTTTTGGCCCCGGCCATTTGCTGTGTATGTGCTGTATATATGCCTATAACGGACTACAGTCCCGTGAAGATCTGGGGTAGAATGGGTCTTCAGCAACCCATGCTTGCCGTAAAAGGCAACTAACGGGATTGGGTGGTCTGGCTCGCTGACTTGGTTGATGCATGTCATCTGTCCGAATTGCATGGATCGATGCTCATGATGTCAGTCACTGGATTGTCTGGTCCAGACTCGATTATTTACAGACCGCCGTCATATGGCAGGGCTGAATGCGGCGTTAAACAAAAAGAAACAAAAAAAACCAATATAATGAACTACAATTAAAACAAACTAAAATTTGTTATAACCATAGTCAACTGTAATAGAACTGAATAAACTGTCGATGGCAATGTCAAAATTGGCCACCTTCCTGTCGCTACTCTAACCAAAGGGAAGTAACTCCAATCTGAAGTGGTTGTAATCCTTGCTAACCAACCACACAACTTATGTTTTATTTATGACTATATGCAACTGTTGAAATGACAGATTGTTATGCATACTATTGACAATACTTTTGGCAATTTAAGATAACTATTAACTATTGATATAATACTATCATTTAGGGCTTGGACAGGTAACTCAGGTACTCGGGTCGGGTTGGTCCTAAGTAGGACTCGGGTAGCCACAGGACTACCTAGACCCGTGGTTAGTCAACTGACATATTGTTTAATGAAAAAAATAATTTTAGCTACAAGTCGCTAATGTTCGAATTCCTTTTGACTTGTATATGTTTGAGTAAAGATAAAGCTTCAGACAACTTCAGTAAACGCATGATGCGATTGTTTGATACATGTGTCTGAATAGTTTTAGCCAGGGCTGCGGTTTAAACAATTGCCAATCAGACATTTTGTTCCCAACTCTTGAGACTTGCAGTGTGTATCGGGTAGGGTCGGGTAATAGGGGAACAGGTACCCCGGTAGTAAATTTGGACTCGTTCCAACTTCCAGCCCTACTATCATTCTCATATTCACTTTGGGATTTTCGCCTGAAATATGCTGACACACCATGGCGCGGTGATACTGATATTCTGTTTAAAGTGGTGTTAAACCAAACTCACTAATTACTCTCGCCGATCCGTGAAGATCCAGGTTAAAATAGGTCTTCAGCAACCCATGCTCGTCGTAAGAGGCGACTTCGGGATGGGGTGGTCAGGCTCACTGACTTTTTTGATGTATGTCATCGTATCCCAATTGCGTAGATCTATGCTTATGATGTCAATCACTGGATTGTCTGGTCCAGACAATTACTAAAGACTCGATTATTTACAGACCACTGTCATATAGCTTGAATAAAGCTGAATCCGGTAGTTAAACAACAAACAAAACAAACATTACTCTCACCTGGTAATGTATACTTCTAAAATGCGTTTTAAGATTTATCATATGACTAGTTAATCTGCGATTGCTACAAAAAAATCACGTGTACACTTCATGACTCAATTATGTATTTTATCATGATCTCATATTGAAGTATTTCTGCTCTTTCTGTTTTCAGCTGGAGGTGGAATCAAGAAATCTGGCAAGAAATGACCCTGGCTTCTTCTGCCATATTTTTAGAGGCATTTAACATGTTTAACAGCAGAGAAGACTTTGCAATCACTCCTGGTTTATTATACACTTGACTTCTTTGGGTCGACATGTTTCCTTACAGCGTCAGCCAAATGTTCGTAATGTATTTTATCATGTAATAAAATCTTTGAACTCCCAAAGAATCCTGATTTTTGTGTTGGCTGAAAAAGGTTCCTGGTGCTTGAAGGTCACACTTAGAAATAATATGTTTTATCAAATGTACCTTTTGGCATGGTTTTATTCTATGAGGCCAGTACAGTGTCTGAAATACCTGCCTCCCCAGAGTCCACCAATCTCACTCAGATCTTAGTTCTTGCAGGGGCGGTCGGGGTGCCTAGTGGTTAAAGCGTTTGCTTGTCACGCCGAAGACCCGGGTTCGAGTCCCGACATTGGTACAATGTGTGAAGCCCATTTCTGGTGTCCCCCATCGTGATATTGCTGAAATATTGCAAAAAAGCGGGGTAAAACCAAACTCACTCACTTTGTTCTTGCTACTGCTAAACAAAGATCTGAGGACACCCCATCATTGGTCATGTCAGACCAACCTTGCGCAAACTTTGACCGACCAATGAAATGACTGACAAGAAGTCAACATAAGCCAATCAGCAGTAATTTCAAATTGGCGACTACACTTTGAAACATTTTTGACAAATTCACGATTATAAATTTGAAACCTGAAAAAAGAACATTCTGGAATGGCTAAATAGATGGTCTAGATTGTATGGATTCAGTCGTTAAGCCCGTAACTACTGGTCGGAAGTTTTCGAGGCTGCATGATTAGAAAGCACATTCTGACTGTTATTTTCATGATCTGGTAAGTGACACACTGATTGGTTGGAGTGTCCACCTGCCCATGGCAGGTGACTTTTCTGTAGAGCTGCATGAAATATTCCTCCACGGACTCAGGCAGATAATTTTAAGACTATTTACATATTCAGTTTTATTATAACTTCTTGTACATGATCAAGTAATTGTAAATATTTTTTCAACTGAATAAAGATGCGATTTGTCTCAATTTTTTGGTCGTTGCGATTCAGAAGTTGAAAGGGGCAGTCGGCTAGCCTAGTGGTTAAAGGGTTGCTCGTCACTCTGAACAGTGAAGACCCGGGTTCAATTCCCGACATGGGTACAATGTGTGAAGCCCATTTCTGGTGTCCCCCCCCGTGATATTGCTGGAATATTGCTAAAGGCGACGCTAAACCATACTTACTCACTCACTTGCTCAGAGGTTGAAAAGGGTTTTATCAATCTCAACAATCTCCAAATGATGGAAGTTTTTAATGCCCTGTCCCCAGTGATGGAAGGTTTAATGTCCCTGTCCCCAGTGATGGGAGGTTTAATGCCCTGTCCCCAGTGATGGGAGGTTTAATGCCCTGTCCCCAGTGAGGGGAGGTTTAATGTCCCTGTCCCCCGTGATGGAAGGTTTAATGCCCTGTACCAAATGATGGAAGGTTTAATGCCCTGTCCCCAGTGAGGGGAGGTTCAATGCCCTGTCCCCAGTGATGGGATGCCCTGTCCCCAGTGATGGGAGGTTTAATGCCCTGTCCCCAGTGATGGGAGGTTTAATGTCCCTGTCCCCAGTGATGGGAGGTTTAATGCCCTGTACCAAATGATGGAAGATTTAATGCCCTGTCCCCAGTGAGGGGAGGTTTAATGTCCCTGTCCCCAGTGATGGGAGGTTTAATGCCCTGTCCCTAGTGATGGGAGGTTTAATGCCCCTGTCCCTAGTGATGGGAGGTTTAATGCCCCTGTCCCGAGTGATGGAAGGTTTAATGTCCCTGTCCCCAGTGATGGGAGGTTTAATGCCCTGTACCAAATGATGGGAGGTTTAATGCCCTGTTCCCCAGTGAGAGGAGGTTCAATTCCCTGTCCCCAGTGATGGGAGGTTTAATGCCCTGTCCCCAGTGAGGGGAGGTTTAATGTCCCTGTCCCCAGTGATGGGAGGTTTAGTGCCCTGTACCAAATGATGGGAGGTTTAATGCCCTGTTCCCCAGTGAGAGGAGGTTCAATGCCCTGTCCCCAGTGATGGGAGGTCTTATGCCCCTGTCCCGAGTGATGGAAGGTTTAATGCCCTGTTCCCCAGTGAGAGGAGGTTTAATGCCCTGTTCCCCAGTGAGAGGAGGTTCAATGCCCTGTCCCTAGTGATGGGAGGATTAATGTCCCTGTCCCGAGTGATGGGAGGTTTAATGTCCCTGTCCCCAGTGATGGGAGGTTTAATGCCCTGTCCCCAGTGAGAGGAGGTTCAATGCCCTGTCCCCAGTGATGGGAGGTCTGATGCCCCTCCCCATGATGTGAGGTTTAATGCTTCTGTCACTGTTTTTAGCAATACTCCAGCCATATCACGGCCAGCCACATCTTTGGGACACCAAAGTGGCCATTGCAAATTGCCCTTATCTGGAGAATCAATACCAGGGCCTAGATTTTCGAAACTATCTTAGTTAAGATAAATCATAACAACTTACGTTCAAAGATAAGATATCTTAAGGCAAAGATAAGATAGATTTTCGAAACTACCGTAAACCTGTCGCGATTAAGAACATTTTTTACGTGAAATCCTTGATGCGTTCTTCGTGTTTTAGAAATTGAAAATTTGAATCACTCAATTTTACAAAATGAAATGTCAATGTTTGAACGTAAAGCAGACTAATAGTTTGGCAAAAATCAATGGAAATTGTATGCCGCCATCTTGGATGAAGATAAAATAAACTTACGACAGGTATGGGGCTATCTTAGATTTACGACAATCTTAAGATATCTTAGGGCTACGATAGTTTCGAAAATATGCTACGATATCCTGCGATTTCCTTACGATACATTTACGATAATTTTAGGGCTACGATCGTTTCGAAAATCTAGGCCCAGGTCTTTTGTATGGCAAGCCAACACCTTTACATCAGACCCTCTGCATCATGTGAAACCTAGATACACAGTCATTAAAACATAATGAACATAACAAATCAAATATGGTTTTTAAAAATTTTATTTGTACAAAAATATGATTTTCATAAGACAAAATGTAGACAAAAAAAGTCAAACATGAGTTTTATGGATCATTGTCAAGATGTAAATGTAGCCAAAACAACACATCAAAGATGAAAATACACTGACATCACAGACAAGGAATATTGCTTTCTGTCAATACAGATTATACAAGCATACTTAAGTAGATAAAATGTAAAATAATTTTGTTCTAATAGACCAAAACCTGCTGCACTGATGTGATCTTTTACTTATTTATTGATACATGTCCATAATACAAATCACCACCTTTGACACTAATATATAATTTACACTCACTCGGGACTACTCGGACATACTTCCCTCCTGCAATGTCTGATCACTATTCCTCATCCTGACACAGGTCTGGTGAGAGCTCATTTTACTAAACATGGTATTTATTTTGAGAGATTCATCAAAGAGCTTGCACTGAAATAAACTGAGATTTCAATCTGTGAAAAAGAAAAGCTGTGAATGCCACTGAAGGAAATAAGCCCCAACACTTTGTTTTCAATACCCAAAGACGTCAACTTTTACCTGAAGTTTTGAAAACACTTATTTGTCAATGAAAAGCTGTGAATGCCCTGAGAGAATTAAGCCAAAGTACTTTGTTTTCAATAGACACAGACGTGAACTTATAACTGAAGTTTTGAAAGCACTTATTTGTCAATGAAAAGCTGTGAATGCCCTAGGGAAATAAACTCAACTACTGTTTTCAATACCCAAAGATTTGATATTTTAACTGAAGTTTTGAAGACACTTATTTAGCAATGAACCAGACTTCATTGTGTCTGTCTAAGAACTTAAAGGGACTATCATAGCCACCAATGTAGTAGTAGTCGGTGATGTAGGAGTAGGTGGTATTCTTGAGGAAGCCACTGAGTTTCTCTGCCTCTTTCAACCATGGGGTGAAGCTCTCCATGTGGTAGCCCCCAAAAGACCTGGAAAAAACAACAACATTCCAATTGGCAAGTCATGGCTCATAAAAGTGCCACATATTTGGCCAGTTGGCTGTAGGATTCGTCCTCAGTGTCCCTTCCACCAAGCGATCTTAGAGCCAAGACAATCACAACTCCCATACCTTAACAGACCAAAGACAATCGTAGCACTGACATGAAACAAAGTGCAGCTACCAGTGCTTGTAGACCCATGAAGATGTGGGTTAGAACAGGTCTTCAACCCATGCTTGTTGTAAGATGCGACTAACTGGGTTGGGTGGTCAGACTCACTGACATGGCATTGTATCCCAATTGTGTGGATCGATGCTCATGATATCAATCACTGGACTGTCTGGTCCAGACTTGATAATTTACAGACCACCTTCATATAGCTGGAAGATTATAAACAAACCAGTAACGTTATATGAAGCAACTACATGGATCTAGTGTGGATATCACCGACGCCTGTACAAAATGGTCGAGTCTTACCCAGGCAAACCAATGGCTGACAGCATGATGAATATCCCATGCCGTCAGACCTATTCTTATCTGGAATTCTCAGTGTTTCATTTGTGTGGTTAGGCACACATTGTTTCAGAGTGAGTGATTTATTTTTGCTTTGGTTTGTTGTTAAATGCTGCACTCATAACAATAGCTAGTGGTCAAGTTCAGATACTCCAGTGATAGACATGGCATTGATCCTAGTAATTGGGGCACAGTGACATGCAGCCAACAAAGTAAGCAATCCTGACACCCAATCCACTTAGTCACCTCTTACAACAAGCATAGGTTGCTGGAGACCTGGATTTTTACCTGGAATCCCACTGGTGGTTTAGACTCATAGATAGAACTCAGTTCCTCAGACTTCAGAGTGTAAGTGAGTAATTTGTATATTTATATACTTATCACAATTCATTAGTCTATAACACTCTAGAAAGAGAATATGTTGTCGGGGATAACCATGTGATCAGCACAAGTAGGTCAACCAGCATGTAAGCGTGGGTGAACCAAATTTTGGGAGGTGACCAAGGTGATGTGAGGTATGTACAGGTGAATTAATTTTAGAAGCTGGGAACCTTTATTTCAGACATGTTTTCACTTAGGATCAAAAGAAGTGAGCGAGGGTGATCGAGTTGGGTTTAATGCCGCTTTTAACAGTATTCCAGTTATATCACGGCGTGTCAGCTTAATGTGGGAGGAAAGCCCCAAGTGATGCAGGTCTCAGGCGTTTACCACTTCGGTGAAACCCACGAGCACGGGTATGGTGCTGACAAACCTAGAAACATAATCAGGGCGAATGGGGATTCGAACCCACAATTATAGGTTTCTGGCTTGCCCAAGGGGACGCAACTCTGTACAGTGAATCGCGGCGTCTTAGACGACTGGGCCACCCGTGTCCCCGGATCGAGAGAAGAAAAAGAAAGAGAAATGCATAGTGTGAGAATAGAGTATGTCTAAAAACCATGCCATGTCAGCTTGATGTGGCAGGAAAGCCTCAAGTGATGCAAGATGTTTATGACTTGGGTGGAACCAATGAGCATGGGTATGGCACCGACAAATCTGGAAACAACTGCAGCAAACCCACGGGATTCAAACCCACGTTCAAAGGTTTCTGGCGTGCCCAAAAAGATGCACAATCTCATTAAAATTAGATCTTAGTTCTCGCTACCGCTGAACAAAAATCTGAGGACATCCCATTAGGGGTCACGTCAGAACGACCTTTGATCCGACCAATCAGAGCGTCGCTTACCAGATCATGAAAGTGACAGTTGGAATGTGATATCTCATCATGCAGCATCGAAAACTTTAAAACGGGGTATTCCAAACGATAGTTACGGGTTTAACGACTGAATCTATACAATCTAAACGTTATATTAGCCATTCGAGAATGTTCTTTTGTTCAGGTTTCAAATTTTTAAGCGAGAATTTGTCAAAATGTTTCGAAGTGTAGTCGCCAATTTGAAATTAGTGCCGTAAAGCACGAGAAAGCTGCTTTCTGATTGGCTAATGTCGACTTCTTGTCAGTAATTCCATTGGTCGGTCAGAGTTCGCGAAAGGTCGGTCTGACGTGACCCATAATAGGATGTCCTCAGATCTTTGTTTAAAAGCAGCAACAACTAAGATCCGATTTTAATGAGATTGAAAAGATGCAACTCTGCATAGTGAACTGCAGGAAGGTCAACCATATTGAAACTTAGTAACTTACCTCACATAAGCTCTGAGGGAAGGCAGCTTCTGCAGAAAGACTTTAGAATCGGTGGGCATGGGTGGGTTCTCCACTGCCACAAAGAAGGACATGGTGAAGTTGGACTCACAGGCTGGCCCTGCCCCCGGGATGATCTTTGTGATGACCGGGGCCGTCATGGCAATCTTCTTACCTGGAGAAGAATCAAGAAAATGTATATCACACACATATATACATGTGATGGTTTTTTAGGTCACATAATGCTCAGTTGGAGTTTGCTTGTTGTATGATGCAACACTCGGCCATATTCCAGCTATACGATGGTGGTCTGTAAATAATAACATGTCACCTGTGTCACCATGGGATAGTTACGTCACCTGTATCTACTGTGTGATTGTGACGTCACCTGTGTCTGCTGTGTGATTGTGACGTCACCTGTGTCAACTGTGAGATTGTTACATCACCTGTGTCTACCGTGTGATTGTTACCTCACCTGTGTCTACTGTGTGATTGTGACGTCACCTGTATCTCCTGTGTGATTGTAACATCACCTGTGTCAACCGTGAGATTGTTACCTCACCTGTGTCTACAGCGTGTTTGTTACCATGTCTACTGTGTGATTGTTACCATGTCTACCATGTGATTGTAACATCACCTAGGATATGAGGTCGTCACTCACCAGCAGCGTTCTTGCCAGAGATGTAGTTGAAGAGTCTCATGAAGTTGGTCCTGGATGCTTCCGCATAGTCTACACCAGCTGAGTTGGTGCTCACCCACTGGGATTGAGAGTATTCTCGAGTCTCGTATTCCTGGGCAAGATGTGGTATAAAAGTAAATAATGCAGCTATAACTTAACTGTACAGCCATTTCTTTAAAAGATGTTCTGCTGGCTTTTCAAAATAAACATTTGACATGAATTCGAAGATTCCAGAGGAATGGTACTCACATTTTTAACACTTTCAAGAACTTCAAATTTTGGACAGGAAAGGCCATTGCAGAACTTAGGTGGCCATTCAGACCTATCTCTGAAACATAACACTATATTGAACTGGACTGGACAAGAAGATAATGATGTTGACTACTTCTTGCCCCTACACCTGAAAACTAGCCGTCAAATATCAATACAAACAACATTGAAATTAGCCATGAATTTCTAGATACAGTCAGTAGATAAACGAAAGCACATTCATAAACAATGGATTACAGATTCATTATAGTCCTATGCTGAGAATGGGCTTTATATTTTTTATAATTATCTAAATGAAAACAGCAGAGGAGAAATGGTTCCATAAAAAGAAAACAAATATTTTAAAGAAATTTTTGCACAGACTAAGTGTTAGTCTAATTCATTAACAAAAACGGCAAATATAGCCATGAGTTCACTTGAATTCACCACAATGAACGTTTAATGTTTTCAGTAAAGTTAGTATAGGTCTTCAGCAAGAGGCAACTATGCTTGTTGTAAGAGGCGACTGATGGGATTTGGTGGTCAGGCTCGCTGACTTGGTTGAGGCATGTCATCGTATCCCATTGTGTAGATCGATGCTCATGATGTCAATCACTGGATTGTCTGGTCCAGACTTGATTATTTACAGATCGCTGTCATATAGCTTGGATATGGCTGAGTGCGACATTAAACAACAAACAAACAACAAACAAACAACTCACTTGGCCTTGATGTACTTCGGGACAAATCTGAGATATGGTGATGCACTCTGAGACAGAGTTGCCAAGAGACACACACTCAGTACTGCCAGTAGCTCCATTTGCCTAGGAAATCTGAAACAAATTGTTGAAGTAATAAATAAACAGGCTTTTACTGGGTGCAAAACATTGAGAATGGATGCACAAACAAAATACAGAACAAACCTGCACTGAGTGAGTGTGAGTGAGTTGGGTATAACGCTGCTTTTAACAGTATTCCAGTTATATTGCGGCGTGTCAGCTTAATGTGGGAGGAAAGCCCTAAATGATGCAGGTCTCAGACCTTTACCACTTCGGTGAAACCCACGAGCACGGGTATGGTGCTGACAAACCTAGAAACATAATGGGGGCGAACCAGGAATTCGAACCCACAATCATAGGTTTCTGGCGTGCCCAAGGGACGCAACTCTGCACAGCGAATTGTGGCGCCTTAGACGACTGGGCCACCCGTGCCCCCTAACCTGCACTGAGAGTACCTGAGTACATTTATACAAAACTACACTTTTCATAGGGATATTTATATCTTTCCATGGTACACAAACCTGCATGCAAAATGTTGAACGTATATTTAAATAGAATGAAATATCAACAGTTATGTAGTTTATATGTTTCAGTTAATCTTTGAAATGACTGAAATTTTCACTAATCACGTTTTCTGGGGCGCCGTGATATACATAGCAAGCCAAGTAACGTCACGCATCCCCAAATGGGCCCCACCTTCAATTGTCGATAGATTTACCCGTGCAACACTGCTTTGACGGTTTCGACAAATTTGTCATTCTGTTCGCATGTGAAATGTTTACATGCCTGTACATAAGGGTGTAAACAATCCATAAAATCATAAACTTACAATAACAGCGTTGTTTCTGTCCTTCCTTCGTTATACAACCACCTACGGCTCTCCGACTCCGGGGTATGTTTATATGTGCGTACGGGACGAGTTCACGTTTCACAGGACGGGTGACACACCTCCTAGAACTTCAATGTTTGGATGATTATTTGATCACACCTCTTGATCAGTGATGTATTCATTACATCTCCACAAAATGATTAACGATATATATAATTTGCACTATTCATCTTACTCTATGTTCTAATTTATAAAGTATTGATCACCTTGTCGCCCCTTCTACAGTAATAAACCCTTCCGGGGAGACCGATCACGTGGTTAAATAAATTCTTTTATGAAACTGCATGTCATGTGACGCTTTCATAAGTTAGGTAACTGATATTGTACGTGATTTCGACTAACACGAACAGGGAGTTGCAGATAGACTCCCTACTAAAAGATCTATCGAACCTGAAACATAAAACATTTAGTCCACCCAAAAGTCAACCCCTAAAATCACAAACACGTTATGTGAACCATCATTATTATCTTTTTTTAACAACCATGTCAACATGTTTTTTCTGTCATAAGTCTAGATTTTAACTATTGTTTTATATAGTCTAAACTGTATTATTAATATAAAATAAACTGTATTATTAATATATAAAAAACACTGTATTATTAATATATAAATTACCTTAGTCACGATATGGCTCAAGTACTGCCGATGTGACTATAACTTTTAACTCACTCACTCACTCAAGTCAACATGTTGTAGGCAATGTGCATACAAAATGTCATCAGATGAAGGCACCCCTAGAAACCCAACACTCCACCCCCAACCACCCACCCCACACACACTCTGGATCCGCCACTGGTAATTATTACATCTTCATAGAGAATGTACGGTTCGACAACCTTTACTCTTCCGATATTAGAAAATACTTACAGAGAATTAAGAATAAAGTTTAAATGTTTTACCTTGAAATCAGAGAGGAGAGCGCTGTGAGTTCCTTGTGTGTTTATCCATTGGTTAACATACTGGCACACTTAACATGCCGAACTTTCTCAGCTGGGAATTTATCGAAAAAGATAAATTGTCCCAGAATATCCTTGTCGCATTGATGTTTGAGTCTGTTAAAAAATAAAATTGTTTGGCGCAAAAAAATACACTGTTGCAAGATAATTAGACTCGTGGTTTGCTTTTTAAAATATCTGTTTTTGCAGGTGTCGCTAAAAAATCATATATTTTTTTATATTGATTTCTGATTTTATTGAGATTGAACGCGCCTGAAGCTTCACGCAACCCATATAGGGCCTCGTGGTGGCACGTTTGGCCTCACGTTTCTGTGTGCTATGCCTCGCTGCACAGGAAGACGGCTGAAGAATATATGCTTTTTTCATCACGTTCAGGTGGGTGACCGTCGAATACTGCACGTATACCAAGTGTCGTAGTTTACAAGGGTCTCTTGTGTTTATTTTGATATTGACCACTGAGCTGCCCGAGGTGATAATAACGAATTGCAGTTTACATAACAACATTAGTGCACGTGCACTGACCCGCGACTGCCTTGTTTGTTGTGGTACTACTACAGAACTGAAACTGTTTTATACAGCAAGAATCAGCTTTAAGTGATATTCTGTTCAAGAAATATATATTCCGTTAGCACTAGGCATATCGGATTTCGTGGGTATGAGTAAAATAATTAAATGTGCAACATTTGTTCAAGTTGTTATATTCATAGACCGTAGACAGACGGGCAGCTGTTGTCAGAATGTGTATGTATTCGTATAAATTATAATCATTAATCGTCGTTTTAACTTATGACAGACGATATGTCCTCTGCTTATGATATATTGGTGGTTATTCATCAGTGAAATATGATATATTGGAAATATTCATCAGCGGAGGTTCATACAGGCGAACAAATATATGTATATGCGTGACTAGTCGTGTATCGGAATGTTGGGATATGGTAAACTTCATGTATAAACATCTGTTGTATGCCTGTTTATTACATACCGAGAAGTCTTTGCGCTGCCATACTGTTTAACAAGTGACGGAAACTACTGGAATCTTGTTCATTGGAGTGAAATCAAATCGGATGCATACACGACAAGTTTAAAATTGTATAACGAATATTTCATCACTGTGAATACATTCGTGTCACGTGACCCATGTAGGTCAGTTTTATAAGCCATATAAATGTGTCGAGCTGGATCTCTGGCAACAGATCTGATTAGCCTTCGAGCTGGGAACATCATAGACAAATAGTTGATACCTGTTTGTATTATTTAGTGTGATAGCGTTATTACCAGATCTAACTGACTTCAGGTAAGTGTAGTTGACATGAAAACACAGAATTCATACATTTTATATTATGTATTATTGTATTATATAATATATGTATAATTTGTCACTTTATATTAATATTATATCAATTCTCTCAGAAGAGAAAAAAGGCTATGTTTCAGAATGGATTCCTGTGATTGATATTTCAATTTGTTTGTTATCATTTTAACGACAATTAATTTATCATTTTAACTATTGATGGATTGTGATTTTAGTCAGCCGGTTGACATTGCCGGTATGATCCCATGTCTATTTGATCAATCTCCTGCAAGGGCAGATCAAGGTGGAGGTCGACAACCCACCACACTTTTGGAAATCACATAGTTAATATGCTGGTATGACATGTCTGTGGATGAAATCACTCTCCACTCGCCAGGCAGATTATCGTATCAGTGGCAGAAGCACTATCCAGTAGCGGCCATGGCTCTGGAAGTAGCTGTTTTGCATTTATTATCCTTTGATTATACATTCATTGCAAAATGCTGTAGATTTGTCAATTAATTTCAGAAACATGAGTGGTATATTCACTGCATTTAAGTCGGCCTTCACATCAAAAGGGTTAAAAACTCCAAAGTACAGTGTTAACGAGGCAGCCAAACATGAGGTGAGACCTATGTGATGTATGATATATGCACCACATGATATATAATATTTATATACACCACCAAGCAACAATGCATGCAGTAATCATGCTTTCTAGGAGGCAGTCGGGTAGCCGAGTGGTTAAAGCGTTCGCTCAGCACGCCGAAGACCCAGGTTTGATTCCCAACATGGGTACAATGTGTGAAGCCCAATTCTGGTATCCAACGCAGTAATATCGCTGGAATATTGCTAAAAGCGGCATAAAACCATACTCACTCACTCATCCTTTCTGGAATTGTCATTTATCTATGAAATTACAGAAATAGTTATTTTTGTTATTACTTGTCACAGAAGATTTATTTGGAATACATCTGGATGTTAAGAACAAATAAAAAAAAAAAGAATTGCTTACTCCGAGTTTTTGTGTGATGATTCAGACAGTCTCTCTGTGATGTCAATTGTGTATGGTGACAGGTTATTAATCATAATGAGTCATCATGCAGTTGCTGGTGTCATGATATATTCATCTTGCAATATATCTGCATACAAGTTATTGTGACCGACAAACTGTAATGGCCCACATCTAGATGTACATTATGGCACTTATGTGGCATTATAGCTAAAATGGATAGAATTATCATTAAACTGCCCGCATGTTATCAGAAATCAGCAGGCCACTGTAACTTAATAATGCCATTGTATTGCTTGACAACGGGCTATTATCACCGATATTGTTGTTTCTTTTTATTTGATAACAAATTCCATCCTTTTAGGCTATAATAAGTGTAATGCTATTTTTCAGGGCGTTATCATTTGCAGAAGCCCTCGGTCTTTTCAACTGCCCTCCTTCGTCAGGCCGTTAATGGAAGACCTCAGGCTTCTGCAAATGATAATGCCCTGAAAAATAGCGTTACCCTTATAATATTACCAGAATATCTTCTTTTTAATGTAAAACATGATAGCATTCCGAGACCTGTAAATGACTGTCTGGACCAGACAATCCAGTGATTGATATTGTGAACATCCAGGTGGGGTATGATGGCTTGCCAGGGCCCCCCCCCCACCCGATACATGTAAGCTCTTATAACCAGCATAGGGTGCTAGGGACCTTTTCTAACCCGGGAATCCCCATTATGTTGGGGAAGTACTTTATAATGGATTACCCCCCTTTACCACTAACCAAGTTTCAAATTGTTTTAATGAATAAAATTTTGGCATAAATAAAACACATTTTGCACCAAGGAAACAAGACTTTACAGTTTTGTGTTTTATTCAGCTTTTTTAAATGTTTTGTCAGTGGATGAACCCTAAATGAAAGCTAGTTATATAAAAAAGTAAATGCATTTTACTGTAAAAACTCCTGGAACAAGTACTTCATAAATGATGTTTTGTTTGTTTGTTGTTAAACGAGGCACTCAGCAATACTCCAACTATATGCCAGCGGTCTGTAAACAATAGAGTCTGGACCAGACAATCTAGTGATTGACATCATAAGCATCGATCCATGCAATTTTGATATGATGACATGCATCAACCAACTCAGCTAGCCTGACCAGCTGATCCCGTTAGTCGCCTCTTAAATGATTTCGAAGTACTTTATCTTGTACATGTATATACAATTTATGGATAACAATTTTTTTATCCATAAATTGTGTCTACTTTGTCATCCGTCTATTTCTGAGAAATGCCTATCAAACATTGCTTGATTTAAAAAAAAATCATTCTCAGCGTTTAAAATAAGTGAAATAAATCTACTCTTGTGTGTGGTGTTTAGGGGTTCGAGGAGCGTCACTACGAGGCCTGCAAGTGGGTGAGCACCAAGGTCATGGCCATGACATACAAAGATGGCGTAAGTGCAGGTTTCTGGAGACTCTTCAAGTACATCAGCGGAGAGAATGAAGCAAGTAAGTGAACATGATGAATATGGTTATTCAAAGTGTCAGGGCGGTAATGATATACAGGACTGTGAATTGATACATATCTCTATAGTAAGGGGGGCGGTCGGGTAGCCTAGTGGTTAAAGCTTTCGCTCGTCACGCTGAAGACCCGGGTTCGATTCCCGACATGGGTACAATGTGTGAAGCCCATTTCTGGTGTCCCCCGCTGTGATATTGCTGGAATATTGCTAAAAGCGGCGTAAAACCATACTCACTCACTCTATAGTAAGGTCACAGTACTTTCCTTCATCAAAAAGAATGAAAAGAAACCAAGATCATATACCTATCAATCATAGGAGGCATTTTGCATGTGCGATAGAGCCAACATTGGGACGGCCACATCACAGAGGGTGTAATAATCAGACACGTATTACATCCCCTGCCGTGCTGATATAGATGGTCAATACATTTTATATGGATGCTTGTTATCAGCTCGAGTGTGGGGTGGTCGGATAGCCTAGTGGTTAAAGCGTTTATTTGTCATGCTGAAGACCTGGGTTGGATTCCCGACATGGGTACATTGTGTGAAGCCCATTTCTGGTGTCTCCTGCCGCGATATAGCTGGAATATTGCTAAACGCAGCGTAAAACCTCACTCACTCACTCACTCACTCACAGACACACACACAGAGACACACACACAGAAACAGACACACACACACGGAGACAGACACACACACACGGAGACAGACAGACAGACACACACACACACACACACACACACACACACACACACACACACACACACAGACACACACACACAAAAGAGCTACATACCAGTACGCCATATTTTTTACACAATCAGTCACGCATGCATGTACCCATACACAGACACATAGACATGCACAAAGGCATACTCACAAACATGCATACGATTACAATCATAATCACATACACAATATGCATATGTGTATCCTTCCACGACATACATTCCCATCACATCCCTCCCTCTCTCCCTACACTCATCCTATATTTTCAATCAACAGAATTGTGATAGTGAAACATATTTAAGCAGGCTTGTAATTTATTTGTTGACATTTTGCCAATTTTATCAAAACTGTTTACATTATTTTGCACATGACTAGTGTACACATACAAACAAATATGTCACATAACGCAAACATGGTGATTTGTAAAATCAGCACAATTCCATCCTGTCTAAACAAGACAATTAGTTCAAGTCACATAGTTTCCTATTTAATGACATTTGTCTGTTTTATTTCCAGAACAGAAGGTGGAGATGACGGCGCCAGTGGCCACCCAGGTAGTGCCGGGGGCGGGTCCCAACTGTGAGAGCACCTTCACCGTCTCCTTCTACATCCCCCTTGAACACCAGGCTGACCCCCCAAAACCCACAAACCCAGATGTCTTCATCAGCGACTGGCCGGAGATTAACCTGGCGGTCAAGTAAGTGTGTTTCACAGTTGTGTCCCCTCTGTTCTGTACAGGGGCAATGGGCAGTGGGCAGTCTGGTGGTTAAAGTGTTCGCTTGTCATGCCGACATTGGGTACAATGTGTGAGGCCATTTCTTGTGTCCCGCACCATAGTATTGCTGGAATATTGCTAAAAAGTGTAAAACAATACTCACTCAATCAATATGTACTCATTCTGCAACACTATTCAACTACTGGCCAACAATAAGTGAGAAGATATATAGTCACATTGAGATATTTCAGCCATGTCGTGACTAAATCAAGTTATACAGTAATAATACAACATCTAGATTATAAAACCTGTCAACAAAGGACAGTAAAACAACTAGATTATCACAGATATATTTTTTTAAACTAGTATGGAAATATGAAAAGATGTGCTGATACATAACAATACATTATAAAAACAAGCTAGAAATCACCAGCAATCAAAGTTAGGCCACCATACTAGGGTTGGTAGGTTGGTTGGTATGTTGTTTTACGCCGCACTCAGCAATATTCCAGCTATATGACGGCGGTCTGTAAATAATCGAGTCTGGACCAGACAATCTTGTGATTAATATCATGAGCATCGATCCAGGCAATTGGGATTGATGACATGCATCAACCAAGTCAGCGAGCCTGACCACCCGATCCCGTTAGTCGCCTTTTACGACAAGCATAGTCATCTTTTACAGCAAGCATGGGTTGTTGAAGACCTATTCTACCCCGGAATCTTCACGGGTCCCACCATACTAGGGACCGAGGGAACTTGAGCTACCTGCATGGTTCCTAGCCAGCAGTGAAGCAGCCAAAGCCATTTTGTTTGAACCTTGTCTATAAGGCTGCCTGACAAAATGAAAGTTTGTCTGGCTCATTTTGCTAAAAAGTGAAGAGAGAGATGGGACTTTAAAAAAATAAATAGTGAAAAAGAAAGAGATGAGCGAGTGAGTGAGTGAGTATGATTTTATGCCGCTTTTAGCAGTATTCCAGCAATATAATGGCCGGGGACTCCAGAAATGGGTTTCACACATTGTACCCATCTTTGGAATCCAACCCAGGTCTTCGGCAGGACGAGCGAACGCTTTAACCACTAGGCTTCCTGACCGCCCCAGAAAGAGATAACGGAGGAAAACATTAAATATACAGTAAACTACGTTTATAACGAACATGCTTATAACAAACTGACAGATATAACGAACATATTTTTTGGTCCTGGCAATTTGCTGTGTATATGCTGTATATATGCATATAACGAACTGCGGTTATAACGAACTAAAAATAGTGGTCCCTTTGAGTTCGTTATAACCGTAGTTTACTGTATTGTTTCCCAACCAAGAATACCAACAAACACACATTACACTGGGCACAGTTGTCAAGCATGGGTGATAATGTCTGCTTCATATGACGTGGGAAATTTGAAATATATTTTCATTTGCAATAAAACAGACTGATGCACACGATTTAAAGTGATACATTTTCTTTTGTTTCAGCCTCATCCAATGTTTGTGATGTGTTCTTGTTACAACAATTTTTTTATTCCCCATAAATTAATTTACATGATTTCATTTAATTGAAAAATAAACTATAAATGATTTCAGGATGACTTGCTTGGTTGTAAGCTGAATACAATCAATCCTAAAATTGAAGATGCAATAATAAAAAGAAATTACTGAATAGGAACAACCAAATGTTTAAACCTCTTTCAAACACAGTTGAGGCAGGATTAATAATGTTATGTTTTCAAGGTGTTTTTTGTTGGATCTTGGATTCAGATTTCTTGCATTAGTAAATCTTGTATGTCGTTGAAATAGTTTTCACTGTCACATTATTCGTGTGAGGAATACGCTATACAATAAGTGTATTCCTTGACGGAGAAATCATGAGAGTCTGTTGAGTCCTTAAGTAGAATCAAGTCTCAAGTCTCGAAGAATTTCTCAGATCATGTTATGGTTGATATATGATGTCTATCATTTTGCATAGTGATCTTTATTTGAGTTAAAATGCACGTTCAGAATGGCCAGTGAATTCCTGGCTCAGAATCAACAGCGAGAACAATAGCATGACATCAGTATAATTGTTTAAACATAGTGATACAGGATGTGCTTTTTGGACTTTAGCTTTAATTTCTCTAATAGCTAACTTATAGTTCCCAAAATAAAGCTCTGTATAAGGTTGAATAAAATAGTTCAATTAAGGAACCTTTGATGACTAAGAAAGCTCTTAATTTCAGATTAGAATAGAATGGGGTGATTGTTTTATTGAATATGTTCTCTGGGGTGTGTTTTATTGAATATGTTCTCTGGGGTGTGTTTATTGAATATGTTCTCTGGGGTATGTTTTATTGAATATGTGCCTGGGGGTGGGTTATAAAAACTTATATTGAATATGTTCTCTGGGGTATGTTTTATTGAATATGTGCCCGGGGGAGGGTCTCATTGAATATGTTCTCTGGTGTGTGTTTTATTGAATATGTGCCTGGGGGTGGGTTATAAAAACTTATATTGAATATGTTCTCTGGGGTATGTTTTATTGAATATGTGCCCGGGGGAGGGTCTCATTGAATATGTTCTCTGGGGTATGTTTTATTGAATATGTGCCTGGGGGTGGGTTACAAAAACTTATATTGAATATGTTCTCTGGGGTATGTTTTATTGAATATGTGCCCGGGGGAGGGTCTCATTGAATATGTTCTCTGGGGTATGTTTTATTGAATATGTGCTCTGGTGTGTGTTTTAATGAGTATGTGCTCTGGTGTGTGTTTTATTGAATATGTGCCCTGGGGTGGGTTTATTGAATGTGTGCCCCGGGGTATGTTTTATTGAATATGTGCTCTGGGGTGTGTTTTTATTGAATATATGCTCCAGGGTGTGTTTTATTGAATATGTGCTCTGGTGTGTGCTTTACTGAATATGTGCCCTGGTGTGTGTTTTATTGAATATGTGCTCTGGGGTGTGTTTTATTGAATATATGCCCCAGGGTGTGTTTTATTGAATATGTGCTCTGGGGTGTGTTTTATAGAATATGTGCTCTTGTGTGTGTTTTATTGAATATGTGCTCTGGTGTGTGTTTTATTGGATATGTGCCCTGGGGTGTGTTTTATTGAATATATGCCCCAGGGTGTGTTTTATTGAATATGTGCTCTGGGGTGTGTTTTATTGAATATATGCCCCAGGGTGTGTGTTTTATTGGATATGTGCCCTTGGGTGTGTTTTATAGAATATGTGCTCTGGGGTGTGTTTTATTGAATATATGCCCCAGGGTGTGTGTTTTATTGGATATGTGCCCTGGGGTGTGTTTTATTGAATATGTGCTCTGGGGTGTGTTTTATTGAATATGTGCCCTGTGGTGTGTTTTATTGAATATGTGCCCTGGGGTGTGTTTTATTGAATATGTGACCTGTGGTGTGTTTTATTGAATATGTGACCTGTGGTGTGTTTTATTGAATATGTGCCCATGGGTTTGTAATATAGATCATTACATATGGTGTCATTATTTTCAGATCTTTCAGTGGTTTTGCTAAAGAGAGTGACTGGATAAGCAAAGGGAGAGAACTGGCTGAAGACGTTGAGAAGACCGATTTGAAGAACAAGTTTGTGAAAGAATATTACTTCACAGCTGGTTACGATAGCCCATTCAAACTGTTTGGACGCCATAATGAGGTGTGGTTCAAGCTGGATGACTGAACATCGGCCTGATGGAGGCGAACTGTCCTCATACTGCCACTACTATTAGCATTAGTTAGAGTGGGGGGACTCTAACAGCATGAGAGGGAGAGATTGAGGTGTGTAAAGCATTCAGGTGGGAGGGAGGGAGACATATTGGTGTGTGTGTGTGTGTGTGTGTGTGTGTGTGTGTGTGTGTGTGTGTGTGTGTGAGAAACATATATGAGTGAGAGTGCTTGAGGCATGAAAGAAACATTTATTTGGATATGCTAGCGAGTAGAGTCATTGAGTGAGTGAGTGAGTGAGTGTGTGAGTTCAACTTTTGTGGCATACTAAATCCATATAGTGTCCAAGAGAGACATTGAGAAGTGAGAGAGACGTCTCTTTAGTGAGATATTCATGACACTGCCTCAGCTCCATGGTCTATCTATATCATGTGGTCGAAGACACCTGGCACATCATGTCAAACCTACCATACCATGTTCCCTTGGTAACTTGGGAAGTGTGCAACCATCTTTTTATGAAATACTGGCTCCACCGCTGCTGATAATCAAAGAGGAAGTTGTACCTTTCACCTGCTGATAACGTTAGTCTGTTTAGCGTCCCCAGAAGAACTGACTGTCTCAGAATGAGGACTTTGTACAAAGATATGCCTACACCAGTGTGTGAAATAAAAAAAGTACCAGACTGCCATCAGGACCCACAGACTTGAGAAGCTGTTCAGGCCCTCATTTAAAAAAACTGCAGCTTATTGCGACAAATACATAATCAACACATAATTTTGTCTGCAGGCCATAAGGACCCATACAAACTATGGGCTCGACATGAGATCTACCTGCTATGGGAATACAGGCAGGGGCATATATCACTGCCTCACACCTCTGGCTGTAGTAGGGTTGAACAGACTCGTGAAATGTTCCAATATGGTAACCCTCAGAGATAATACCAAAGAGAAACTAGGCCTCATCTGTTGATACTGCTGAGCATATGTATGTTATATATACTACTCAAAAGAAGTATAAGAACACCCAATTTTTTTATATGACTATAGTTAATCTGTCATGGCTGGTTGGTCTTGCAACACACAGCCTTCCAATTGTGGGTGTTCCTTAACTTGTTTTGAGTAGTATATTTGTATATACTGAAGCGCTCAGTTCCAAATTTAAAATAAGAGATTGCTGGTATCGACGCTGCAGCGAGACTTCCTCAAGTTTAGAAATACAATAAGTTTATCTCCTTATTATCAAATGTTTCTGCTATTCCTGATGGAATGTGTGTTTATTAGCATTATCTGATACTTGTGTAGATCTGTATTATCTATTGGTTGTGTTATACTCATAAAGATGGAGGACACCTCATTCCACGTGCAAGTTTGCTTACTTTAAGATGCAGTTGTATTTATTTTTTGTGTAACTGGTTTTCTTGTGGGTTCTCCTTTTTTGAGAAAATGGATGAAAAGTGAAGGATGATAAAATGATGAGTGAGTGAGTGAGTGAGTGAGAGAGTTGGAGTTTAACCCTATCAGGCTGGGGGACACCAAGAATGGGCTTCACACATTGCATGTGTTGAATCGAACCTGGGCATTAAGCGTGACAAGCAAACACTGTAACTAGTAGGCCACTATGGCCTATGTTGTAAGAATGACATGTACATGACAGTATGCTGTTGAAAGTGTTTCTTTGAATATGTGATGTGAGACTAGGCACTGTTATAATCAAAGACCATGTGAAAGTATTCCTTCTATCAGTATTTTTTTGTTTTTCTGCACATTGACCTAAAACAATTGAGAAGTGGAAATGTTGAAATGATATACTAATATCAGATTTAATAAAATATATTTGTTCAGTATGTGCTTTTGTTTGAAATCTCAGAAAACTCCTTTGTGCTATTATTTTTATTGAAATATTTTGTATACTTTGATACCTAGATAAACAAAAACACCATGAACAGAAACTCATTTGTTTGTTATCATGTTTTCTATTGGGTGTTAAGGATTACATAAGACAGTTCTTGATCAGGACAAATATTAGTCCTCAGTGTCTCTGGTTCTGTAGGAAATTTCATGAAAATCTATTTTGCCTAACTGTGTTATAACCAGATTTAATTACCTCACTTTGAACAGTATTCCAGTTATATCACTGTGTGACAGCTTAACGTGGGAAGAAAGCCTCAGACGTTTACCACGTGTTAGAACCCATGAGCTCAGGGTATGGTGCTGACAAACCTAGAAACATAACTGGGCAAACCGGGACTTGAACCCACAATCATGGGTTCCTGGTGTGCCCAAGGGATGCAACTCTGCAAGGGAATTGTTGTGCCTTAGAGGACTGGGCCACCCATGCCCCCACTTGTAACATTTTAAGGACAAGGCTTATACTAAATATTGCAGGTCTCACATTGGAGCATGAAACAGAATAGGTCCTTGATTCAAACATACTACTCCACATTTCACAGGGATACATTTTCTTTGGATGATAGGGGGCACGGGTGGCCCAGTCGTCTAGGGCACCGCGATTCGCTGTGCAGAGTTGTGTCCCTTGGAAACGCCAGAAACCTATGATAGTGGGTTCGAATCCCGGTTCGTCCCGATTATGTTTCTAGGTTTGTCAGCACCATACCCATGCTCGTGGGTTTCAAAGAAGTGGTAAACGACTGAGACCTGCATCACTTGGGGCTTTCCTCCCACATGAAGCTAACACGACGCTTTATAACTGGAATACTGTTAAAAGCAGCGTTAAACCCAACCCACTCACACACTCACTTTCGATGATACTCAAAACTGATTTCCAAAATGTTGCTGCCTCTGCTGTCTAGTCAGTGAGGACCAAGGTGGCGGGTGTGTGAAACATCTGTTTATTTATAACATATGGTGATGGGATAACTATCGCAATCCACTTCTGTGGGTGACACTAGTCTTTGGCCTTTGCGGCTGCCAATGCATCTAGTATGCATGCAGTAAACCTGAGAACTGATCTGTACTCTGGCGTTGTACAGTGACTGTGACAAATAGAGACAGGTGTTAAGATGGCTGATGACAGATATTCAAGGTGAAGATCCAGGTTAGAATAGGTCTTCGGCATCCCAAGCTTGCCATAGGAGGTGACTAATGGGATCAGGTGGTCAGGGTCTCTGACTTGGTTGATGCATGTCATCGTATCCGAATGTGTGGATCAATGCTCATGATATCAATCACTGGATTTACAGACCGCTGTCATATTTTGGAATATGGCTGAGTGCTGTGCTCCACACACACACCCTTCTTTTCTCATTAGTAAAGGGCATATGAGCTACTGGGATACTATAGCCTGTGTACCCACTAAATACTCCAGGGAACATGGCCCTTTAAGATCTGGTTGAATATCACCAGGTAAACATTTGTAAACGTATTGTGAGAATTCCACAGACAGCTGGAGAGGACCTCCTTGAGGGAAACCGAATCCCACGATGCTTACCTGGTTGATAGGGCTCATATCTTGTGCACTGTGGTTTACCCCATACTAGCGTGGACACTTGTACATGTCTGTAGCAGTCCAATGGGCTTGTCCTAAGAGGCGATTAACGGGACCGGGGGGGGTCAGGCTCGCTGACTTGATGCAGATGCAGGTCATCGATCCCAGTTGCATGGTTCGATGCTCGTGATATCAATCCCTGGATTGTCTGGTCCAGTCTCGATTATATACAGACCGCCATCATATGGCTGGAATATTGCTGAGTGCGGCGTTAAAAATCAACCAACCAATCAATATGGTGTTCTTCAGCCATCTTGCAATTGATACCTTGGCAACGTCTTTATCAGATGATGTCTTGCTGGAGATGAACAGTCGTTTCCCGTGTCTCCGATGTGAACGACCTACTGTTAGATAATGCTTCGGTGCTCTAACTGGACACAGGTGTCTTTCAGGATGACCCACAATTTTGTTAAATGCAGGAATGAAGTATTGTCTAGGTGCAAATGGTCCTTCGCCGAAGACTGATTCTTTGCGATAAACGGGAGCACGGGTGGCCCAGTCGTCTAAGGCGCTGCGATTCGCTGTGCAGAGTTGCGTCTCTTGGGCACGCCAGAAACCTATGATTGTGGGTTCGAATCCCGGTTCGCCCCGATTATGTTTCTAGGTTTGTCAGCATCATACCCGTGCTCGTGGGTTTCACCGAAGTGGTAAACGTCTGAGACCTGCATCACTTCGGGCTTTCCTCCCACATTAAGCTGACACGCCGTGATATAAATGGAATAGAGTTAAAAGCGGCGTTAAACCAAACTCACTCACTCACTCACTTTGCGATAAACTGATGTAGTGACCTAAGAGTTGTGCTCCAATCCTTCGCGTGAGTGGGTGGAGGAGAAGTAGATGGCGTGTAATTCTGACACACTAGCCGCAGTAGTCTTATAACAAATGGAAAGACAGTATTAGCGTTGCTTTCGTCAGAGGTTCCTACGGTGCTTCCATTAAAGCTGACAGTGCGATATATGAGTTCCACTTCGTGAATTTACAAGGGGTTTGACGTCGTCCAGGTCCAGTAGAAATTACTTTGTCAGTCAGTTGAGTACTGGATGAGAAAGCTGATCTGTACCCTTCAAACTTGTAGGTGAACATTGTGGGGGCTGCCGTAAAATATTCCAATGTTGGCTGACGTAGCAGATCGTGGCGCTCTAGTTGTTTGAGTGTTTCTTCTGTGAGTAGAGGTAGCAATATTGGAAACGACCTCCTGTTTGGCCAAGCCTAAGCTAGGGGTATTATGGAGCAGTCCGAATCCTCCACTTTTCTCAGGACTTTGTCTTGTAGTGTTAGTATAGTTTAACGTCGCTTTTAGCAATATTCCATCAATATCGTGGCCGGGGACACCAGAAATGGGCTCCACACATTGTACCCATGTGGGGAATCGAACCCGGGTCTTCGGCGTGACGAGCGACCGCTTTAACCACTAGACTATCCTAACGCCCCGGTCGCGTAGAAGCTGGGTGGTGGTGGAGGTAGTGGTGGTTCGAATCCCGGTTCACCCCGATTGTTTCTAGGTTTTTCAGCACCATACCCGTGCTCGTGGGTTTCACCGTAGAGACCTGCATCACATTAAGCTTACACGCCTTGATATAACTGGAATACTGTTAGAAGCGGCGTTAAACCCAACTCACTCACTCACGATGGCTAGGGCGTCCACTTGTAGAGCTTGTGGGTCTGGTCCTGGCCTAACATAGGCGGGAGAATCCCTCTCATCACTTCAACTCGAGCAGCCTTGGCTGAAGTGGTTGTACTAAAGTCTGTAGATCTAGGTCTCTCGTAGTATTCACCCAGGTTTGAATAGGGCGGAGCTAAAGTCTTCCTCAGTTGGGTGAGATCTTGTAGTGTTCCCAGACACCATACTCTATAAAGGATGTGAGAGTTGACATTATCTATGTGTGTACTCATGCACATATACACAGTGAGTGAGTGAGTGAGTATGTTTTTACGCCGCTTTTAGCAATATTCCAGCAATATCACGGCGGGGGACACCAGAAATTGGCTTCACACATTGTACCCATGTCGGGAATCGAACCCGGGTCTTCGACGTGAAGAGTGAACGCTTTAACCACTAGGCTACCCGACCGCCCCTACATATACACAGACACAGTGCACTTGTTTGCTATGCCTATTGTGTAGCGTACCTGGACTGAAACTCGAGGTGGCCAAAACGAATGTTTTCCAATAAACATGCCTGTTACCGACTCTAAAACATACATTGTTTCGTCAGGGAGATTATGCCCTTGTCATATTATTTAGCACTATATGACTAGACAGTAACTAGCTATGACCCTGACAATAAAACAACGCTTAGTAATCAATGGGTGTTTGTTGGCTGTTAGGGAAAGGTTTATGCCTATTAACTGTGCTTAATATGTGTTCGAAGCTTTTGCTATAAGAAATCTCTCCCTGTATTATGTTTTCAATGATCTTTGTACGTGAGCGGTTCTCCTCACGGAGCTAGATGAGCTCTGCCTCGACAAGCTGCCACACGCCAAATGTAAGATGTCAGCCTATTGCAGTTATAATGCTTCACTTATATAGTCAAGGTTAATGTACATGTAAAAGCCATCTTCCCGAGGAAAGAGACTTAACTGACTATAAAAGGCCAGTTTCAACCCTTGCCGAACTAGGCTGGTATTATGGAGTTATACTTTGGCTGGACTAACGGGTCTGTGAAATAGTCAAATGACAATCGCGCAAAGAAATCGAATTCCGGTTCGTAAACAGTCATGCAGATTTCGGTCGATTGCAGGATTTGCAAAGCATGTGCACAGCCAACTTGTTGTCAACAGATGTTTGCCTGGGGTGCCTGAGTTCCCTGGGGTGCCTAGGGTGCCTAGGGTGCCTGAGTTCTCTTGAGTCCCACGGGGTGCCTGGAGTCCTGAGCTGCCTGCTGGGTAACCTAGAGACTGCAAGAAAGCAAACATACTTGCTGATAGTTACGCTGAGAATACCAATGAGAGAGCGATTGCTTGCAGTTGGTCATTCTTGAATCTTTGTAGATGGTCCCATGTTTCAACGTCCATAAACCACACGCTGTTGCTGCAAATATTGAGTCAATGTTGTTAGACTAGCCCTACTTTTCATTCCATTCCTGACTGGCGTGCATGTCATATTATTCAGCTTTATTATGATGTGTTACGGAATTCAATAAACAGCACAATTTATGAAATACCCTCTACTATAGATTGATACAAACCTCTTTATTTCATTTGACAAGAATCCCTTCAAGAAAGCACTTTAACACATGCACTGTGGTACGATGGGGTAGTCTAGTGGAATATAGCATTCACTCGGCAAGCCGAAGACACGATTCGATTCCCTACATTGGTGGACCGCCTCCGTGGTATAGTGGTAGAGCGTCTGTCCGGAGAGCGGAATGTCGTGGATTCGATCCCCGGCCGCGTCATATCAAAAGACGTAAGGATATGATACTTGTTACCCTGTCTGGAACCTGGCGTTAAAGGGGATACAAAGACTGGTCGGCTCGTAGTCAGTATACGGTGTCTGAGTTGGGTATTCATGTTAAAGTGAGGGATGGTATCTCAGTGGGCTTGCACTATAAAATTGACATTAGTCTGGACTCGTACAAGCAACCACGCATGCATGCACGTCGCTATACAAGTGCAATAATCTTGGACGCGACGTTGAACCCTGTTTCACCTCACCTCCTCTTTATGTGTTTTTTTTTTCATACACTAACTTGTGAAAATATCGTTTTGTGAGTATAAAGCCTGAGTTTGTGAGGTTTATTGAGAGATAAACCCAATCTCATTAAGATCATATCTTAGTTCTCGCTACCGTTAAACAAAGATCTGAGGACATCCCATTACGGGTCACGTCAGACCGACCTTGCACGAACTTTGACCGACAAATAGAATGACTGACAAGAAGTCAACATAAGCCACTCAAAGGGCAGCTTTCTCGTGTTTTACAGGACTAATTTCAAATTGGCGTCAACAAATTCTTGATTAAAAATTTGAAACCTGAACAAACGAACATTTTAGAATGGCTAATAGATGGTCTAGATTGTATGGATTCATTTGTAAAACCGTAACTATCGTTCGGAATACCCTGTGTTTTCGAGGTTGCATGATTAGAAATCACATTCCGACTGTCACTGGTAAGCGACGCTCTGATTGGTCGGACGAAAGGTCGTTCTGACGTGACCCCTAATGGGATGTCCTCATATCTTTGTTTAGCGGTCGAGAACAAAGTCTGATTCTAATGAGATTGGAGATATATCCCATGAATGTTGCCCGGAACTGTTTACAATCAAATGTTACAGACATAGGTTTTACATGTAAATTTGCGTTGTGTACAGAGAATAACTTAAATTTGTCGTTTTGCGTTTTTAATCCAACTTCTCGAGCGGATCTGTGTTTAGTAAATTTTGACGTGAGTCTCCCACAGTCAGTAATCGGAACAGTCAATCCATAGAATGATGTACAGCTACCGTCGCTACCATCACCACCACTACCACTGCCACTACTACTACTACTACTACTACTACTACTACTACTTCTACTACTACATCTGTAGTCTTCAGCAACCCTTGCAAGCTGTTAGAGGCAACTAACAGGATCGGGTGGTCAAGCTCGCTGACTTGGTTGATGCATATCATCGTATCCAAATTTCGTAAATCAATGCTCATGATGTCAATCACTGGATTGTCTGGTCCAGATTTGATTATTTACAGACAGCCGTCATAGGGCTGTAATATCGCTGAGTGCGGCATTAAACAACAAACAAACAGACACATTCGATGAGATACTGAAACACAGTTATCTTAATAATATGAAGTAGTTTAGTGATCACATATATTAGTGTTGTCTTAAAGTAGACATTTGACAACGAAAATGGATATTTTGTCTTAAAAAGTTACCGTTTTAAATTGTTTTCCTATGTAATATTAAATTTACAAAGAGTGACATTTTGTGGTTTCGGCGTACCGCTTCAGCTTTCGTTTGCAAAATGTGTTCTTTCCTAGATCCAACAGCATCAGTTTATTTGAGACTGAACACGCCTAAAGCTTCACGCAACCCATAAAGGGCCTCTTATTGGCCGGCACGTTTTGCCTCACGTGTCCGGGCTAACTGCACAAGAAGACGGATGCATGATATTTGCTTCTTACATGAAGTTTAGGTGGATGACCGTCAAATACTGCACGAATACCAAGAATTGTAGTTTACAAGGATCTCTTGTGTTTGTTTTGATATCGACTGCTGAGCTGACGAGGTCAGAATAAAAGTTGGCAGTTTACATAACTCGCGAGATTTGTGACAGTCAGTTACACGTCTGTTATGTACCGTTTGAGAACTACAACTGCTTTAAACACCAAGAATCAACTGTAAGTAATTATGTAGATCTGTTCCGTTAGTACTAAGTTCATTGGGTTTCGTGGGTCCGAGTTCAATAATTTAATTTATGTGCGACGTAGGTGCCAGTTATTATATTTATTGGCCGTAGTATGACGGTCAGCCGTTGGGTGTCATACAAATTCAATAATTGTCGTTTTATCCCTGTTAGATATGATAAATTGGTGCTTATTCATTTGTGAAATATAAAAATTGGATATATTTTATCTGCGGAGATTTAAACACTACAGGTATGACAAAGGGACAAGCATGCGTGACCCGGGCATATGGAGACTAGATTTCCGTGTATCGGAATGTTGGGATATGGCAATATGCATGTATGGACATCTGTGGTCTACGTATTTATATACCTGTCCATGATACGAGGGAACATAGAGACGGTCATATCACTTGCCAATGCATTTTGAATGGGCGATCGATATCAGCCCGCCTGTTAAGAAATTGGAGTTACGTCCCTTAGTTCGTCGTCTGCTCGGCTGGCTTTCTAGTGACAATGTCTTCCAAACGGGGTGAAAATGTATTGCGTTTACTTGTAAATAGATACAATTTACAATTTGATGTTATGGTATGTGATGAAAAGGTTATCATAAGGCAGTTTTCATAATTATCACATGTAGGACCAGTGGTATATCAGCCCTCGACCCTCGTATAACCCCTCGGTTGAGAGGGGATCTCGGGTTGATATGGAGTATGATATGAAAACTGACATAAGATTTATGATAAGCTCTAAATATTACATACCGAGAAGTCTTTGTGCTGCCAAACTGTTTAACAAGTTACGGAAATTGCTGGAAACTTGTTCATTGTAGTGAAATCAAATCCGATGCATACACGTCAACTCTAGAATTGTATAACGAACATTTCATCACTGTTTACATTCGTGTCACGTGACCCAGGTAGGTCAGTTGTATAAGCCCGGCGATATAACCTGTCCAGCTAGATTTCTGGCAACAGATCCGAGCTATCCTTCGAGCGGACAGCAGGGAACATTGACCATTAGTGTTATTCGGGTGTGGCGCCATTATTGCCAGATCAAACTAATATTAAGGTAAGAGTTGTTGACATGAAAACACTGAATTCATACACATTATATAGTTTTATATATGGAATTTGTCACGATATATATTTTTCAATTCTCTTTGGAGATGAAAAAAAAAGGTACCGGCGTTAAAAGATGGTACTTCTTCTTTCTCTGCCTGCATGGTGCTCGCCATTACCGAGGGCCGAAACTTACGCCCTTGGACAAAGGGATAGGGGCGATGCGGTAGCCTGGTGGTTAAAGCGTTCGCTCTTCATGCCGAAAACCCGGTTTCGATTCCCGACATGGGTAAAATGTGTGAAGCCCATTTCTGGTGTCCCCCGCCGTGATATTGCTGGAAGTCGCTATATAAGTGCAATAATCTTGAACGCAGCGTTAATCCCCGTTGCACCTCACCTCTCATTTGTTTAATAAGTGAGATTTGGTTTTATAGGCTAGCCCACTTAGATACCAACGTTCTGCTCTCTATGCAGATGTATCCACTTGACCAAGGCAGCAACCATTGCTCTTGTAGTAACTGTCGTCATTTATAACACATTCGTAGAAAAAATGTTGCAGATTTGTCAATTAATTTCAGAAACATGAGTGGTATATTCACAGCAGTTAAGACGGCCTTCACATCAAAAGGGTTAGAAACTCCAAAGTACAGTGTTAACGAGGCAGCCAAACATGAGGTGAGACCATTGTGATGTATGATATATGCACCACACATGATATATAATATTTATGTACACCATAAATTCCAGATCATGCTTTCTAGAATTGTAATTTATCTGTGAATTAACAAAATCTATATTTGGAATATATCAGACCAGTAAGACCCTTGAAGATCTGGCTTTCAGCAACCCATGCTTGCCGTAAAAGGCGACTATGCTTGTCGTAAGATGCCACTAACGGGATCGGATGGCAACACTCGCTGACTTGGTTGATGCATGTCATCATATCCCATTTGCGTAGATCGTTGCTCATGGTGTCAGTCACTGGATTGTCTGGTGATCAACCAAATCAGCGATACAAGCATAGTCGCCTCTTTCGGAAGCATGACCTATTCTTTACAAGGTGGTTTTCATTAATAAAATTAAAGGCAGCAGGGGAAAAAATCATATATTTATATTTCATTCTGTTTTAAATAAATTGTGTGTCTGTGGAAGAGTTAAACGAGTTATGAAAAAAGCTCTGCCTTATTATTATGTGTGAAGTGATTGCATTTTTTACCGTAATACCCCAGGATTAGGTACTTAAGAAATGAATTTTGAAGTACTTTATCTTGAGAATAAGTGAATGAATGTCAACTCTTGTGTGTGGTGTTTAGGGTTTCCAGGAGCGTCGCTACGAGGCCTGCAAGTGGGTGAGCACCAAGGTCATGGCCATGACATACAAAGATGGCACGAGTAGAGGTTTCAGGAATCTCTTCAATTACATCACCGGAGACAATGAAGCAAGTAAGTGAGCTTAACATTTTTCATGGAAACAAAATATATGGGACATAATGCAAAAATGGTGACTTGTAAAATCCGTACTATGCCATCTTGTTAATCTAAACAAAACTGGTGGCACGGGTGGCCCATCCGTCTAAGGCGCCGCGATTCGCTGTGCAGAGTTGCGTCCCTTGGGGGTTCGAATCCCGGTTCGCCCCGATTATGTTTCTAGGTTTGTCAGCACCATACCCGTGCTCGTGGGTTTCACCGAAGTGGTAAACGTCTGAGACCTGCATCACTTGGGGCTTTCCTCCCACATTAAGCTGACACGCCGCGATATAACTGGAATAATGTTAAAAGCGGTGTTAAACCCAACTCACTCACCCACTCACTATGTAAGTTCAAGTCACATTGATATGCAATGTAATATTAGATTTACTTTCATTTGCGTATTTTATTTCCAGAACAGAAGGTCGAGATGACGGCGCCAGTGGCCACCCAGGTGGTGCCGGGGGCGGGTCCCAACTGTGAGAGCACCTTCACCGTCTCCTTCTACATCCCCTCTGAACACCAGGCTGACCCCCCAAAACCCACAAACCCAGATGTCTTCATCAGCGACTGTCCGGAGACCAAAATCGCCGTCAAGTAAGTGTGTTTCACAGTTGTCTCCCAAATGTACTTTACGATACTCTGTAACGCTACGAATCAATCTCATTAAAATCAGATCTAAGTTCTGGCTGTCGCACTACGAAATCTACTGGGAAACAATGCGACAGCAACAGTCTGGGCAAAGTAAATGTTTTCTCATGCTCATTTTCCCCAAAGGTGAGAAGACAGGTTGGATATAGTGAATAAGTTGGGTTTAACGCCGCTTTAACAGTATTCCAGGTATATCACGGCGTGTCAGTTTAATGTGGGGGGAAATCTCGAAGTGATGCAGGTCTCAGACGTTTACCACTTCGGTGAAACCCACGAGCACGGTGCTGACAAACCTTGAAACATAATCGGGGCGAACCTGGATTCGAACCCACAATCATAGGTTTCTGGCGTCCCCAAGGGATGCAACTCTGCACAGCGAATCGCGGCGCCTTAGACGACTGGGCCACCCGTGCCCCCAGATTGGATGCATATATATTTTTAAAAAGTGTTGATTGACTCTTTTTATCATATAATGGGTAGGTTTCTGGGCAGGATAACGCCAATGGATGAAAACGATACAATAACGAAGACTAACAATAACATATGGTCCCTGAATTATAGTTATCTATTGTACTAAGTAAAATAATTCAAGGAAGGAACCATCTATTTTTGGTACGTCTTTGGGTCTTTGGGTCTTTTCGTATTTTTTTATTCTCAAGCACGATTTACATAGCCACACATGTCCCCGTGGTCACGTATTTACAGAATAAACAAAATTCTATATGTAGATCCGTCTAGGTGGTGATATTGTTTCTTTGCATACATTTATATATTTTTATATATATTTTCTACATACAGCTTCATATTTGCATAATTAGACATATGTAAAATACTTAACATGAAGTTGTAAAAAGTTCGACACAGGATCAGTATTCTCAGATGATCCATACCAAATGAATGAATTTAATTGTATGTATACCTTTTCAGAAATGTTTCATTATCTTACCCTTGAATCTTAGGAAACCCCAAGTCGCTTAATTTCAGCCCTGGTGGTAGGAAGTTGGTGAGAATGGAATGGCGGTGATTGTTTCAATGGTTACAGGCCGCCTAAGCCACATTTCGAAAATAGATAGCCAAAATTGATGTGGCTCGCGGGGCAATGGTTACGGTTGCGTGATTGTGGAATGTGGCTCTCGTGGCTATGCCGTCAAAACATGCTTTGTGATTCTAACAGGTTACCGTATTTAACAAAACAAATCTTGTTTTCTCATTTTTTATTCAGATAATAACAGGGATAATATATTCATCAAAACATTACATTGATGGATATCATGACAGGTCATATTACATTGTCACATTACGGGTCACGATTGTGTAATGAATTGTTGTGTAGCACTTCTAAAACAATGACAATGTTTGCACTTACATGTGAGACACAGATGTATTACCCTACTGCATGACTTGATGATGCCGAACACTACCATAATGTCATTACTGCAGATGAAGGAGGTCGCCCACGTGGTCAGCATATGCCATCTCACTCACTCACTCACGACTGCTCTTACACCGAAACTTAAAGCCATCATAGTACAAAATGACGCCTCCTCTGCCACTTTCAATGAACTTTATTTGAACTTGTGCTGCATTTACCATGGTTTTGACATGGAGTGAACAGGACGTCACTTAAATATGTTATGAATAACAGGATTAACTCAATGTCAATTAAGACCGCCATTGATCTCCAAAGAACACCACGCTTAGTAATCTCTACAAGCTAATTGAGGTGAGTTTACTCAATTTAAATGTGGGACACTCATTTAAAGGTATCGGTAATCTGATTAATTAATTACCGGCTAGAGTGGGTGAAATGCACACAGCTGAAAATGTGGCGCATTCGGCAATAGTCATTTTTGAAATGTGGCTCAACCGGCTAGACACCGTTTCAATTATATGTGTTCTGGAGCTAGCTCTCTGATTCCAAATGTTGTCATTATTTTCAGACCTTTCAGTGGTTTTGCTGAGGAGAGTGACTGGATAAGCAAAGGGAGAGAATTGGCTGAAGACGTTGAGAAGACTGATTTGAAGAACAAGTTGGTGAAGGAATATTACTTCACAGCTGGTTACGATAGCCCATTCAAACTGTTCGGACGCCATAATGAGGTGTGGTTCAAGCTGGATGACTGAACATCGGCCTGATAGAGGGGAACTGTCCTCATACTGCCACTACTATTAGCATTAGTTAGAGGGAGGGGACTCTAATAGCATGATAGGGAGACATCGTGGAGTGTGACATTCAGGTCGAGGAGTGCGTAAGCGTGCGTGAGAGAGAGAGAGAGAGAGAGAGAGAGAGAGAGAGAGAGAGAGAGAGAGAGAGAGAGAGAGAGAGTCATTGAGTGACTGAGTGAATTTAACGCGCGAAACATTGGTTGTATTACAGCCATATTGTGAGTAATGAGTAAGTGAGTTGGGTTTAACGCCTTTTCAAACAGTAATACAATTATATTACTGGAGGAGAGTCCGAAGTGATGCAGGTCTCGGACGTTTACCATTTTCGTGGAATCCACAAGCACGCATATGGTGCTGTCAAACCTAGAAACATAATCGGGACGAACAGGGATTCGAACCCACGATCATAGGTTTCTACGCAACTCAGCACAGCGACAGCCTTAGGCGACTGGGCCACTCTGTATACTGAGAGATCCAGACACATTCCACATCATGTCAGCCCTATGCTGACACAAGGCTTTGTAATAGTGGAAGACCATGTGGAAGTGGTCCAACCTTCCATCAGTAGATTTTCGTTTCTCTGCATATTTACCTCATACAATCTGAAATGTCAAAACATTGTAATGATATACTTCAATCAGTTTTAATGAAATATGTTTCATTCAGTATGACCCTTTCTGACAATCTCACCAAACAACCGTCATGGTCACTTTACCATGACGCGTTTTGTACTCATTTCTATCAATCGCTTATATGCTGTATTCCTTGTTACCTAGATAAACACAATGAACACCAACTCATGTGTTTGCTGTCATCTTTTTAAGGATTTCATTAATAGTTCTTGATCGGGTCAAATACGAGTCATCAGTACAAGTCTCTGGTTTTATAGGAAATATTCATGAAAAGATGAACGTTTGAGATGACTTGATCAATAATGGGTCATGCCTCCACAATTTGTCAAACATTCGTATATACGGCGTGGCACGGTCCTAATAAATTGTCCAAATGTTGCAGCGCCTGGCTCAGTTCGGCTAACGTAGCACGTTGCTTTCAGGACGTCCTCAATGGGGAAAGGGTCGTGACTCATGGCTGGCGATTCCCATCTTCCCGAAGGAGGGGCGTGAACTGACAATAAAAGTCCGGTTTCTACCCTTGCTCAACTTGGCTGGAATTTCCAGTGGCTATTACGATTTATGTCCCTTCTATGTACCTCCTATTGACAAGTCAGATTCCGCCTCTCATATCGACCCGACAAGGTTCAAACAAAATGGCTTTGGCTGCTTCACTGCTGGCTAGGAACCATGCAGGTAGCTCAAGTTCCCTCGGTCCCTAGTATGGTGGGACCCGTGAAGATTCCGGGGTAGAATAGGTCTTCAGCAACCCATGCTTGCCATAAAAGGTGACTACGCTTGTCGTAAAAGGCGACTAACGGGATCGGGTGGTCAGGCTCGCTGACTTGGTTGATGCATGTCATCGATCCCAATTGCGTGGATCGATGCTCATGATAAAAATCAATCACTGGATTGTCTGGTCCAGACTTGATTATTTACAGACCGCCGTCATATAGCTGGGATATTGCTGAGTGCGGCGTTAAACAACAAACCAAACCCCAAAAAACAAAAACCACCTCTCATATCCCTTGCATTTCCTTCAAACAAAATTGCGGCGCCCAGTCAAGACGATCTGACGGATAATCAAGATCTACGTTGTAATAAAACAGGTATTACCCCGAAAAGTGCATCAACTCACTTGAGTACTTTAATTAAAATCATGAAAATATTTTCAAAATATCTGTCGACACTCAGTTGGCGGTACACAAGCTTTGCAAATCCAGCCTAGTTAGGCAAGGATGGAAACTTGACTTTCAGTTAAGTTAACGCCCTTGCCTCGGGAAGATGGGCGATTGCATGCTATTCATGTTTTGCTGCTGGAGGTTAAAAATTGTCAGTTACGACGTGTACAATAAGTGCACGTTTGCAGGAACATTATCGTCTTGAAATAAAACACGCGGACTAACATGACGTACACACGGCACAACTATTCGCGCTGGTATGTTTTCTTGGTAGTTCTGTCTAGTGACCCACTTCAATACTGTATAGTTGAGTTCATATATGCAGTGAAGTTCTCACAGTCATAGTGATCCCGCCCCATATCAAAACATACCCACCCCCTCATCTATCATGCTGCCTTCATGTTGACGTTCGTGTGGCGTTCGTTAGGACGCCCCCAGACACGTCCTCGCCTAACCTAAAAAGCCCAGTGAGAATCTGGACTCATTATTTGGGGATACTATGTATTTTGTTTTGAGGGCAAACTACAGGAAAATGCACCAATTTCTGGCAATGAAAGTAACTGATTTATATGACAAGAACATTTCAATGAAAGTAACTGATTTATATGACAAGAACATTTCAATGAAAGTAACTGATTTATATGACAAGAACATTTCAATGAAAGTAACTGATTTATATGACAAGAACATTTCAATGAAAGTAACTGATTTATATGACAAGAACATTTCGATGGTCAGGCTCGCTGACTTGGTTGATACATGTCATCGTATCCCAATTGCGTGGATCGATGCTCATGATGTCAATCACTGGATTGTCTTGCCCAGACTCGATTATTTACAGAACGCCGTCATATAGCTGGAATATTGCTGAGTGCGGCGTTCAACAACAGTGAGTGAGTGAGTTGGGTTTAACGCCGCTTTTAACAGTATTCCAGTTATATCACGGCGTGTAAGCTTAATGTGGGGGAAAAGCCCGAAGTGATGCAGGTCTCAGACGTTTACCACTTCGGTGAAACCCACGAGCACGGGTATGGTGCCGACCACCCTAGAAACATAATCGGGGCGAACCGGGACTCGAACCCACAATCATAGGTTTCTGGCGTGCCCAAGGGACGCAACTCTGCACAGCGAATCGCGGCGCCTTAGACGACTGCCCCCCCCCCCCCCCCCCCCCCCCCCCCCGTGCCCCCCGTTCAACAACAAAACAACCAACCAACAAGAACATTTCCGAAGAAATCAAGCTCCCAAACACAACATTGTGACAGTCTTGAAGCACGTGACCTCGGACAGCAGTTGTGAACAGATGCATATTGTTTCCTTGGAACCAAACGCTCAGACACGTTATGAAACATTGATCACGAGACGTTTGCAATGTGCTGAACGTTTACGTGGCATGGGCATATTGCAGATGGGAACACATCGGAATATTGTTGCCCAAACGCTGCATTTTTTCAATCTGTTGTTCTAATGAGCGTTGTATGGACGTTAACGTTTTACAGCATGACCGTTTGGGGCGTGGGTCCATAATGGTATGGGGTGGTATTGCAAAGATTGGGCGAACTGCAGTCACAGGTCAATACTATCGGGACAACATCCTTGCACCACTCGTGGTGCTATTTGCAACTTCCAAGATGATAACGCACGTGCTCATTGTACCAGGATTGTGAGACCGCCTCCGTGGTCTAGTGGTAGAGCGTCCGCCCGGAGAGCGGAAGGTCCGGGGTTCGCTCCCCGGTCGCTAAAACAAGGACTGGTCGGCTCGGAGTCAGTATACTGTGTCTGAGTGGGGTATTCATGTTAAACTGCGGCATGGTATCTCAGTGAGCTAGCACTATAAATCGGCATCAGTCCGGACTAGTACAAGCAGCCACACAAACACACACACGTACATGCACGTCGCTATATAAGCGCAATAATCTTGGACGCGACGTTAAACCCCATTTCACCTCACCTCACCTCACCAGGATTGTGACCCAATTCCTCCAATAGCAAAACATCCACGTCATGCCACGGTTAGCACTCAGTCCTAACCTTTCCCGCTTGACAGACGTGTACGTCAACGTCAAAATCCACGAACGACTCTCAATGAATAAGTATAACAACACGAGTGAGTGTGTAGGGTTTAACGCCGCTTTTAACAATATTCCAGTTATATCGCGGGGCGTCAGCTTAATGTGGGAGAAAAGCCCGGAGTGAAGCAGGTCTCAGACGGTTACCACTTCGGTGAAACCAACGAGCACGGGTATGGTGCTGACAAACCTAGAAACATAATCGGGGCGAACCGGAATTCGAACCCACAATCATAGGTTTCTGGCGTACCCAAGGGACGCAACTCTGCACAGCGAATCGCGGCGCCTTAGACGACTGGGCCACCCGTGCCCCCTGTAACAACATGAGTCAAATTGACATTAGTTGACCCATCAAAAGCTAGTTCCAAGAGAAACGCCAACAGGTGTGCTTTTTACCCGCTATTAGTGATGTCTGCAAAATGCTTGATTATTCCAACTATGCCCTACATTTTTTGCAGTAATATGCATGGAATAATAGAATAACAGTATGAATGTTTATGAAAGCTCAGGAATACATTTATGATTGTTAGAAGTGTTTAAATAATTAATAATGCCAGAACTCTACTATTGGATGAATTATTGGATGACAAACATTTGTAAGAAACATGTCATTTAATTACAAGCAAGCATCTGTTGCATCATGTTTCACACTTCGCTGTTATAAATGAGTTCCCTTAGGCATACGGAAATAATATTACAGTCGTGTATTCAGCAGTGGCAATTACGAAGTAATATCGATTTCTACCATGATTTTAGGAAATTATCGATTTCGATTAGTCAATAAAAGGTTTCAAATCACCAATAACCACCTCTGATTGACACAGTTGGTTTGACGACTGCATCAACGCGGAATCTATTCTTTATCGAAAGTACATCGTTCTCATTTGTTGTCATTAGGCATTTTGAAAGTATATGTGAAAATATTTTAAACAGAAAATCGACCAAGATATATGTAACAAAAACTGTAGGGCAAAGGAACGCACACACTTGAAAATTGGATTTGACCAAAAGACTACAAACGTTTTCGAAACGTTACAAGGCTGAAAACAGTCGCCGAAACAATGCAACCAAAACACAACTAGGATACCCATATCGAATACATTACAATGGAAAAAAACCCATTTCTTATTGGTTTATTTTCAGCAACAATCAAAATGCATGGGTGTATAATTTCTTATGCCAGCAATGTTTACATGAAGCATAGGTCTTCAGCAACCCATACTTGCCGTAGAAAGCGACTATACTTGTCGTAAGAGGTGACTAACGGGATCGGTGGTCAGGCTCGCTGACGTGGTTGATGCATGTCATCGTATCCCAATTGAGTGGGTCGATGCTCATGATATCTATCACTGGATTGTCTGGTCCAGACTCGATTATTTACAGACCGCCGTCATATAGCTGGAATATTGCGGAGTGCGGCGTTAAACAACAAACAACCATTATTCCTAGAAGGAAAATGATGAGCAGTTTACAATTATCAAATTAATCATGATTGTCATAACATTTAAATTAAACCTTTTATGCATCATTGACATAGTAGGCAATAACAAGAATGATATCATTTAAACGAAAAGATTTATTTCTTAGGTCACAAAATGGTGTACCATATTCATAACGGTGTCTTCCACCGCCTATACTCTCACAAACGTTTTCAGAAGTCACAAACAAGGTCCACAAACACATACCCTGTTGCTCACACATTTTGTGAAATCACCAGTCACCAAATGTATGTTAATGATACACATATCACTGCTTCTCTAGTTCACGCATGTGTTCTATCACATCTAGATTTCTGTATTGGACTACTTATCGGCCTTCCTCATAACCTTTTGACTAAACTTCAAAGAGTTCAAAACTGTGCTGCCAGGCTTGTTACTAAATCCAAAAAGTTTGACCATATCACACCGACTCTACGGAACCTCCACTGGCTCAAAA